AACGATATTGCGATATCTATAATCTTTGTTATTAATTAAGTATATTATCTAGCTAGTTATATAGCTATGAGTCTATGACCTTTTTCTGTTAGTGTAAACTATTGTCGTAATATGTGGATTTCACTAATATATACTATATAGTATGTGTGTTGTCTGTGGATAGTATGTATTTATTTTCTACCACTGGACTATTTTCATTAGATAACCAATTCACATAGTTAAATACACAACTTAAGTAAATTGTTTTTTAGAAAACTATAAGTTCTATCGATATGTCTTGTCATTCACTTACACATACTAATGTATATTGAAAATCATTGTACAATATGTCATATACGGTATCATATGCTAATTCTAAAAGTTGTTTTAAGATGATTTTATTAACGTGATTTAATTATAGCTAAGAGGTCCCACTTTCAAGGAGTTGAGGATCGGATGAGCTACGAATGCAAGTGTTTCTCTCGAGCCATAAATTATGTTCTTGCTTTCATATAGGTTCCGGATTATTAGTATTTACATAGTTTGTTAAGAGTACGATCAAACGAAAAAGTCTATATATGGACTTAGCTAAAACCGCACTGCTATACTACGTATATAATATAGTTTTTAACATGTTAACAACATTATCACTAATATAGGGTACGGTGTCCATTCAAATGCATTCATAATCAGTCAAAAGAAATAAAAAAAAGATCAAGACAAAACCATGAGATAATTATAGCAACCAAACTGAGAAGGATGATGATCCTAATCCTAATGATTTGCTGTCAGCAAAAATAATTTTATAAACGATTTTGTGAAAAGTCGTATCTTCCACAGTCTCATGAGACCAATGAGAAGAGACCACGAGGTACATGTTTCATTCTTCTTGTCATTTGTCAGAAATAGATTAACTAAACATCTTGAGTTGGTAAGTGTTTCATCCTTCCAACCAAACCTTCTGATTCCACCGTATATAGTTTGCTATATCTTTATCAATATATACTACGACTCCTAGCTTTTTTTTTTTTTTTAGTTGGAGATATTAAGACCATCTTCAATAGGGATGTCTCATCCAATGTTTTACAATTAAAATAATAAAAAAAATAGGAAAAAAGGAGAGAGAAAGAGACACCTTTTTCCTGCCAGAAATCATGAAACACTCTTAAAAAGCCATTTTTCCAAGTGTTTTAATTTGATTGGTGTAATTTAATTAATTGTTTCAAATTTAATTAAAAAATAAAATCATAATAACAATAATATTTTTTATTCCTCAGACACTCTTTGTTTAGATACTCGCTGATGGAAATGCTGTAATATTTGAGATTTCTTTATTTACTTTTTGTTTTGTTAAAGATTGATATCCATGAAGTATGTGAATATTGAATAACCTAATAGTTTTGTGATTTAAAATGTTTTAAAAGTAAAAGTATGATTCTACACTTTATTACGACATGTATGCAGTTTAGGTTTTGTTTTTTTGTTTTGTTTTACATCGACCTAATTCACGGTGTTTTTTATGCATGTCGGCAGTTCAAAAGCGTTGAAAACGTTCAACGTACGTAGAATTTCAAAAGGATTAAGACTCTTAAAAAGAATTCTAGCTAATAATTAACAGGAAAAAGTAAAGTATTATCTCGACTTCGGCATGGATCATAATCATAAAATCACGTACCTTATCATTTGGCTTGATCAGCGTGTGAATGCACATATAGTTAACCGGATAAACATATTTATATTCATGAAATTGTGTTTTTATTTAAAGAGGTTCTTGATTTCTCCCTTCGACTGTTCATAGTTGGGAAAAGGAAAAATAATAATATATCATGTTGGAGCAATTATGTGCCTAAAACTTTCAGCGAAAAGGCAAATTTTGGCTTCACATGCATATAGATATACAAAAATAATAATATAAATATCTAATAAGTTTTTTTTTTTGTCGGCATATATGCCAAAAATATTAACGTCGGGGCGATGTTAAGTCACTTTAATAACTGATGCAAAGTTTTTTGAGTCAATTTTAAACCGACGTCAACTCTACTTATAACCAACGTTAAATCCCGTTTCTGTTGTAGTGATATCTAATAAATTAAGTACTCATGGGTAATTTCAGTTATATTATTACCATATACCATAGAAAACTAGTAACGACGCACATATTCTTGCTATCATATGCTGACAAATAGAAATTAGACATGAATAGTATGTTTTGTTTCAGTTGAAGAGTATTGACTTTTTTAACTAGACCCGAGGATCAGGATGCATGTATATCACTATATTGTGTATATATTCACATGAGCTTATATGAAATACCCTTAATCCTTGTATGAAAAGAATAGTTTTTCCTTAATTTTGAACATATAAGGATTTTAAACTAATAAAGAATAATTGTATCCTTAATTTTAAACATGACAAGGAAGCAAAATAAAAATGTTATATACGAGCAAGTAAAATTTTCAAAATGAAAATCAAAAGGTGTCAAGATTATATATTTAAATTTATAAATAAGTCTATTCACAGCTTGTTTTTTTAGTTTATACTACTTTATATATATAGAAAATACATAAGAAAAACAAATTAATACTTGAAATGATAAAGTAACACCGGCAGTGGAGAACTTGTGTTGCAGAGTACGGCAACGTGTTCGTACAAACAGGTTTGGAATATTCTTGCATGTCATAACGCATTTTGAAATATTATACTACTACTTTGTTTTTGTCTCACTAAAATCAAGAATTAGGAAATTAAAATGCCAAAATATAAATGCAAGTCTGAAATACGTATTTGGTAACTCGTTTAGTCCTTTTTTTTTTAATGTATTTCTTGTATCGTGATATCACTCGACCAAATCTTCAAAGTTTAATTGCGACTTCCTCAGTCCACACTCCAAACTCTGTTTAATACAAAAGTAAATTGATAATTTTTAACCTGTGAAAAAATACAAAATGGTGAAAACCATATCAATAAATTATTCCTTTTTCCCGAAAAAGGAATTTAAGAATAATTAGTTCATCTGGAAAAAAAAAAATATTTATAATTTGGTTGGACTGGAATTTGAGTAAAAATGTAAAACAATACATTGCATATTTTGATTTAGAATTGTTTATAATTGGTTTGATTTAAAAAAGTATTAATTTATATAGAAGATATTGCATGTTTTGCTAACAAAACAATTAGAGAAATAAAATCATTTATCATTAGGTAATTTCCAACATAAAATTTGATTCTAACCCTTGCATTATCAGTCCAAACTGAAGCAACTGATTAGAATTATTATACACATCATATACGGTCTTGGAACTTGTGAAAAATGGATTTGTATATACAGTTGGGGACTTCATTAATTTTTCAACAGAAATGGTTGTATTTTTATATGTATAAATGGCTGTGTAATAATTGTTAGATTAGTTGTAAATATAATCAAGAACACAAAAGTGCCTCGAGAATTAAAAGCACACATGGAGTATGGTCAAGTTGTAAATTTTGTAATAATATCTTATAATTAACTAGTACACTTTATTATAATCTTCAATCATTGCTGAATAATGCATGAATGGGTCTCATATATATGAAGCTTTACTTTTGCACATACTATACAAAAATGAATTATCAACCAACATAGCTAATAGGTTCCACTTGGACACTGATTCTCATGCCCAAAATATAAATAAAAAATACGAAAGAAAGAAAAAACAAATACTTTAATAAACAAATGTAAGAAGGTAAAATACGACAGTCTGTCTATTCCTATATATGTATAATCTACTCACTGATTGATCGATTAGTTTTTATTGAACGGTTAATTATATATCGATATATGAAGCTCTAGAAATGAGAAGAATTACCAAAACGATTTTACCACAAAAAAATAAAAGAATCACCAAAACGTTACGATTAGCTGTGTCTAGTTTAAGAACATCAACGTTACGATTAGCTGTGTCTGGTTTAGAGTAACTCCAATTTGCCGAATTGTGTTTAAATGTGGTTATTATACAGATGCAGATAAAGCATGTGCTAGATTAAAATTGTTGCTACGCGTGCAACTTAGTTTTAAATGTTCAAGTTGCTTTACAGATTTATTGACAGATAATTTCATATACCAAAGTTATACAATAACCCATTATGATACTTAAATAAACATGTGTTTTGGAGCATTTCTATATAGAGAGATAAGGGTATTTTGTTACCTTTCTTCTTCAGATATACTGAAGACTCGAAACACAACTCTCATGGCCTTATCAAAATCTTCAGGGTTCTCTCTTTTAGTCAAATATACAGTATGCAAGGAGCTTAAACCAAAACTTTGTGGGTTACAAAAAGATAACTACTTTGCGGCTCTTAAACCGATTTTTGCATGCTTGGTTGACAAAAAATACCATTTAGTTGTATGAATTAAACGTGAGCCACGAACTTTTAGTATAACTTTAATTTGAATTTGATTGTCAATATTATGAGAAATTTTTTGATTCGATGAACATAACCAACCAAGAAAGATGTTAGTTTGCTCATTTTGAATCAAAAAATTACTCGTAATCAAAAAATTACTCAAAAAAATATCAAGAAAGATGGTGTCTTCTCTAACCGAATGACCGACTTTTTCAGTATATTTGAAAGAATTCAAGAACGACAAGGAAAAAATTTCAATCTTCTCTTTATCTTTAATTTCTCATAGTGCAAATGTTAAAGCGGATAATTTGGCACGAAAAGTTTGTACCGAACTACATCATATCACTTATTTAAACAACATTCCCAATAAATAGTTTTTATTTTTTATTTTTTATAATTAAAAGCTGTTGATTAAAAAATAAAAATTACTCAGAATCAAAACTATCATCTATTAAGAAGCTAAGTCCAAACTGTCTATTTCTAAATGGGCCAAATATACGGGCCAAAATTAAATTTTAGTTGTGTGATTCACAAACCAATAAACCTGGTTTAATTTGGAGTCATTCTAGTAAAGCTGAATGGTTATCGATAATGTTTTGGTTTTCAATGTAACCGGAGCGGTTTATTTGGTTTAACACAAACGAAGATTCAGTTAACCCTTGCTTATCGAATTCGCCGCGCCTCTTCGTCTTCTTCAGAGAGACACTCTTGGCCAAATTTGAAACTTTCCAGGTAATCTAATCTTCTTCTTCTTCTGCTCTTCTCTGTAGTAAGCGTCGCATGAGAAATCTCCTGGTCGGTTTTGAGACATTACCCTGGGCTCTAATTTCGGTTGATACCTTGACATGTCCGTCTATTCTTCGAGGGTGAATTTTGTTTTCCAAATTCAGATTTAAGATCTGACCCAGTGTTGAAAAGTTACAAAAACTTCTGGGTTCAAGGTTGCGGTTGCGGTTGGGTTGCCAATATTATTTATGTGGAATATCCTCAGTGGCAGTGTTCGTTTTTTCTCTCTAGTTAATGGTTTTTGTTTAGTAGCGTTTTGGTGTTTTAGGGAATAAGGACACTGCCACTCATCTTTTCATGAACAATGGTATTTGAATGTGCATATTTTTCCTGGAATGGTTTGGTTCACATTTAATACATAGTCTCTATGGCTTAGTTTTCAAATAGGTTACTGGGGCTCTGTTGAGGTTTATTTAGCGCTCGCGTTTGGTGGATTTATGTGAGGCATCTTAATTTATCTGTTCTTTGCGAATCATCACTTGTGCTAAACTTAAAGAAAACGTTTCCATGGATATTTTTGAATTGCAGCTGATTTCCGATTAAATCACAGGAATCATGGAGAGTGTTCCAGTGGAAACACTTTCTGAAACTGGTGACTGTCAGACGAATCCAGAATTGAGTGATAAGCAGAAGAAAAGATCCGGGAAAAAGAAGAGAAAATCGAGGAAACCGGAAGATGAGTTGAAGATTAATGATTCTCATATCAGTAGCCAGATTGGGAGCGCAGATGAGGCCTTTTCATCTCATGAGAAATCCACCAGTGAAGATCAAGTCCAGTTATCCGAGAATCTTTTGTCTTCATTACCTGCAGAGTCCTGTCAACGAGATTCAATCTCATGTGGAGAGCCTGGAGCTACTTTACATCATAAAGACCCAATCTCATGTGAAGATTCACTACCAGATGCTAATAGGAAGGGTTCCAGTAGAAAAAAATCAAAAAGGAGAGAGAAGAAGGAGACAGAGGACGCTTCCTGTGACGAGAAAATGTTGGATGATGCACAAAAAATCACCAATGAAGACCAAGTTCATCCACCCAACAATCCTTTGTCAAACGGTATAATACAAGAAGGATCACATGAACACAATCAGGATTCTTGTGAGAAGCCTGGAGCGGCACAACTTTGTACAGATCCAAATCTGTCAACCTGGGAAGATTCACAGCCAGATGCTACTAATATGACTAGTTCCCCGAAAAAAAAGAGAAAAAAGAAGAGGGGTAGAAACGCGCTGAAGGAAAGTGGTGTTGATACAAATACTACCAATGCAGAGGTTGTTGTAAAATACAATACTATTACTGAAGCTGAAGGATCAAGATCGATGAGTATAGAGGAAAACTCCATTACTAGTGTTTTGATAAATAGTTGTCCTAAATCCAAGGTTGATACTGGGGAACAACTAGAGGGCAACGACGTCAAAATCAATGAAACTGTGTCCCAAACTGAGAGTCCTAAAGCCAAGAAAAGGAAGAAGAAAAAGACCAAAACAATGGATGTCTGTGACCAATTAGGAAATACTCTGCCAACCTCCATGAAAAGTGGGCCAGTAGAGTGTGTGGAAAATAATGATGGGAATAAGGAAACAGATGGAACCACTGAAGTTAAAGAGGACGTTCTTGAAGTTAAATACGATATTATTTCTGAAGCTGAAGGATCAAGATCGATGACTAAAGAGGAAAAATCCGCTGCTAGTGTTGTGATAAGTAGTTGTCTGAAATCCAAGGATGATACAGTGGAACAACAAGAGTGCACAGATGTCAAACTCAATGAAACTGTGGCCCAAACTCAGAATCCTAAAGCCAAGAGAAGGAAGAAGAGAAAGACTAAAACATTGGAGGACTGTGACCCGTTAGGAAATACTTTGTCAACCTCCACGAAAAGCGGGCCTGTAGAGTGTGTGGAAAATAATGATGGGGATGGTGGCCGAGAGTTAATTAGTTATTCAGCAAGTCAGAGGGAAAATTCTGTAACTGGGGAGGAAAGTGGTTTTCAGAATCTCGGAAAAACTAAAGAGAAGGAAACAGATGAAAACACTGAAGTTAAAGAGGACATTTTTGGAGCAGGTATATGTGATGTAAGTAGCAAAAAACAGAAGAGAAAGAAGAAAACATCATCTGCTGATCACAAAACTGCAGATATCGAGGTCTGTGAGCCATCAGGATCAGTAGAGTGTTTGTTGGATCATTCAAACGAAAAAGTCATACAAAATTGTGATGAGAATGCCGGAAAAGAGTTTAGGGGAGAGGATAAGACAAGTAAAATTGAAGAATCTGCAACGAGAGAGAAAAGCAAAGTTCAGAAATCTGGAAAACGTAAAGAAATGACAAAAGATGAAAATATTGAATCTAATCAGGATGCACTAGGAGCAGACGATGTTAGTGATGTTGGGGGCAAAAGACAGAAGAGGAAGATGAAGAAGAAAACAAATTGTGAATCAGTAGCCACCGTGGATAGCGAGTCAGTACAGTGTTTGTTGCATCAATCAAGTAGAGAAGGTGTGAAAAATTGTGATGGGAATGCTGATGTGGAGATTGCCAGTAAGGATTTGGCTAGTAACATTGAAGATTCTGCGAGTAAGGGGGAAAGTGTTCAGGGTGTCAAAAATACCAAAAAGAAGAAAAAAGATAAGAAGGGAAAAGTTGATCAGGATGCCTTGGGAGCAGAAGGTGTTAGTAAGGTTGAGGTCACAACAAAGAAAAGCAAGAAGAAGAAAAATTCGTTAGATCATAAAACTGACAAAATGGAGGAGGACAGTCAAAAGGAAAATGAGAATAAGAGAGAAGTTGATCAGAATTCTTTGGGAGCAGAAGGTGTTAGCAAGGTTGAGGTCAAAACAATGGAGAGCAAGAAGAAGAAAAATTCTTTAGATCATAAAACTGATGATATGGAGGAGAAGGATGATGTTTCCTTACCTAGTAAAGATGCAGAACCAGAATTTGATAGGGAAAAGCTTGAAACGTCTTTGTCAAGTTCTGTCTTAATACAAAATAATGTGGCTCAAGGAGTTGCTTCATCAGAAACTGGAGATGTACCTAGATGCTCATGTGCAGGTCAACATACCAGAAAGTTGCTTGTATTTGATTTGAATGGAATCCTTGCAGATATTGTTCAGGGTTTTACAGGTCCATTTGTTCCAGATGGTAAAGTATCATACAGATCAGGTAAGAAAGAATGAATTTCAATGTGGTCACTTGTAAGACATACTTCTTTGACTGTAGATTAATTCATTTGTCCTTTTTCTATAGTCTTCAGGAGGCCTTTTGTTTCTAGTTTTCTCGACTTTTGCTTTGAGAGATTTCATGTTGCGATATGGTCCTCCAGACGCGTGTAAGCTTCTTGAACTGATTAAAAACTCAAATGCATTGTTTTTTGCTGTTCTTAGTTACATGTATTATACATATAGAAGTTTAATTCGTCAATTAACTCCATCTCTCCTTTTCCTCTTTCTAGTGGGTTGGATTATATGGTGAGCATTGTCATGAAAAACTATTCGAGGAATCTGTTGTTCTGTTTTGTAAGTGATTTCTAAACCTCTATGAGCTATTTTCTAGAATTTGAGAGTTGATGATGAGAAATGCAGTTTACATATGCCAGAACTAAATTATGAGAAATGCAGTTGACATTGAGATTGTAGTAACACAGTCTACAATCTTTTATAAGCTATGTAACCTGCATTTCTTTGACTATGAGATATGTAGTGTACATACGAGCAGAACTCAATTCTAAATTTTGGTCCAAAAAACTAGCTAATGAACTCAGCAATCCTAGTCTTGATAATGTACACAGGATCAGAACAAGTGCACTACAACGAAGTTTAAAACTCAGGAGAAGAACGATAAACCTCTGTTCCTCAAGGATCTACGAACAGTATGGGACGGTTTTGGGACATGCACCAGTTGTGGAAAGCGAAAGTACGATGAGACAAATACTTTATTAGTTGACGATTCCCCCGACAAGGCCTTGTGTAATCCTGTAAGTACTCGAGCACTCGCAAATAGGCTTATGCATTCAATGTCACTTTTAACCTTAACATCGTTTGGTATTGCTCTTCTTCTCTTTTAGCCACACACTGGAATCTTCCCTTCCCCGTACCAATACACAGACCGTCAAGATTCTGCATTGGGTTAGTCTTTACATTATCAAATTACTCAACAGCAAAGCAAACATATTGGTTCTCAACATTCTATTTCGATGAAATACTAAGAACAATGGCACACTGATGTTTCATTTCTTGTGACAGGACGTGAGGGTGAGCTAAGGAAGTATCTTGAAAGATTAGCAGATGCAGAGAACGTTCAGAAGTTTGTAGCGGAGAATCCATTCGGTCAGACTGCCATAACTGAGACACACGAGTCATGGGAGTTTTACTCTAAGGTCGTCGAGGCACATAAGTAATTCGTCCACAGGAGTTGTGACTATGTAATTGCTCTGGAGCTAACAACAAGTATGTGAAGCAGATGCAGATGCACACATAGATGAAGTTCCTTCTGGAAGTTTACTTTAAACTCTTTCACATTACAACTGATATTGTATCTCTTGTGTTTTAAAGACTAACGTCGATATACATTTATCCTGTTTATGGTCATCTAGATTCAGATTTGTAATTTGTCTTCAAAATAAGTTTGATTGGTACTCGTTCAAAGATACAAAATCATTATTTTAAATATGTTTTGATGGATGTAGAGTAAACCATTCAGAGTCTAATCGTCACAACTTGGAGACATTAAAAAAGGAGCATAATCGTCTCAACTTCGAATCTTCAAGAATCAAGAATGAAAAAAAAATAACACAAAAGTTAATATTAAAAAAAAAAATCATAGTTAATAATAATTTCCACTAATTAAAGGAGAATAATTTGCATAACTTGGAGGGGAAGGTCAGAATCAGACATAAACCAAGTCTTTATTGATCACAAAGAACAATTCTGTTTTCCGCTTTCTCAATTTTATTTTCTTCTTCTTCTTCTTCTTCCTCCAGCTTCAGCTTCAGCTTCAAGTGTACAAAGACAGGTAAAAGGAGGAGAAGAAGAAGATCCATTAAACCGTATCTATCTTTTCTCTCTCCACCTCTATTTCGATGGCGGAGGGCGAAGAGAAGAACGGAATTATTGATTCGATGCCTTTGTTTGCTAAGGAGCTTATTGCCGGCGGCGTCACCGGCGGTATAGCTAAAACCGCCGTTGCTCCACTCGAGCGAATTAAGATTCTTTTCCAGGTACCAAATCATTATCCAGCTTGGTATTGTTTCTTCTACAGAACTAAGATTGATTTGTCCCCTCGGGTTCAAGCATCGAAATTAGAGAGCTTTAGTGTTGTATTCTCAATTCGAATCTTTTTTTTTAAAAAAAAAATTCTTGTTACACAATTGCTGAATTATAAGAAGCTCATGATCATTCATGTATTGATCTCTTTGTCAGACCAGAAGGGACGAGTTTAAAAGGATAGGACTTGTTGGATCAATCAACAAGATTGGCAAAACTGAAGGTTTGATGGGTTTCTACCGGTACGTTTGTCTTGAGTTTTAGATGCGTTTTGGGCTCTAGTTCAGTCATATGTGATTCTTAACCTCTTTTTCTGTTTTCCAACAGAGGGAATGGTGCAAGTGTTGCTCGGATAGTTCCCTATGCAGCCCTTCATTACATGGCTTATGAGGAATACAGGAGATGGATCATCTTCGGTTTCCCCGACACTACTCGAGGCCCTCTACTTGATCTTGTAGCTGGATCATTTGCTGGTGGTACTGCGGTTCTCTTCACCTATCCTCTTGACCTGGTCCGGACAAAGCTCGCTTATCAGGTAATCCTGCTTCAAATCTTGTGTTTATGTGTCTCATCTAGAGATAAAACATTAGTAAGCTCATAGAGAGTTCAGCAGTGCAGGTTGTTGGTTCAGCAAAGGCGCAGGTAAAATCTTTTCCCATGGAACAAATCGTTTACAGAGGAATTACCGATTGTTTCTCGAGGACATACAGAGAATCTGGATTCCGTGGCCTATATCGTGGTGTAGGTACATCCTAACCACATCGTTGGATTTTTAGATCGTCAACTCCTCGAAGGCTCAATTAAGATTTGATCTTTCTTTGGTTGCTTGTGATGCAGCTCCTTCTCTGTATGGGATCTTCCCTTATGCTGGTTTGAAGTTCTACTTCTACGAGGAGATGAAACGCCATGTCCCACCTGAACATAAGAAAGACATTTCCCTGAAACTCATATGTGGTTCGGTCGCTGGATTGCTTGGTCAGACCTTAACATACCCTCTCGATGTTGTCAGGAGACAAATGCAGGTTTGATCTGGTTCTACTTCTATCGAACAAATCCTTGAACCCTCATATAATGATCCTGGGTTATTATAACCGAAACTCCCTGCAGGTTGAGAGACTATATTCAGCCGTTAAGGAAGAAACAAGAAGAGGAACAATGCAAACCCTTTTCAAGATTGCAAGAGAAGAAGGTTGGAAGCAACTCTTCTCAGGGCTTAGCATCAATTACCTTAAGGTTTGTGAGTAGTTTCATTGATCTATCTTTGTTTTCGGACTATGGACAATTAAGTTACAAACACTTTTTCTTTTGGGTTTCTTTAGGTTGTGCCTTCCGTCGCAATCGGATTCACAGTGTATGATATTATGAAGCTGCACTTAAGAGTCCCGCCGCGAGAGGAACCTGAGGCAGAAGCTGTGACAACACAGAAAAGGAAAGTTTTCACCTAATTCTAAGATCATCATATGATCTGATTTTTTGTGGTGTTTAAAACCACAGATTATTATAAGAGATTGTACATTCCATTTTTTTCGTAGAGGAAATTGAAGCTAACATTCCTCCAAATAAACTGTCAGAATTCCAATCGAATACTTTAGGACCTCTATGTAAATACAGAATTGCTTATAGGTTTTGTTCATTCAGGAATTTTGTTGAATACTTAATGCATCTTACCTTAAGAAATAGTGAGAGACAGATTGTTGATTCTAAGGATTTCTATATATTTTCATGCTCATCGGTTTCTTAACCCAAAAAGACAAGTTGCAGAAGAAAATTTCCCAGCTGTTCTATCTTGCAGGTTGAAACAGTGCATACACATCATCTCTACTATTTCTGCTCAGGATCCTAAAGTAACCGAACCCCCTCAGATTGCTAATGCGCTATGAATTAGAATGGTTCTGCAGATGATTTTCAAGTAGACAAAAGCAGATGTGGCAAACAACAAGAAGGCGGTCCATTAAGTTCTAGGGTGATGCTTACTTAACAAATGTGTATCAATGTTGAATATTGATGAGAAAGAAGACAGAAGTTGATAGGCTGAAAAACTACACATATGAGTATTGACTATTGAGCTTGTTTGCGGGCAGCTTCTACATTATGGCAGAAAGCAGCAAAGTTTATTACAGAGACATTGATGGAGAACAATAAAGCTGCTCTTACAGAAAAGCATATTAGGTTCGATTAACTTGCATCTACTTAGTTAATTCATAGAACCTTATTATCTAGAGTTCAAGTATGATACGGTAAGTCAACAGATTTTACCAATACCAAACCGGCTCGGTACATAACATCCTGGTTAGGTACTTACAAAAGGATTTACTCTAATGCTTTGAATTTAAGATGTGATTCTCATCCCCTTGTGCTCCTCACATCTCTTCCGCCCTTTCACTGGAGATTTCTCGCATACCGATCCATTGTACAGCTTAAAGCCACAAATTACTTGACTTACAGTTGCTGACTGAACATTTTCGGATGATCCGTGGTTCAAAGTTTTATCTTTGTGCTGCCAACATCTTCTGCTTCCTTCAGGAGCACTTCTTGTACAAGGCAAACCATTCTTTGTTGTAGCTTCACAAAAAAGACCCGGACTTGGATCCTCTTGGTTCATGCCTGTACATGTCTCGGATTTGGATTTATCCTCTTTGACGGCCTTATCACGTTCTGTTGGGTTCAGCAGAAAGAAGAAGGCGTTAACTCTCATTCCCTTGTGATCCTCGCATCGTCTTCTCCTTGAAACAGGTTTTGTTCTGCAACGTACCATGTCAGGTAAAATCACTCCACATATATTGTCAGTTTCTTCGCATTCTCTTACAGTAGGAGCTTCACACGGTATGTGTTTTTCGGGGGAAACACGTGAAAGTCTCTTCCCTTTATGCTCTGAGCATCTCTTTCTTCCTTTGATTGGAGTTGTAGAGCAAGTAGTACCATCTTCTAGTAAGACTCCACAAACAGAAGCAGAGTCAGACCCATCAACTATGTCATCATGTCTGTCTGAAACCGGTTGAGGTCTGGACCGACTGAGTCTAAGTAGAGATGGAAGAGAATTACCCTCCTTCTCAGCAGCATCAGAACTGACCTCTCTCTCTTCTGCAGAATCAGACTTCTTCTCTTCGGTTCGGTTGCCACTTTTGTTCTGAGTAGTAGGAAGAATTGTTTGAGACAAACCCTGCTTAAGAAAGTCATGATGAGCAAAAGATCTAGTATAAGACCGGAGCCGAGATCTAATGCTTTCACTTTCAGCTTGACCAAGATTAGCCACAAGAACATCATCTTTTCGGCCATGGTCATGACCGAGCTCAAACAGACCCGGGAAGGCTCCTTGGACTCTGTATCTACCTACACGATCTTTCCCTTTTCTGAAATTTTCCTTATCGCTGGCTCCTATCAGAATCTGTGTTCAAGTATAAGTTTTGACGTTAAAAAAATGCGTTTTTCCAACTTCGAGCTTATCTTGATGACAAACATGAGATACTAAGCCACTATCCAACAAAATGTACAAGTTATAATGTGATGAAGGAGATTAAAAATGAGACCTTTGGACCTAAATCTCGAGAAATTAAGGAGTAGTCCGCAAAAATCTTGCGTAATTCTGCAGTTTCTGAGACGGGTTTACGCAGAAGCATGGATCGGGCGAAACCCTGAAAAAATTCCAGAAATATTGAAGAAAAGTGTGGTAGGCGTTAAAAACGGGATCTTTATATCAAATATCCAAGAGAATTCATTCGAAATTCTGTTGATATCGAAAGGGTTTCAAAGGAATGCAAGATGGAGCAAAACCCTAAATTTCTTGAAATCCGAGAGGAAATTCTTTAGAGAGTACCTGCCACTTGGAAGAGACGGCGTCGTGATTAGTTCGAATGTAGTCGTCTCTCTTGAACATCGTTTCTGATCGGACTTCAGAGTTTGACCGTTAAAAATGGAGAATTTACAGATTCCTTTTTCAAATTTGAATTCGACACTGCTAATGAATAGTTGATGGCGTTGGAATCAATAGTCTCAAATTTGACCACCGTTGGATACTACTTGTTCAATAGTTTTCTAATACTATTGGTTCAAAGTTATTAAAAAATGTTTAGTATAAAAAAGTAATTGACAAATGATGGTTTTTTAATATATGTAAAAACTCTAGAACATCAATCTTCTAGGAACAAAGGGAATATGATCTATTTAATTAATGATGTTGACAAAAAAAAAAAAAAAAAAAGCAAATCCCACGTCTATAATTTATACATACACCATATTAATCTATTTTGATAAAGAATTCTTTAAACTCGAGAAACGGAGAAAGACAAGAAAAATAAACATAGATGAGTAGATGAACTCGAAGTTAGACTATTTTTTTTTTTATATACAAAAATTAGAATGCACCATATGCAAAATGCATTCAACATATATACAAGGAAGCGATTTAACAAAAGAATCTTTGATCAATCAGAACCAGACATTGATTATTCACTTGAATCTTCAACTTTCTCAGAAGCTGAAGAAGAGATGTCACTGAAACTTCCTACATTGTGTCTCTCTATCGCCTCTCTCAGTTTCTGGAACTGCATAAATGTTTGCAGAAGCTTATTAGACTTATAGGTCGCCATTAAGACTATATACAATGCAGTGGCTATACTCTGCTTTCGTGATAGACAAGTGACGTTTGAAATTAAAGAGAGCTGGGGACAAGAGGAACTAACCTTGGCAAGAGAGCATGAGAAGGATTCGACTTGGCCATCAGCACCGCTGTAGAAGTGGAAGTATGGTAACACCTTGACGTTCAAGCTTTTGCAGAGAGACTTGTTCTCATCAAAGTTTACTTTAAGGAACAAGATTTCAGGGTGTTCTTTCGCCGTTTTGCAGAGCTGGAAAAGAATAAGAAATAAGCAAGCCAATAATTTGAAAAAACTTAAGAAATTATGGTTCAAGACACCCGAATTGAATGAAATGAGAGATGATATACACGAAGATACACAATTGTTAAGTAGCTAACGGGAAATTACCTTTGGGAACATTGCACGGCAAGAACCACACCAAGTTCCATAAAAATCCACGATAACTAATCTTTCTCCGGCATCTTTTAACGCGTTCAGAAACTGCTCAGTTGAGGTAATGTCAATCATGTTTGGCCCTGCTTTCCTCTCCCACCATTTTGGCTGTTCGGTTTCAGCAGCTAAAGCTTGGACCTATCCCAAAACACACACATACATTTCATCTCTTATAATAACACAATGTATTACCACACTAAACATTCATAAAGATAGATGTTATTTAAAAGCCCTTTACGCAACTTGGCTTCAAATACAGTGTGAACTTAAACACAGGACTGATGTAATCGTCTATGTTACTGAGAGACCTAACTCAAAATATCTCCGAGTGGACCAAAAAGACCACATAAAGAGCAATCACAATCAATGTCGCAAAAGAAAACCCTAAATTCCCAAGCGACTACAAGTTGACATAAGTTTTAGTAGATTCTCAATAAGTGGAACATGGGTTCTCGAATTTAGGCCACAAAGTTGAAATCCAGCACAAAAAGTTACGAAATTGAATACCTTTACGGAGAGAAACTGTTTCCTTGATGAGAAAACTAGATTTCCGATCGGAGAAGAAGTAGTAAGGGAGGAAGAGGACAGACCGTAGAATCTATTGCTTGAACTCAGTAACTGTCGGATCTCAATTGGTGAAGGACTCGGATTAGAATTAGAAGAAGCGTAAAGCGAGAAGCTTAGGGATCGTAACGATGTCGTCGTCGTCGTCGTCGTCGGAGACATTTTTGTTTGTTCTGTTTTCGCTTTCTAATTTTCCCCGGAAAAAGTATCAAACGAATTTCAAAACAACCCCTTTAGTTTTGGTGATTTTCTCATTTTTCCGAATTTTCTATTTTCTTACAATTGTATCCAGGAGAATTGAAAAAATTATATGCATACATCACGTAAGTAGTTAAGTTAGTTATATTACAATAAATAAATAATCATCTTGTTCGAGTTTAATATCAATCTATATAATATTAGATCCCAAAAGAGTTAAAATTTGACGAGATATTGACAAATTAAAGTAATTCTTATATCAACTCTCAAATCTTAGAAATACAATTAACATGCGAATGAACAAGAACAAACACATTCTCGGGATATCAAGTTCCGTAAAAAAAAACCACAAGCCTTGCATACAAAATCTATTAAACTCCAACATTCTCTTATTATAAAGTTGGACTGACTGATATATATATCACCGCAAGAAACAAAATTTTCACCAAACTAATTAATATTCTAGATATTATTTGGTATCAGGGATTATGGTATGGTTTATAAGAGTAGTAATTAACTCCCTAATTTCTTAAGCAGGTGAGTTATAATCAGTGTTCTAAAAAGCGGTCTAGGCGGTCGCCTAGGCCCCGACTAGACGCTAGGCTCTCATGCGACGCCTAGATAACCGTCTTGACCGCCTAAAATTACATAGAACTTGTTTAATGTATTTTTTCAATTTAATTAGAGTTTTATTTATATATATAGTTATAAATATTCATATATTGTTTAATATAAATATAAATAAATGTTTTATTTAGTTTTTGTTTATAATTTCATAATTTTTAGTTTTATATAAATATTTTATATAACTTTTATATATAATATCATATTTATAATGTTTTATGTTATAAACGTCTAAACCGCCTAAAAAATCGCCTAGGCTCCGATTAGGCGTTCTAGGCGCTAGACACTGGGTCACCGCCCGCTTAGCGCCTAGCGCTTTCTTGAACACTGGTTATAATTAAAACAATCACCCGTGAACCATTCCGTGCGATAGAGCCATTAGCAAAATGGCAGCCTCCTTCTCATCTTGAGGGAAAACTTGCTGGTAAGCTGAACTTTTGCTCAAGATTATTGCTAGATCATCGAAATAAATCTTGTCTGAAGATGAAGAAGGTGATAACATCGTGGAGTTGCTCTGAGTCTCCAAATCCTCGGCTGCTTTGGTCTCATCTAGTGTGATCATTCTCTTACACATGTTTACCTTTAGGGCCGAAGGAGAGGAGAGTTTATAAACTCCATTTGATATCTTGTTCTTGTTTTGCATTTTCTTCTTCATGAGCCGTGGCGATATGTCAGAGACTGCGGTTGCAGTTGCCGTGGCCATAGCGGCCCGCCTCGCCTTTCTTTGCCTTATTCCACAAGCATTACAAAGAGACTGTAATAACAAAACAAAAAAAATGATAATTTAGTTAATTATCTTGTAACATTATTTTTAGAAGATCTCGAAGTTTAAGAGATCTGTTTAAACCTAGTTAGAATACTACATGAAACTGTTTTTACCAGTTAGAGATTTGTAGATTTATTTTTTATTTGCTATTAATTAACTATAAAAAAGGACATTATTTCTTCGTGAACTTCTACTTATCAATATGACATTAAACTTAGGCATATATTTTAACATTAAAACCAACAAAAAAAAACTTAGGCATATATGTTTAATTAACAGACCTTGGGACCTCTCGGACCACTTCTCCAAAGAGGAGTCTTGGTTGTGTTACAATCGGAGCAAATCCTAATCACGCAATCGTTGTTATAACCATGCTGTCTTTCCAGATAGCTTAGGTTTGAGGATTGGTCGTTATTAGCGTGCTGTTTGTTGCTGTCGGTGGTGGTAATAATCGCCTTTTTCTTCTTCATCAATCTCACCTTCGAAGATATCCACTTGAGCGAATTAGTTCCTGCCTTATCTTTTGTCGGGGATTGAGGAAGATTGGTTTGGTCTTGATGATTATATTTCTTCTTTATCGTCAATTTTAGTCGTGTCTCCTTCTTTGGCACCATTTGATCACTTGATGATGAACCACCATCAGATACAAACTTGGTCTGAAATTTCCATATGAATATAAACCATATACAATTAGAGTTTTGTTCATTATATTTTGTATAAATTTCTCTAGGATCATCAAGAGTTAATATTGACATAAAATTTATTTGAACTTATACCTCGAGAGGTTGAGAGAGATGGGTATCAAGAACATCATGAAAAGTGTTATTGTTGTACCCAACTTGATCTTGGTGAGAGTTGATCAAGAAAGGAAAGTAGGAAAGAGACAGTGACATCGAAGAAGAGGGATTAGAAGAAGCTTGGTGATGAAAATGTTGTTGTTGATGATGATGATGAAGAGAGGATCCAAGAGAAGCGAAAAAAGGTTGATGGTTTTGATCTTCATTGAGATCTATAGTGTAATGAAAATTCGAACCCATGACCGATAGAGATCGATGAAACACAAAAGAGAGGGAAGACGAGAGATTAGGAGAGATCAGGGACAAGTAAAGAAGGATCCAAGCTATACTATGTTTGACCCTTTTTTAAGGCAATATATAGACCACGAGCACAAACAAATGTTTGTGTATATGTGTGACTATATATGTGTGTATATATACACATATTAATTCTAATAATAATTAATTAGAAGAATTTAAAATATGGATAAACCATTATTTAATTTGTGTGCCATGTTTAATGTATAAAATATCAAAAAAAAATCTAATATGTATAAAAAAGAAGTACGGTATTAAGCAAAAAAAAAAAAAAAACAAATCAAGAGATTATGTTATATATATGAAGCCAAATGTATTCTTAATCGTCTTTAACATTTAGGGATATTGTTGCTACATACAAATACCATTTCTCAACACATAAACAAAAAAAAACTACTTTTCTGAAGGGAATTGATGAGTAGTTATATTTACTTCTTGTATTTTTTGGGGGTTCAATTCTTATTTTATGTTAATAAATTTGAAAAAATGAATCATGTAGAACATATCATTATTATTAACAAGTGTCTTGGCGTCTTGCTCACTAAAATAAATCTCATATTTATTAGGGTTTTAATATAATATAACCTTTTTTAGGAAAATGGATCCCTATAAAATTTAGGGCAGATGCCAGTGTTATATACTTACGCAAGGAAGTAATAAATGGCCATGTCTAGAGACTGATGAAGAGCAATCAACGGTCTGAATATCGGTGCTGCTAAAAAAATGATATGGTTGGAAATTGTAAGAGATAATGGTAAATAATAGAATTATAGTTGAGATCTATACTGAAAGTTTAGATAGTCGATTGAGCTACTAGTGTACTGCTGGTTAAATTGCTTAATTCGAACTACAACGGTTGAGATCCAAAACTTATTCATAGTTATTTTGTGAATACTTATTTATCGACGTTGTCAAACTGTGGAGAAAAACACAAACCAAAAGTAATAAATTAAGAGGTTCACGTGAGTCCATCTGAAAACAAACACATGAGACAAATGAGTGTAGGAATGGTAGTGGACGACCCCAAACACAAGTAATCCGATCCTATCTGTAATATTTCGTTACCATACAAAAGAGAGAAAAACAACCATATAACATATAATAAGTAGATAATAATTGTAATTACTTGAACAAGAGCCACACATATCATGATAATGATCAAATGATGCGTTGCAACCGGCTCATCTGGATGATCTAAAAATTTAGGGTAAAGTTAGATCAGGTCCTAAGTGATCATGTGATGAATAAAGAACTATGCACGAAGATAAGAAATTCTTTTGATTCCCGGTTCAATAATACTACGTACATGTGTCGTCAGTATATGATCGAGAACTCCATTGTTTTTTTTTTTTTTAAATTGCTACTTAGCCTTTTCATGATCTAAAAATGATTATTATCGTAGTCTGGATTAACCAAGACGACAAAAAGCATTTGGTTAATGACTACTAGATCTACAAGTTTAACAAGTAAAGTAACTTTTCAATTCGGTCGTTGTTTAGAGGTATATATTTTCTTAAGAAGATAAAGCTGTGTACGTACTTGAATGATCAAGATCTGTTAATTGATCAACCTAACGAAACATAATCGTGAATCCATTCACTATCGTCATTGATTCGTTGTTTTCTTAATGGTTAATCATTGCAAAGGTTGAAAAATGTTCGATAAATACCCCCAAGGAAATTATAAACAGGACCTTCAAAATAGATTCAATGAGGTTGATCGGTCATTTCTATCAAAAAGTTTGGTGATTAGTTAACTATATTTGTATACTGTATATCAATCATATGTTAAAAGACCACAGACAAATTATACTAGCTAGTATATATAATATATGTATATCAATATCTTTAACACTTTATCTTTCCAAGGCATGTGATTCATCAATAATCATTCTTAGAGAGAGAGGCAGTCCTGGAGAGAGGGGAATCATAATTGAGCGGAAGAGAACTCAGAGAAGACAAGAGATAGGTTTAGAATGGCAAAGGAAGAAAACATCCCCACCTTAGCATTCGCCAAAACCATTCAATTCCTTCTGATCAAGTTTTACAGGTCACTCAGGACCCCTCCTGCACATATATTTTCACTTTCATGAGTTTAGCTACTAAACGTTCTAAAAAGTTGTTTAGTTTCCAATTTGCTTTCGAAGTTTGATTTTATGTGCAAATAATGATTGATTATCGCTTAGGATTCATTCCCGCAAACTCGTAACTCTACTATTTCCAAATTTCATAAATTGAAGTTTGCTATAATGAGCATCAAGATTCGAGTAAAGTTCGGTGAAGATGAAGGAGATTTGATCAAAAAGAAGAATAACATTCTAAAGATTAAGGGCTTGATAGATGATTTAGACAACATCATTATTGTTATACAATGTGAATTATGATCCATGTCTATTTTTAGAGCAGGGACAAAAAGTCTAAAAATCAATACACGGATCAAAAACAAACAAAAGAAAAAAAGCGAGGATCTATCACCTTTGAAAGTTCCTTAGCTACAACTTGCTTTATGCACATACATCCAATTATCGCAGCTAATACGTAGCCCCACCACATGTTCAAATTTTTATAAGAAAAAACTTAATTATAATTTTTACCTTTGGGTAACTAAATGGTAAAAACAATAACTAAACTTTAAGTTACTTAAAAGTATATCTAAAGAAGTTCAGACAGACTTAACATGTAGGCTCTAGACCTTTCTTCTGACAATTATCATGCGAATTAGTTTGGATGTCTTTTCTTACAAACTCTCATATTGAACATAAAATAAAATCTGAAACGAGCGAGGAAATAAAAGCTGCCTATTGTAAGATCAAACATGTATGAATTTGGACCAAGTAAAAGTAACGTATGTAATTTTCAGAAGCAGGAAAAACTTAATAATTTTTCTAACTCCGGTCCGTTTCAACGGGTGTCCATCAACAACTATAAGCCCTAGCTAGTTGCAACCATTGAAACACAGCTAAGGGCAAGAGGGAAACTTACACAAAGAACAGAATCTGAATCACAATAAATGAAGTAAGAAGGAATCAGATATATACATATGTATTTAGGAAAAAAACAGAAGTGGCATGAGAAAAATAAACGATAGAGAGATGGGATACGTATGCCGCATAGGGATCACAAATTCTCACCAAGTGACAGTTTGAGAGGAACAAGACACATATTTAGACATACATATGAGACTGAATGTACATCTATATATATGAATGTCAGTAAAATTGGGGTTATGTCCAACATTTTGGTACTTTTCATGACTTGTCTCTTTTTTTTTGGTTTCTTCTATATAATAAAATTTCCCAAAAGGGACCATTACCTCTCTGATATATCTTCACCACCGTATCAATCTGTCTTGTGACATATATTGATCTGTGTGATGTGAGCTCTCTTTCTCTTCGATATTATCATCTAATCTTTACATCATTGTCACATATATACTTTTCATCCATTTAAAACGGATTTTCTAAGATTTTCTAAGTTATATAGTCCAGACTAATCTTCAACATACGTATAGAGAAATATTAATTATGTGGTGGCCAAGCATATACGTCCCCAAACCCAAACCCTAGAAAGCCTAGAAGATAATCTCTGAAGAATAAATGCGTCGCGATCGCTATCTTGTTGTCCACAGAGGAAACGGTTTAGTACAGCCGATTTTATCCTGGTTTGGTTCGGTTCGGTTCGTTTAATGATCCGGTTTTGTCCATTGTTTCTATTCCATTATTATGTTATTGGGCTGAAAACAAACTGGACTTTTAAAAGGGCATCTGTATGTTCGAATTCAAACATAATTTTCCTTTTTTTTTCTCCCATTTAGGTTCACTTGTTTATGATTTCTCATCTTTTCCTCTACAACATTGCAGTAGAAGTAGGTTCGACCACTTGAAAAAAAAAATATGTCAGATAGCAAAATTACAAGTTACAAGGGGGAATTTGAACCGGACTGTCTTTCAAATTCTTAGGACTTTACTACAAGGTTGAACCAAATTTAGGACATGAACAGGTTAGTCTAATTTAACCTACTAATTAGTTTTAGTAATTTGTTTCCTTTATAACACAGATTAACTAAGTAAAAAAGAATGAGTTGATGATACTAACGGGCCTTTGAACAAAACGTGAGCCCGTTTGGACTTAAAATTTGGATGGAGAAAGTCCAATTTACCTAGAAGGAATCGAGTGAAGAGAAACAAAAGAAGGCAAAAAATAAAGGTAGAAATGGGACAATATATTTTGTGTTGTAAAAGTCAAGGAAAGCTGCAACATCAAATACACATGCGTAAACGATCGTAAAATAATATTTTGTATGGAGTCCACCGTCACTATGTATGCATAGTAACTTACTTTTTTCTGCCTATATAAACGAACGAATTCGTTCGTTGTAAATCACAATTGATACTTCAACAATAAGAAGTTATAAGAACTCTCTCTCCTCCTCTCATCTCTTTATTTTCAGTATCCCGATCCTTCTGCGGGTATAATTTTCTCTTCATTAAATATTTATATATCTACCATAAAATCAAATACTCTTTTATAACACGTTATCAGCACGATCACTCTATGATCGCTGAAAAAAAAAATACGGTATTATACTGGGCGGTATGTCGCCTCGTTAAAAGAAAAAATATGAGAAAAAAAAAAAGGAGAAAAGAAAATTATATAAATAAATAAAAGAAACTATATATGTATATATATATATGTTACTTCATGCACCATAATTAATTATTTTCTGTTAATGGTTGGCTGAGCCACCTGAAATTTTATTCACTGCTTTAAATATTTATTTCTGCTACCGGTCGGCTGAGCCGCCTTAATTTTATGTACTGCTTTAGATATTTATTTATGTTGCCGGTCGGCTGAGCCGCCGTAATTTTATGCACTGCTTTAAATATTTATTTCTGCTACCGGTCGGCTGAGCCGCCTTAATTTTATGTAGCTACTTCTTCAAATCATGCTGAGATCATCGCACTCCATGAAGCGAGTAGAGAATGCGTGTGGCTAAGATCAATAAGTCGACATATTCAAACCAGTAGTGGAATTAGTCTGAATACAGAGCCAACTATCTTGTATGAAGACAATGCTGCATGTGTTGCTCAGACAAAGGAAGGATATATCAAAAGCGATAGAACCAAACATATCCCTCCAAAGTTCTTTTCATACACCCAAGAACTCGTGAAGAATAAAGACATTGAAGTAAAATATGTCCGATCATCCGAGAATTCTGCGGATCTCTTCACGAAATCATTACCCACCTCTATATTCAGGAAACATGTTCATAACATTGGAATGCGTCGTCAACAAGACTGTAAGTTATGATCCTGATCATTCGAGGGGGAGCTTGCGCGGTTGCACTCTTTTTACCTACTATGGTTTTTCCCACCGGGTTTTCCTAGAAAGGTTTTTAACGAGGCAACATAAAATATTACGCAAGAGACATAGTGACACTGGTCTCCAAGGGGGAGTGTTGTAAAAGTCAAGGAAAGCTGCAACATCAAATACACATACGTAAACGATCGTAAAATAATATTTTGTGTGGAGCCCACCGTCACTATGCATGCATAGTAACTTACTTTTTTCTGCCTATATAAACGAACGAATTCGTTCGTTGTAAATCACAATTGATACTTCAACAATAAGAAGTTATAAGAACTCTCTCTCCTCCTCTCATCTCTTTATTTTCAGTATCCCGATCCTTCTGCGGGTATAATTTTCTCTTCATTAAATATTTATATATCTACCATAAAATCAAATACTCTTTTATAACATTTTGTACTTTAACTAGATTAAATTCGTTTTTCGAGCACCTAACCAAGTTTGAATTTACAACAATGTTGATAGTGTGACACTATACCAACACAAAACTTGTCTCTTTTCACTTTTCCAGCAAAATAACTTATGATTAGTTAGAGCATTGTTATTTCATTTTTAGATTTTTGAATGCTCAATGACCTCCCTTGCTCTGTCTTTTCATACAGAACGCGAAACATAGGAGACGTCAAAGTATTAAATTTAAAAAACCACTTTGTTTGTTTTTTGTATTGTGAAAATCGCAATTTTCGTATGCTCCTATCTACTCTTTACGTCGATAAAAACGTATTGAAGATACGCTATAATAAGGTGATATTTCTTGCGTGTTCCAGTGAGACAGCATTATTACAACTCCCGTTCCAATTTCAATTTCATAACAGATATAGGTTTAAGATAAAACAACTTTCAATTTTATGTGATTTTCCTTTTGGAACTCTTTACTTAACATGCGATTTGTTTTTGGCAAAATACATAAACAGTTTTTAATAAACAAAGTGCACGGTATTATCTGTCACAATGGTTAGCTGGTGAACGTTGGGGGATTGGATAGGGGTGTTAGTAAGATTTGATTAATAGAGCCACGTGGTATTCTTTGAATGGTTAGTAGGCCGTCGAAGGTAAAGCTTTGTAGTCAACGATACTAAGTCATAAGATGCGGCAACTTTGATTTGCTCAACGAACCAATATTGTCAACTAAACCTCATTTCACAACTTCAATTATTGAATTTAATTAATACAATATCCTAATGCTAACTAAAAGCCTTTTATTTTAAAAAGGTGTTGTTCACTTTACTGGAGCATATAGTTCGGGTAGGCTTTCTCCCTAGATTGTTCACTAGGCATACATTTTTTATGAGAGTGAGTAAATATTTAACCTTTAACAGTCAAACAAAGAGTGTCACCAATCCTAATTTCTTAAACTTTGCCTAAGATCTTTAAAAGTACTAAGTAAGGTCATACCAACAACTAGCTGAACTAATTTGGTTAGGTATATAATATAACCAATCAAAAATTCATAAAAGAAAAATATATATAGCTTGCCATCATTAATATGCATTGCGCAATCGACTTTTACTATGGTCTTCCACATGTTGGCTACATAGGGTCACGGACCACACAACTTGCAATATATCCCATTTCAAAGATTTCATTATGGTCTATTAAATGTTTTCAGATGATCTATTAAATGTTCAAGAACAATAATACATACAGTATGTTTTAACATATAAGTCAACATAAAATCTAATAATATGAAAAATCAGTATGTTGAAAATCTACATACTTAAATTTTATCTCTCTAATTATGATGTTTAATACTCAATCTTGAAACCAAACAGATTTTAGATACAATTATTTAAATGAAATTTGATAGATTTCATATTTAAGTTGAAGTAAGTGTGTTTGGTTATTTAACTACTCAACAAGAAAAAAAAAATTAGAAAATGGGAAAATGGATCTTAAAGAAATAGGAAAATTGTAAAGTACTCAACTGGTAACTGGCAAGGTACTAAGCCAAGGGTTTAAAGTCACCCGCCCAAATGAAGTAAACTGGGTCCCTCTAACTTCCGACTAAAATTTGTAAATGGCAATGAGACAAAAATAATGCTTCCATAATTCAAAATCATTATTGGCAATAGGACAAATTAATCAAATGTTGTTTATCCATTGCTATTTTCCTAATTACTCTTCCAAATGTTCTCATTTGGTGCAAATACTCAAAATATATAATAATAAGATGACATGTGTGTCAACCTTAATCTATAAATAGCCTCAAGAACCTCATAACCCCAAACCCACTAATACCCCAATACTAACATTTTTGGTGGAATCTTCTTCTTTACCAGTTTCTCCACACACACAAAAAAACTTCCAAAGGTTTGATTTTGCAAATTAAATAAGTGAAGAAATGGGGTTAAATTTCAGGGATAAAGCCTGGATACTTCTGGGGATTCTTTGGTGTTCATCTTTGATTTATTCAGTTAAAGCAATGGTCACTTACGATCGTAAAGCTGTGATCATCAATGGTCAGAGAAGGATCCTTCTCTCTGGCTCCATTCACTACCCAAGAAGCACACCTGAGGTACTCTTCAATTTCTTCAACACATAGAAAAACAAATCTCTTTTGTTTATGGCTAAGCAGAATCTTAATGCAATTTTTCTTCTATGCATATTTTCTGCGTTCTTATTGGATCTTTGTTCCCAAAGTTTTTCTGCACATGGACTTTTCTTGATTTTGCTTATAGTCTACACTATTTCATTACAAATTCTGTTGTTTTTTTGTATAAGATAAAAGTATTTATAAAAATATCTCGTGAATGCTCTGTTCTATATATAGATGTGGCCTGACCTTATACAAAAGGCCAAAGATGGAGGTTTGGATGTTATACAGACTTATGTTTTCTGGAATGGGCATGAACCTTCTCCTGGACAAGTAAATTTACAAAAGCATTATTGATTTTTCTGCTAACTCATAAATCAAAGTTTTTACTCTTAACTAATGTTTCTTATTTTTTTCATCTGCTTTAGTATTATTTTGAGGACAGATATGATTTGGTTAAGTTCATCAAACTGGTACAACAAGCTGGTCTTTACGTTCATCTCAGAATTGGTCCTTATGTTTGCGCTGAATGGAACTTTGGGTAAAATATATGTTTTAATACAAATTAAATTTGTGAACCTGTTTATTTTTTCTAAACCCAATTATTGATTTAAAATATGTTTAAATGGTTTTCAGAGGGTTTCCTGTTTGGCTCAAATATGTTCCCGATATGGTATTTAGGACCGACAATGAACCTTTCAAGGTCTAAAGCTTATCTAATTTTCTTCTCATATGTTATAAAGTTTCCATTTTTTGCGGTAACTAAAAAATAATTGATGTGATAATGAAAAGGCTGCAATGCAAAAATTCACTGAGAAGATTGTGGGGATGATGAAAGAAGAAAAATTATTTGAGACTCAAGGAGGACCCATCATTCTGTCACAGGTTTGTATGTTTTCGTATTAGTTATTACATTATGTCAGTAGACAGTAGTACCAAAAATGAATCTTTGTTTTTAAAATACTAATTTCATTGTATGTGTATGATAAAATTGATAAAATGGGCAGATAGAGAATGAGTATGGACCAATAGAGTGGGAGATAGGAGCACCAGGGAAGGCATACACAAAATGGGTAGCTAAAATGGCACAAGGACTCTCCACCGGTGTCCCATGGATTATGTGCAAGCAAGATGATGCTCCTAACTCTATTGTATGTTCTTCTTCCCTTTTCTCTCTTTAATTATTACATATTTGCTTTCTGGTTATTTTCTTTAAGCAAAAGAAGTAATTTTGTTTATTACTTTTCTGAGGTGTTTTTTTTTGTATTTAAAAATATGTTATTGTGTTCTCTTAAATCTTTTTTTTCATAATAATACAAAAGGAAAAGAAAAGTTTTGTTGAGTACTTAGTTTTTTTTTTTCATTTTGTATTGTTTATTTTCTTGTCTTCTCTTACTTTTACATCTTAATAATACATATACCCTATTAATTGGTTTTATTATACCCAACGATTATAATATATGTTTTCTTTAAGCAAAAGAAGATGTTTGTTAATTCATTTAAATTTTTTTTTATAGAATATCCTTTGTGTTTGTGTTCTCTAATAGCTCGAATCATCTTTCCTTGTATACGTTCTTGGTAGGTTAGTCATTAATATTCTCTGTCTCTTTTGATTTAAAATTCTCTTCATCACTTTCTTGTTACCAATTGACGTTTTTATCAGGCTTTCTAACTTGGGAATAACGATACTTCAGTTAATTTGATTTCCTTCTCATATTTTCCGTTACATGGACCTATCGATCAAAAGGAGAAAATTAGTGGAATCCATATTGCTTTCATATTATATAGTCCTTTTTAACACATGACAAAAACCAACTGTAATTGTTTTTTATTTGGTCGATAGATAAACACATGCAATGGATTTTATTGTGAGAATTTCAAACCAAACTCGGACAAGAAGCCGAAAATGTGGACAGAGAACTGGACTGGTTGGTAAGTCACACAACACAATTGTCCCTTCCAAAAATATTACTGTTCAATACAAATCTTTAAGACCCAAAAATAAAAATTTAATGGATCTTTTATTTTTGTAATAAATATATTTTAAGTGTGTGAATCTGCAAATAATTTACCAGGTTCACAGAGTTTGGAGGTGCGGTACCATACAGACCAGCCGAAGACATTGCCTTATCCGTGGCTCGCTTCATACAGAACGGTGGCTCCTTCATCAACTACTATATGGTAACTTCATTCATATTCTCTATTGTTGAAATAATAAATATAAGATTTGATAACTAAATAGAGTGAGGAAATGTTGCTAAATAGTACCATGGAGGAACCAACTTCGACAGAACAGCTGGCGAATTCATCGCCACCAGCTATGACTATGATGCTCCTCTTGATGAATATGGTAATTTAACTCTCATCACCTGCAAAACAAAATGGTAACAAACGATATTGATCTAACACTTATTTGGTTTATTTGTCTAAAAGGGTTGCCGAGAGAACCTAAGTATAGTCACTTGAAAAGGCTGCACAAGGTCATCAAGCTCTGCGAACCGGCATTGGTCTCTGCTGATCCTACGGTCACATCGCTCGGCGATAAACAAGAAGTAATGGACGCAATGCATAGCAATAACGATACACATGAGAAGAGAAGGAAAACTTTCAAAAAAAGTTATTCACCTTTTTGTTGTGTGTTTTGTTTTTCAGGCTCAAGTGTTCAAGTCTCAGTCATCTTGCGCTGCTTTTCTCTCAAACTACAACACTAGTTCTGCTGCAAGAGTCTCGTTTGGCGGATCTACATATGATCTGCCTCCTTGGTCTGTCAGTATTCTACCCGACTGCAAAACTGAGTATTACAACACTGCAAAGGTATATAAACCTAAGGAAAAAACTTATCAAACACATTACCTTGTTGATATGTTAAGGGTGATGGTATCACTGAAATTGACATCTGTGTTACAAGGTACAGGTCCGTACATCAAGCATACACATGAAGATGGTTCCCACAAACACACTATTCTCTTGGGGATCATACAACGAAGAGATTCCTTCTGCAAATGACAATGGTACCTTTTCACAAGATGGGCTTGTGGAACAGATAAGCATCACCAGAGACAAGACAGATTATTTCTGGTATCTGACAGAGTGAGTAATACTTGAAAACTCTTGACTTGGGGAAATCTCACTATCTATCTTACAGTCTCAACGAGAGAACTCACGGTTGGTTTTGTCTACGAATACAAATCAGCATTACGATCAGTCCTGATGAAAAGTTCCTGACTGGTGAAGACCCTCTTCTTAATATTGGGTCAGCTGGGCATGCTCTTCATGTATTCGTTAATGGTCAGCTAGCAGGTAACATTAAGATAGGCCAAACTCATCCTCATGGTAGCTTGTATTTGTCTTCTGTTAAACTTTTCATTGTTTCAGGAACCGCTTATGGATCACTGGAGAAACCAAAGCTAACATTTAGTCAGAAGATCAAATTACATGCAGGGGTCAACAAACTTGCTCTATTGAGTATTGCAGCGGGTCTGCCGGTTAGTTCCCTCGATCTAGTTTATCTCTGCGCTTTTTTCCCATTCACTGATTACGTTCTAAGCTTCCTGGTCCTTCATTACTCACAGAACGTTGGTGTGCATTATGAGACTTGGAATACTGGAGTTCTTGGCCCAGTGACACTGAAGGGAGTTAACTCCGGAACATGGGACATGTCTCAATGGAAATGGTCTTACAAGGTCCTCCTGAAATTCAAGAGAAACGAGTTTGACTTACCAATAATCATAACAATGAAATAAACATGTGTTCATTTGTGTGTTTCAAGCAGATTGGTACAAAGGGTGAAGCTCTGAGCATTCATACCGTAACCGGGAGTTCCACCGTGGAATGGAAACAAGGATCATTGGTGGCCACAAAGCAACCTTTGACCTGGTACAAGGTAAGAGAAACAGAATAATCAATGAATCATGCCCATCAACAAAGTTAATGAAAACGGAAAACCACAGGGCAGGATTCTTACCATCTCTTTTTGCAGTCTACTTTTGACACACCAGCAGGCAATGAACCATTGGCTTTAGACATGAACACAATGGGGAAAGGTCAAACATGGATAAACGGGCAGAACATCGGACGTCACTGGCCAGCATATACAGCTCGTGGGAAATGCGAACGCTGCAGCTATGCTGGGACTTTCACCGAGAATAAATGTTTGAGTAACTGTGGAGAAGCTTCACAAAGATGGTGAGGAAAAATGCCTAAACTCTACTCCTATCTTCTTCTTTAGAACAAATTTGATTCAAAGGGGTTTGAACTTTTTCTTGTTTTCAGGTACCATGTGCCTCGTTCATGGCTAAAGCCAACTAATAACCTTGTAGTTGTACTTGAAGAATGGGGTGGTGAACCCAATGGGATCTCTCTTGTAAAAAGAAGAGCCAAATAATAGCTTTATGTCTCCATTTTTTTCAGGATAAAAACTGTTTCATTGTGTCTCTGCTTTGAAAATTTAAGGTTATACAGATTAAATGTACATATATACTGGGAACTATTGGCTCATGTAGATGAACATTATCTCTATCTTGCCTATTAATATACTCACTGCAAGTGTATAATGTATTTTTACAGAATAAAAAACAAAACCAAAGCTTGTGAATTCCATTTTCTTCTCTATCTTCATCTAAGTCTTGTGAATGCTTTAAACAATGTGATTTCTAAGTACACTACAGTTGATTGAATTTGAAGATCATAAGACACGACAAATTGTCTCCATCAAATATTCAATAATCAAATCCAAAAGCTATAAGTAATTTGACAAAATCACAAAAATAGGAAAGCACTGACCTGTGCCTTGAGCAGATTAGACCAAAAGCTCAACTCCAGAAACCAGAATCATCGCCAGCTCCGAGATCGCATTGCTCTCTTCTTCACTATCAGAAATCTGTTGGGCCTTTCACAATAAAGCCCATATAAAAAAAAAGGGAAAGCTGCCATTTTACGGTAGACTACTTTGGACTACTTTGCATGAACATGTGAATTTTTATAAAAATTGTTCCTAACTTCCTATCATAGCAAGATATCAAGGTTTTTTCCGAAATTCTAAATAAAGAAACTTATTGTTCTTATCTACGATCGTTTATTACTAACATCTCATTGATGGACAATAAAGTATTCTTGGTCACTTACAAAAATATCAGTAGTGGACATTACTTAGCAGTGTTCTTTGTCCCTTTGGGCAAGTTCATTATCAGCAACTTTGTCGTTAATTATATCTTCATTGCAATATTAGCTACTATACGACTCAAACAAATGTGATATTATTAATTTACTATACGACCCAAAACGAATTGTGATATTATTTTAATCGTTTGACCACCCACACAAGTAATTAATGCTTCACGTTGCTTGATCACAAAAGAAGAGAGAAGTCGCGCGTGGATTACACTCGCGGGTGATTTCTCTCCCAACTCTTCTTCTTCTTCTGAGCACAATCTCTTGTGTCGTTGATGGGGTCTCTGTTAATTCCGGCGACGATGAGACCCCGTGGCTCATGGTTCTTCAACCGTGATCCGCTACATCTTTTCGGTGAAGCTATCCATACAAAATTAAGGGAGCAGTAGAGAGGAGCAGATTCCGCGAGACAACGCCGGTATGAACTCTATCGGTGAAGTAGCGACGCAGTGTGGAAGAGAGTCTTCACGGCGACGAACGAGGGAAGACGACGGTTAGATCTAGGGATTGGAGATTCTGGAAGATTCAAGGGGTCGCCTCGTGATGGGGGAGGTCGACTCCGGCCCAGTGAAGCTAAGCCACCGTCGATGGTCCTTAGATCTACTCCCTACTGCCTTCAACTCTCATGATTGAGCTTGGAGATTCACGACAAATGATGGTCGGATCTCTTCTTCCTCCTCAAAACTGCTCTACGGTGGCGGGATGGCAACGGATCGTGGATCACTATCTCCGTTCGGCACGCGTTGTCCAGGCTCACCGGAGGTTTTCTGTTCCGGCGAGTTTCTGCAGTTCTTGGACGGCGGCTCTATCGTGTTCTACGATTAGAGATTAGGGTTTTTCTTTAGCTCCGGTTCAGATCGGTTAAGTAAAACCTAGTCGGTTTTATAATAGATGGTTTAAGTCGGTTAGATGCTAGTGGATCGGGTCCTAAAGAAAAAATGTATGGACCTAAATCCGGAAATATCTCAATGGACCTTTTATTTATAAAATTTGCATACCCTTTAACAAAAAAAAAAAAAAATTGCTTGATCACCATGTCGTTTTCTTTAATCCCAACTTGACTTTCTGGAAAGATTAAAAAGCTTGAAGATCCTCTCCTCCACTTGAAGAGCTGCATCGACAATGTAGAAGACAAACACACACGATGTCTCTCTTGCTTTCTTTTTTTTCTTCACTTTCTTCACTTTCTTATTTATTTTTATCTTTTTTTTTCCTTTTTGTGTCTTTTTATTTCTCCCACCTGTTTTTCGTTAACATATAAAATAATTCAAAGAAATCGATACATTAAAAAATACTATATGACAATCACTTAGCCAATTTTCTAATACCGAAAATTCAAACTCGTTCTTACGATTATCTGTAAAAATATGCATAAGAGTAAAGATGTAACAATTGTTGCATGATCGAAATATAAAGCTTATAAGTTACTGTGAAACAGCGAACACCACTATCTAATAATTATTCATTGTAGCCAAGATATAAAAAATTTAGGCTTATCATGTTATATTCTTAGATGTGTTGTTTAATATTTATAACTGATATCATTTATAATACAAGTCCCTGTGATTATTAGTTATTTTAGGTTTGTCAACTATATGTTGGTTTTATATCCATTAACAATAAACAAAACAAAAACTAGATTTGTTTTAATTTGCAAATGCAAGTGTTTAAAGTATCTTTAAAACAGAAACTAAAAGTGTAAAGACAATGAATAAAAGCTCAAGGAATAAGAAAGGAAAAAATGTAAAGGATGCATGATTTATGTAAAAGTAAGCAATTTTAAAAATAGAAAGAAAGAAATATAACTAAAACATGTGATATTAGAAAACTATAATATTGTCAAAAGAAAAATGTGGGCTCGGGGTAGAGGATCATTGTGAGCCGATGAGACGATGGAGTCACGGGGTTAAACCTTGGTTCTATGGGGTCAATGTAAGAGTTTTGTAGCCATTTATCTCTATAGTTCAATCATCAAAGACTAGACGTGCATATATAAAATTAATGTAAGAAAACATTGAACCTAATAGGATTAAAATTAACCGGGCCTTGTGGCCTAGTGGTAAAGGGGTCACAGCTGTGACTTCCGCCACCAGGGTTCGAGGCACGGCTACTGGCAGGTTTACATAGGGGAATTGCCAGCCTCGTGGGATTAGTCATTGGGCCTAGGAAGCCTTTGGGAGACCCGCGGTTATTCAAAAAAAAAAAAATAGGATTAAAATTAATTTACTTAAATTATCTGTTAGAAATAGATTTAACTATTTCAAATGGATGATTATCTTCTCTACACAGCTACTAAACTAGACGATTTAACTGATATTACGTTAAGACCAAACATATATACTGTTTAATATCTGACTTTGTTTTAGAAAACAATCAATATAAAAAGACAAATTAATAAAAAAAACAAAGACCCATAAACCTAACGCAAGGTCATTAATGAATAACCAAGACAAAAATATCTCTAATATAAATATTATCCACTACAATGCATTCTTCACTCTGCGACACACAACAACAATGGAGCTACTCACAAGCTTGACCAACTGGTTAACTCCGACGACTCTCTTCCTCCTCCTCAACTTCACGATCGGCACTATCTTCATCACCAACCGGTTCAGTTCCGGTTCAAGAAAACACAACCCGAATCAAGATGGTTTCGGGTCGGGTCATGACCAAAATCATGCACGGTTTGGCAGACCTCCTTCGCTCATAGACAGAGTCAAGTCCATCAACTTCCATCTCTACAATTCTCCTTCACCAGAATCCGAGATCCACTTCTCCGGGTCGGATCCTAACCAGAATCCACCTCCTTCTCTCTTGCAACGGGTCAAATCCATCAACGTGCCTTACTTCAAGTTCCCACAACACAATTCTGAAGGAGATTACGCTGCTTACGAGCTCATGACCCGACCCGAAGAGACTAACAGGGTCGACCCGATCGATAAGATCCCGGAAGATGACGTCATGACCGAACCTAGATTCGGAGCTCCATCACTCTTGCAGCGGGTAAAATCCATAAAGCTTCCTTCTTTATACAGATCCGACCCAGATCCAACCCCAGAAGAGCAAACACCGGCGAGGACGAAGTCGGAGTCGAGTAAACCGGCGACGAAGAAGAAGAAGAAAGCTACAAAGAAGATGATGAAATCTGCTAGCGAGAGACACATCGGCCGGGAAGAGGAGACAGTTGAGGCCGTGGAAAAGAGAAGGCCGGAGACTATGAGAGTTGAAAGAACGACGTCGATCGGAGACGGAGGAGAAGAAGGTGTCGACGATAAAGCTTCAAATTTCATCAACAAGTTTAAGCAGCAACTTAAGCTACAGAGGCTAGATTCGTTTCTAAGGTACAGAGAGATGCTCAAGAACGACTAAGTGAAGATTACGCTTTTACCCTTATTCGGAATTGTCTTTCCCCGGCTTTCCAGTTTGGAGTTTCGTGGTAAATACTCCCTGAACCTGAAGGGCTTTTAAGTAATTTTGGATCATATTTTATAGTTTGTGTCTAGATTTGGTGATGACTGGATGACAAAACTAGTTTGTGTCGTGTGCGTAATTGCTGGATCTGGACGTATGAGTTCCACTGCACTTTTTTGTTTTTACTCGATGGTAAAAGTAAATTTTATGCTGTTTTTACGTGGAAAAAGTATTCTAAAATAATCTTATTTTCTTTAAATCAAACATTCATCGATAGTTGCGACAGAAGAAAAACATTCATCTATAATTAATTCTCTCGTCAGATTAGAAAAACTACAAAATCTACTACTTTTTCCCAATTTTTTTCAAAATCTACCACATTTCTTCTCTTCTTTCAACTCATACCACATTTAGATATAGAATTACCATTTTGTCCTCCCTATTTATCTTCCCTATTAATCTCTCTTCTCTATTTATCTTTCCTCTATATTTATTTTCTTTCCCTATTTATCTCTCTTCTCTCGAAACACGTGCGCTTTAACCAAGAAACATTAAATCTCATGAAACTAAACAATTAAATTTCGTTCTTGTCTCTAGATCTTGTCCCCGATTTCATCATCTTGCTCTATTATCATCATCTTGGACTTGTCCTCGATCTAATTCTATTACCCATTCGATCTGAACTTGTCCTCGATCTAATTCTATTCCAGTTGTCCCCGAGTAAATCCAGATCTCTGGCGGGCAAAACTACACCATCTGGCGATGGACAGTCAAGAGAATTGGATGATAAAAATCATCATGCTCAATTTTTGATCTAATTATATTACTCATTCGATTTGACTTGTCTCCGATCTAGTTCTATTACCCATTCTATCTGAATTTGTCTCTAATCTAATTCTATTACTCATTCGATATGAACTTGTCCCCGATCTCATTCTATTACTCATTCGATCTGAACTTGTCCCCTCTTTTATCTAATATATTAAAAGAGCAATTAATGGTCTAACCCTACTCTATTATCATTTTTATTAATTAAATTCAATTATCTAGCAAATGTAAATGTGCAGCATTTATTGCAGACCTACTCCTTCTTTGGAAGCGCCGGACGAAACTGTCTCTGTCTCTGACACAGACTATGTCCCTGACACAGACTCTGTCCCACTCAGGGGTATTTTGGTCCACAATTCCGCATGTGCTATTGGAATGTGGTAGATTTTGAAAACATTTTGAGAATATGGTAGACTTTGAATGCCACTTGTTGAAATGTGGTAGATTTTGCAATATTCCCCGTCAGATTCTAGTTTCTTGAAGTTTTTTAATACTAATATACTACTAAATAGTTTGATTAAGAACAATATTTGTTAATGTCAACTGGATTTATTGGTCTATCTGTTACTTTCTTATGGCATGGAGTTGTTATCAGTCTACTATTTTTATTGAACCACTAATGACAACGACGGTTCTCACTCTCATGAAACGTGCTTATGTCAACATACATTTTATGAAGCTATTAATCATCTGCCAAAATATCTTGTGAGTGGATAATTACAAGAATATTTGTACTATTAGATTGAATTTAGAAGACGTATTAGAATTTAGAAGACGTTAGATATCATGTAATTAAGGAAAAAGACATTGCTATTTTTCAGTTTGTCATTATTCATGATTTTGTATGAATGATAAAAAAAAAAAAAGTCTTCAGTTATTATCATGAAGTTTGTTTAATTTGAGATATGACTACAATGTCTAATCACGGTCGACGAAGATATTTTTCGTATAGATATTTTTCAAGAGTATGGGCAAATATGAAATATCTCAAATTAGAAAGAGTGTTATATGATTATAATAGTTGAAAACTTGAAATGATCCATATGTTTCAGTTGACATGCCTCCTTTATACCGATTTGATAAAGTTTGTATGAACATACACTATATGTGAATGTTTTTTCTCATAGCTTCACGACGATACTAAATCATTCATGCATGACATTTTATGGTATGTAACTTAGATGGGTGGGTAATCTAATTTGCAAAATTTTTGGTTCTTAAAGCCCGACACAGGAAGGTACTCAGGCACCGGTTCCCCACCAATGCCTTTTTGTGTCGAAAATCTTGGTTGAAACTTCATTCAATCGTGTGAAGGGAGTACTATCAAAACCCTAACTTAATGACAAATAGAAAAGTGACAAGTGCTCTTTCAGGTCACTGTCTCTAAGATTCAAAATCAGTTGTACTTGATGCTCCTTTGCAGCCCTAGAGAACCTAAAGGGTTTTGTCCTGTCCTAAGTTTTGAAGAATGGTTCACGGTTCACGTGAAGGGAATCTAAAAGTCACGTGAGTCTCACATGGTTTGAGAGTCTCTTTTTGAGTTAGAGTGTCTTTTCTGTCTTCTATAAAGGCAATCGTCTCATCGTTTGTCTTATTCGGTTTTGTGGTGGAACAGAGGAACGGTGCGATGATGTTGTCAATGACTGACCAACCTCGAAAATCATTGTAAGAGTTTAAGATACATTATGCTATTTAGATTTGTTAATCATCTTAAACCTTTCTCTCATTAACAGTCGATCGTTATTTACCACACTAAAACAATCTCTTGAGTGAACAAGCCGATCACAAAAACGTATATCATTGGCTAAAAATTTATTATATTTGTTTGAAACGCACTAGGAGCTAGAATACACATGATGCAAAGTGAAGAACAAAACTACACGACGTAGATGAAAAACAGAGAAAATAACAAATATGAAAACAGATAATATGTACATGTGGTAGTAACAACAAAACTTACATAGGGTGGCCAAAAATCTCATAATTTGAAGAGACATCATTTTTAGTTGCGGGAGTGAAATGGGATATGATTTACTATTCCCTAATCCCCATTTCCGCATGGTCGTTTCAAAAAGTCCCGTTTGTCCACTCTTAGGCGCCGGTGAGAGAGTTTTCTATTAGACCTCATCGCAGAGGTTGGTTTCGCTGTGGAAGGCTTTCCAAATTCCTCCTTGTCCTCACTAAAGGTCTTCATCAGCGTCTCTTGTAGTTCCACGTACCTTTGCTTCTTCTGTAACCGTTTCTCAGGAGTGTCTTCTTCTACGCTAGCAAGATGATTCAAGTCCTCGGTGTCCATAAAGTGATCAAGCGAACAACGTCTGAAGTAGCGTTTCCCCAGTTCCACTGATGATACAAATTAAAGAAATAAACATCATTTCTTTGTTGGTTAGAAAAGAGATGACATATACGAATCAATCCATACCGGTTTTACAAACTGCTCTTAGTCTACTCAAATGCTTCTCATGGATTTGGAAAGGCGCCATATTTAGGTCCAGTGATGTCCGCTTTTCACCAATGCGATGATCAGGCTCGAGACTAGAAGCTGTAAACTCGCATGTTTCGTCCAATTTGGCAATATCCTGTACAATTTCAGATTCCACTGGAAAGAGAAGTCGAGCAAGTGCAACTGAACAGTATAGATCATAGTTATCATTAGTTCCACTCAGTTTCCTATCCGAAATTCGATTTTCAAGTGAAAGAAGAAACCATACCTCGATTTTCATAATAGAGCAACATCATCCGCAACTCCTCGGGAGTCACTGGAAGAGAAAGTGAAGCTTCTCTAGGCAACACATATTCTAGTTTTTGTTCATGCTCAAGTACCTCTATGCATAATCCGCCTTTCAGAGAATGTGTGCCGTCCTCCATACTAGTTTTGTAGTCATCCGTTTTAGTTAGTCGTTTTGCAATCACGAGAGCGGTTCTACCATCCAATAATGTATCTAATACATTTGCCCCTTTCATTAACAAAGATATTATCAGTTTTGGCTCCTTCCGCATCGCAGCAACATGAAGAACAGTGTATCCCCTTGGATTTCTATGGTTAACATCCGCAAGCTCAAGCTCAAGGAGATCATACGCGGTCTTCACATCACAATGCGCGATAGCAAAATGAAGAGCATACGCCATATCAAGATTGGTATGTCCCTCTAGCAAAAGCATCTTGACAAGCTCAACATCATCAGAGTCTAGTGCCTTATATAAGTTCTTGACATGTATTTGTAGTTCAGGTGGCTCTAGACCAAGCGCTTTGCGGATACCAGTGATTTGCTTGACAAAGTGTTGAGGCAAAGACTTCTCAAGACTAACTAGTTCTATATCAGACTTGACGATAATCTCTATGCATCTATCCAAAAGCTTCTTGTATGTTTGACCACAAAGAGTATCAAGCTTGAATATAACCAAGATGTCTTCGACCACAACTTTGTCTACAATTTTCAAGAATTGTCTCTGAAATGCATAAAGAAGAGACTTAAAATGAAATTGCTTTTTTTTGACTGATGTTATGAATCAATGAGAATTTAGCAGATCGTATTTTTTTACCTCATACATAGTAACTAGTTCCGGAATCTGGAAAACGAAAGCCAAATAAAGAACCTCCACCATGAAATCCACCTTTGGCCGGCAAGCCACGTGGCAGCAATCGTCGTCTACGCAATCAGAAGCTCCCTTCGGCGGCGGCCTCACTCTGCCGCTGTAAACAAACGCCAAAACCGCCGCCACCGAATCAAAGCCGACTTCGTAATCTGTGGCGATCTTCTTCATCTCGAGCTTCACGGTGGTGGATTTTTGTTCCTTCACGGTGGCTAACGCACTTTTGAAGACAGGAATTCTCGCCGAGAGAATACAACGATGGAAAGAAACTTCCCGGCCGCCAGCGAGAACTAGCTTAGCGTCGCTGTAGAAATTTTCCGGTGAATCAAAAACAGACTCAAGGCAATTTGACAAAAGCTGAAGCGCTGATACCTCCGGTGGTGTGAGAAATTCCGACGGGTAATCAATAGATGACTCGGCGGCGAAGAAACTATTACCGCTTGTGTTGCTAAATTCGTAAGATGAATCAGAGAATCTAGCGGTGGTGGTAGCCATCATCACAAAAATTCGAGATCGGCGGGAAACAGAGTCAGAGACTCAGAGGCTAACAGTGGAATTTCAAGAAACAACGACCGAATCGTCTCATTACCAAATAAAGAAACTTATTATCAACAACGGTCTTACTCAAGCACCTTTTGTAAATTTCTTGGAAACTAGAATGAAAGGCTTGTGTTTGTAAACGGAATATAAGTTAAATAAATACTCTGAATGGTAAACCAAGCGGTTTTTTTGTTTTTTCCTCTCTCCTCATTATGATGGGTCCCCTCTTTAGCATGTCTCCAATTTACTATTTGGCTCTAATCTTATGGATTATGTGACTAGACCAAATTGTTGTTGTTCAGAACCTCAGTTATAATAGATAATTAGTGTTGAACAAGCTGAGCCATTGGTCAAATTAAGCATATTATACTCATCCATCATAACTGATGTTGACAGATTTTGACTTGACTAAAATATGGTCATAGTCCAATTATTCATCTTTTTAGTCTTAATTCACAACAAAATAGTTAACATTGAATATCGAAAGACAGTAAACAAAAGAATAATGATCGTTCCCACTACCCAATAGGATCAAATAAAAATGGTTAATGAAATTGAAACCTCTCTTTCGTCGACAAAGTTTAGAAAGCTAAGGAAAAAAAAACAGCTAAACAAAAATGCATGTTTGTTTCTACAATTTCAACTCCATGTTAAAAACATTTGTCCCTTCCCAAAGAACAAAACAATGAAGTAGTGATGGCGGAGACTGAGAAGGGGATGGTGATTCATTGATTCTTAAATTAAACACGAAGGTTTACTATTAAAGTGATTTAGAAAAAATAAACACACCGATAGAAAAATGATCAAAACTCCTACGAGCATCATCAATATGGAGATGAATTTTACTTTAAAAAACCCAAAACTTTTTCTCAATCGTCATTCTTGATGAACAGACACATATTTTTCACGCAGTCCTTGTTTGGTAGAGCGTAGAGATTACTGTTGCTTGCATTCGGGTGGCCTCTCACCTCGTTCACCATCACCAACTATCTGAGATCTCCCTCCTTTCTGCACTCCAAGCGGAAAAAAGAAGCAGATGATTCTCACATTTATGATTTATCACAAACATAGACACTGATTGCTACTATAGGAATGAAATGAGTTCACAAACATAGACACTGATTGCTACTATAGGAATGAAATGAATTCATGAGAATGATTATGCTCTCGTACTACCCATGCCATGATTAAAGATCTTGTTAAGTCTCTGCTGCGTCATTCATGTATCCTTCTCAGAGTCTTATACATAACGACCTCGTTACTGACTCATGCTTTTTAGGCTTGCTCGGTGACTTTCAGAAATCTGTATGATTCATGGGCTTCTAGAGCCTCTGGATTTCCTATATTTATTCTAAGGTTTCATGACCATGCTCAGCCTAAAACTTCTTTAGAAGTGAAAAGTGACGGATACATACCTTGTTTCTGATTGATGGCTGCAAAAAGAAATTAAAACGATTTCATAGGATTAGTAAGAACTAACGTGGCAGGAAGAATTAAAAAACAAATGAAACAACTATACCTGGGGCACTTTATACCTTCTTTTTGGTCTTGCTTTCTTCTTCATCCTCCTCATCCTCATCATCATCATCCTCCTCATCATCTTCGTCTTCCTCATCCTCTTCATCATCCTCCTCAATGTCATCTTCCTCATCGCCGTCTATTTCAAAATCCTCTGCTTCCATAGCCTCACCAGTAAACCATGAGACAGCACGAGGAATAATCTTGTCCCGAATAGTAGATCTGCAGAAAGCAAAAGGTGCTTGTGATCAGATAATGAAAGGATAACCACCTAGTTTGCAGTGATAAAGTAGATCCATGACTTAAAAGCAAACCCATAACTCAACAGAGAAAGTGTGTTAAGAAAAAGACGAACCCAATGTCATAATCTTGTTCCATCAGATTTTGAAGATCCTCAGCCTGCAAAATCGGGGAAGAATTACTAAATACGTTAACTAAATATGATGACAGGTTATCCTAAAGACCGTTATCTTACTCTTTCCTCGTCGATATCTTCATCTTCATCCGGAACTTCTGGAGGACTAAAGAAGTTGAAGAAGCTTTCACAGTCTTCGGTTTTAATGATTGGTTTAGCATTCTTTGAACCTTTCTTAGGCTTCTTCTTAAGAATCTTCTGAGTTAGACACTTTCCAGGATACCAATCAATTTCTGTCCTGAAAATGTATGGAAAGAGTCAGAATCCATTTGCAATTTAAGTGAAGCAAAAAATTCTACAGCTCAATGCAATCAGCTAAGCAGAATATACTGAAAAGTATACAACAATTGCAAGAGAGCATAAGCAGTTACCCCGTAGCCTTCTCAAGCAGTGGCTCATCTTCATCAATCATGTGATAAGACTTTGTCAAGACAGTGTTCTTAAAATACGGATTCGTATCAAAGAAAAACTCAAGTTTAAATCCTTTAGGTTCTTCAATCTTGCACCACTTAATATCTTTAAGATATTTGAGAGCCCCTTCATCACGCTCTGTGACCTGAAATAAATGACAATAAGCTAGGCCCATTTTCCATGGTTATGATTGGAGTGTTTATAAAATGAACACCAAAACCGCATATAGGATACCTCCTCGGAAATAACATCATTGTTTTTCAGGGCTGTCAGCCAGAAACTTGGAACTCCTTTCTCTGCAATGAAATGCATAGAAACATGTTAAATTGTTTTTGTTTTTCCCAAAAGATTAAAAACAAACAAAGAAGACATTATGTTCATGTAGTTACCTTCTGCAGTTTTTTCCTCTCCTTGGTCCACCTTAATATCCTCTGCAGCCAGTTCAACTTCAGTAGTTCCGTTTACAATCTCATAACGCTGTCCATTACAAGATGCCAAGTAGAATTCATTAGGAATTTTTAGATGCATATATAAGTAACACTGCTGCAGATAAGTAAACATAAGCAAAAAGAGTAGACACAGATCTCCATTGATTTCAGTAAAATGGTTTGTGATTTAACAGAGGAAGTAACAGAAAATAAAACTTTCTCACTAAAACAATTACCTTGGTATACAAAGGCTGATACAACTTTTGATACTTGGCTTCAAGAATAGCTCTCTCTTCACGGAATTTTGCCTCTAGTTCATCATGTTGGCTCTGAGCGAAAAGAAGCCATCAGTAATCACTTAATCAAAACGCAATTAACTTACTTTGAAACTAAGCAAGGAGAGAAAACTCTCACAAAACAAAACAAATCCCCATTAAACGAAGGAAATTTCTCTAACCTGTATATCCCTCAAGGCATCGACACGCTTTCTCACAATAGGAGTCAGATTCTCGAGCACATCAGAACGCTGACCCGCCAGATTCTGCAGCTTGTTCTGTGAATTAACACATATTAACAAATCTCCAAGGAATCTATAAAGTATCATTAGATTGAAACCAAGACACCAAACCAATGTACGCCTTATTATAGTGTCTAAACAACAAGAAAGATACTCTAATAGAGAAACTCCAGAAAAGTAACTCAAAATCCTTCAATAGCAATGCTTTCGGGAATTTTATTTCCAGAAGGAAAAATAAAAACTGACCTTTAGAGCATTGACAAGGTCAGCTCGATCCCCATCTTTAAGAGCTGCAAACGAAAGAACAAGAGTAAGAAAGTAGTGATAACAGAGCAAATTAGGGCTTAAGAGGCGGAGAAATAGATAAGAGTAATCGGAGTGGGGAAATTTTAACCAGCAGTAAGATCGGAGACGTTGAAGTTGTCCTTGTCGTTGCTCATCTTCTGAGGATTTGGTGAAGAAAGTGAGAGATAAGAGAGAGATTTGAAGGAGAAGAAGCAGAAGAGACGAGGGTTTTTGGGGAGGCGACTCTTAACCCTTAAAATCCTCTTTCTTTTTTTCTTTTTTTCTCTCCCACCAAAATTATAAAACCTAGCAACTGCCATTTTAGTTTTTTTTAATCGTTTTATACAAAAAATAATATTAAAAAATATTTCTTGATTATCAAAAACTAATTAGTGTTTTATTAAATTAAATACATTACATGCAAGACTTTATTTTTAGCTATATAAAAATAATCAGTTCTCATTATCCAAGGATTTTGAACTTTAGGAAACCAAAATATATATGAAGGGTTTATCAAAAATATATATATATATATATATATGAAGTTCAAGTTGGTAAGCTACATATAAATAAAGGTTTGTTACATATAAAAAAAAAAAAAAAAAACAAACACTTCCTAAACTGAAAATACCGAATTTAAAGCCCAACCTATAATCATAGAAACTTATTACACCTCTGCAAATAAATAACCAACTAAGATTGAAATTTATTAGAAGATGAGATGCCAGATAAACCACTTGACTTGATTCTTACTGAACTTCAATGGGATCAGATAGAAGATTTCTAAATCTTTTGTTACTAAGGTCCATCCCAAGAATGAGCCTTCCCAGCCCAATACACTGATTACTTCTTTTGTATACACACACTAATTAAAAACAAAAAAAAAAAACAGTCCATAACAAAAATGTCACATCCCAAAGGCCCAGAGATCTTAAGATTGGTTTAGCTCATCTCGAGTTCAAACGAGTCCGAGGCTGGTTTGCCACTAATTGGAGAAAATGAATCCGGCATGCCATTTTGTGATCTGAATGCCACTGTAAATGTGATATTCCCAAATTACCCTTAATGAAATAAGAGACGATTGGTACAACTAAGAGATAATAGTACAACTAGTACAATTAAGAGATAATAGGAAAACTGATACAAATAGTATAACTGAGAGATAATTGGACAACTGGTACAAATGGTATTACTAAAAGATAATATTACAATTGATACAATTGGTATAACTGACATATAAATAGGTACAACTGGTATAAATAGTTAGGTACAATGGTACAAATAGTTAGGTACAACTGGTACAAATAAGTAGGTACAACTGAAACGAAACAATTGTAATTCTAAACCCTAGCGTCGTCACACTTACTAATTCGCCTCTTCTTGCTTTCTTCATCGTCGTCGTCGCCGATTATCCGCCGTCAACCTTCTTTGTCGAAGTTTGTGAACCGTTTTTCTCACCAAACGATTGCGCACTTCAAAGGACGAAAGCACGAGGAGATATCCATGGAGAAGAAACATGAAGAAAGATTCAATCTATGAAGAAACGCAAAAAGATATCTATGGAGAAGATAGATCTAAAGTTTCATTGATGATGATGATGATGGAGAAGAAGAGATATAAAGTGAAAGATCCAAAAAAAATCTAGAAAAAATAAAAGAAGAAGAAGAAGAAGAAGCGTGAAAGAAGAAGAGGAGTGAGTTAGATTGGTGGCAGGGATACGTAATTATCAAATTAGGGTAAGAGTTTTTGGCCCTTTTCTATTTATTTGATTTAAATTCTTTTATTTTTATTATTCTAAAAAATTGGGTGGCTTTCCAGCCTTTTTGTTCCCATATAGTGGCATTCTAGGCATTGTTTCAAACGAATTAAACGTACTCTAATCTAAGTCCTAAGATTAGCTCATCACGACAATCTCAATTTGAAGTTTCAACCTCTTGTACGGTCTGACCAGAAACACAATAAAGAAGCATCATGCGTAGACAAATTTAAACTAATCAGATAACTGTAAGAATATTCATTCATCCGACTAAAAGCAAAAGAGAAAAACTTTTTTTACCTCCAGGACTCCCACTTAGAAGAAACATTTTGTATAGCTTTCAAGTCATGCATAGCAAACACACCTGGTAAGTGGCCAATTTTTTTATATCCTGTAACCATTATAAGGATAAAATAAAGTTGTCCTATGTAAAAGCAATGAAATGAAATTCTCAAAAAACCTAAGTGGTTGTAAGCGTGCTTGCTCAAACTCTAAAGTAAACCGGATAATTCTAAAACCAGTTTTAGTTTAGTTGGATGATTCTGCTCAAACAGTAGTGTTTTTGTGGCTTTAAAGATGCTTCATCATATTGTTTTATAGATGTTTGACATATATTTATTTCTTACATCTCGCCAAGATTATTAGATTGTTTTATAAGCTTTCGTGAAATCTAACAAATCTATTTCAAACGATTTCTACAATGCAGTAAAGTCCATCAATTGGCTAATAGAATTCTAGTAAACTCACACGTTAACAACGTATTATTGTGTTTTTCGTTCCAAAATTTGTTTTAAGTTAGTTATTCACTCAATTCAAATAGTGGCGTCTGTGCATTAAAAGATGGTTTATCGTATCTATTAGGTAGATATTTGAATAAATTTCATTAAAAAGCGTTTATATTTGTTTGCTAAATCATTAGATTGTTTTATCTACTTTCGTGGGATCTGATCTATCTATTACTCCACTTCACACGATTTCTAGAATGAAATGAAGAAATGGATGATTTGGGGAGAGTTTGGTTAACCGATTAGTAACCGAAGCATAGAAACCAAACCGAACGACACAGCAACAAAACCGGAATCATGCAGAGGTGAATAATTTTTAATTTTTTTTTTTTTACATTACCCGCAACTGCAAGGAAAGAGGAACCCAAACTTTGAGAAAAACATCCTCATCGTTTTCTGTCCATCGAAGCTCTTTCTTTCTTTTTTTTTCTTTATCTTCGTATTCAATTCTTGAGAGGAGAGAGAGAGAGAGAGAGAGAGAGAAGCATCCCAGAAAACGACATTCTGTTCAAATGGAGTTTCACCAGATCGAGAGCATGAGGAAGATGATTACTGGGTTTTGATTCGTATATCCACCTCTAGTCGGCGTAAAATCTGTTTTTTATTCCGTAATCTCATTGTTCGTGATCTCTGGGTTGTTTCTGGATTGTTCCCGAAGGGTCGTTTTTGGGCCATTCTTCCTTCCTTTTGAATCTGAGATTGTAATTAGGGTTTCGTGTTTATTGATGGAACCTCGTGTGGGGAACAAGTTTCGGCTCGGACGAAAGATCGGCAGTGGTTCGTTTGGGGAGATCTATCTCGGTTCGTCACTCTCTCAATCTTTTAATTCTATGGATTCTCGAATTCGCCACATTGGTGTATTTCGCATCTCTAACATTCTTTGTGATTTCTCAGGTACTAATATTCATACGAATGAAGAAGTGGCTATTAAGCTTGTGAGTTCTTCTTTCTCAGTTTTTTCAGTCATCCCTTTTTAATAATTTGATGATCCATGTCGTAGATGTTGCTAATAAGTCTATATAGTAACATTGTCACAACATGTTTTGTTTGATCAAGTCCACTATGTTCAAAGCTGAAATTTTGATTCTCTTTGTTTTTGTTTTCCCAGGAAAGTGTGAAGACAAAACATCCGCAGCTGCTCTATGAATCAAAGTTGTACAGGATTCTACAAGGGGGAAGTAATGATTCTTATCTTCTGAAATCTTCATGTCTGATTATGTAAAGTTTGTGATTCTTACCACCCTTTCTTTTGCCTTAACTTTGGTAGCTGGTGTTCCAAATGTCAAATGGTTTGGTGTTGAAGGGGACTATAATGTTTTGGTCATGGATCTACTCGGACCAAGTCTTGAAGATCTCTTCAATTTTTGTAGCAGGAAACTTTCCTTGAAGTCAGTCCTCATGCTTGCTGATCAAATGGTATACTTCTTCATGTGATCCCTTTCTCTCATTTGCTCGTCTATGTTTCAGGAAATATTGACTTCTTTCTTCCTTTGGTTTTTGTGATAAGATCAATCGTGTTGAGTATTTTCATTCAAAATCTTTCCTTCACCGAGATCTCAAGCCAGACAATTTCCTAATGGGCCTTGGAAGGCGTGCAAACCAGGTTTATCATCTTATGTCCTAACTATATCCTTTTGGAGACATCATTGTACTGACTAAGTTTAATCCTTCTCTAAGGTATACATCATTGACTTTGGTCTTGCTAAGAAGTACAGGGATAGTACAACACATCAGCACATTCCCTACAGGTGAGGCGATCATTGTATCAGCTCTTGAATGTTCTTCCATTGTGCATGATGCCGTCGTTATGTGATGATTGAAAATGCTTGTTTTCCCCATGATTATCATTTGCAGAGAAAATAAGAACCTGACAGGAACTGCGAGATATGCTAGTATGAACACTCACTTGGGAATTGGTAAGCTCGACAAGACCTGCTTCATGTTAATGTGGTCCAGTCAGTCTCCTTATGTGTTTGAGTATCAAGGTTTGACACACATCTGCTGTTATTTGTTTCCTGGCATTACGAACCTGAAGAACAAAGCCGAAGGGATGATCTTGAGTCTCTTGGTTACATCCTTATGTATTTCCTCAAAGGAAGGTGAGTTTATGCTACATGTCTCGCTTCACTTTATTTCCCTAACTCGTTCATTTTGATAATGTGTGGAATATCTTGGTTTTAGTCTTCCATGGCAAGGACTGAAAGCTGGAACCAAAAAGCAAAAGTACGAAAGGATTAGCGAAAAGAAAGTTTCTACATCCATTGAGGTAAGTCCTTTTCACAAGTATGCTGCTTTTTGACTCAGAATTTTGTTTTCCTCAGTCTGATTCTTATATGATCGCCTTGCACTTGCAGGCATTATGTCGTGGTTACCCGTCCGAATTTGCATCATATTTCCACTACTGTCGGTCGCTTCGTTTTGATGATAAACCAGATTATGCTTATCTCAAAAGAATATTTCGGGATCTCTTTATCCGTGAAGGTTTGAGATTTTCTTCCCTTTGAACGAGCCAGTCAACAATTTTTTTGTCTAATTCATTCTCTAACAGGAGTTCATTTGTCTGTTGCAGGGTTTCAATTTGATTACGTGTTTGACTGGACAATCTTGAAGTATCAACAATCACAACTAACAGCTCCCCCATCTCGTGGGCTCGTAAGTAAAATTTGAGTTCTTGGTTAATCTACCTCTTTTGGCTGGACATTTTCTGATGGAGTCTCTTCTGCTGCAGAATCCTGCTGTTGGAACTAGCGCGGCGTTGCCTCCGGGCATTTCCAACATCGAGAGATACACAGGTAAGTTTCCCTGATAACTTGAAAGTTATTCTCATTTTTCTGCACAGAAGTTATTATCATTCACATTGTTTGTTGTTAATTGTTGCATCCAAGGCGAGGAAGAAGGGCGACCGCATATGGAATCATCTCGACGGAGAGTTTCAGGTGCTCTTGACAACTCTGGGAATATTTCGAACCAACAGACATCCTCAAGTGCTAGAGACTCCATGGTATGAATCACTCTGCATTTGGTATTATATCTCTCACATTCAAACATGAGTTGGGGAAATATGTGGTGAAAAAGTATTAAAACTTTGTTCAACTTTTTTGGATGCAGATCCCGAGCTCCTCGTTGTTTGCACAATCAGCAGGATCATCGAGGAGAGTAACAGCGGTAAGTGGCAGCCGGGACAATTTTCCAGGCAGCGAGGAGTTGTTGCAGAGAAGCCGTACAAGTGACGTAAGCCGGGGCGTGATCCCGAGGAACTCTCCGGTGGAGGTTGGGAAGAGGTCTTCCTCCTCCACAAGAAGACACTACGAATCAGCGGTTAAAGGCATCGATAATCTTCAAGTCTCGGACGAACACCACCCCCACTGAACTGATACATTAATTGTACTACTAGGTCAATGGACCTTTTGTTCCTTTTGCCTTTATATTACACTACGAAAATTTGAAAATACAATTTGATTGATCCACATGAAATTTCTAAATCACTACGATATCAAAAAGGGATTGGTTGGGGAACTATCTATGAATATTGGGGCTCAGACGCAATAATTAAAAATAAAGATGCACAGATGCAATTTCATCCGATCCGGTTCAGATAATCTCAGTTTTGTGGAAGATTTTGACAAATATGCATTGATGACTTTTCACTGGAACAACCTTCCTACTACTTATGAATGGACATATTTGTACAGAGTGCTCTTAATTAGCTCTCATATCAATTTGGAACAAACCGCGGCAAATAACAAAGCTCTTTGTTTGGTTCATCTTTTTCCAGTGCATTCCACCATTTCTCCTCACAATAAACTCTTGGCATGTTCGTCTCCTGAAACGGCAGTTTCTTAACTTTGGGGCAATTTGTGATGACTAAAGTTTCAACTTTTTGGAAAGAAAATCGAGATGGGAGGATGCTCTTTAGTTCTGGGAGATCCCTAGTTTTCAAGGTCTTCAGGCTTGGGAACAATGTTGGATCTTCAACGGATGGACTCTCGTGTTCACTTATCAATTCCTCTAGCTCTCTGCAGTCGAACAGGTCAATCACCTCTAGCTTTGGGAGTTTCGGAACCCATGACACATTCTTCAGCTTGTTGCAGTGTGAAATATTTATGCAACGGATATTCCGCAGACACTCTTCTTCGCTTACAGGATTTCTCCACACTCTGCTTAATTTATGAAGGCTGTGTAACGTCAGAACCTCTAGTCTTGGAAGCCAATCATTTTCAACAACATCTATTGGTGTGACCAGGTACTCCAAGTCATGGCAACTTCTAATGCTAAGTCTTCTCAGGTTCCTGCCATGGTTAGTGAGTGATGGGAGATTAAAGTAGAGGAGACCATTGCATTCTTCAATGTGGAGGTGCTGTATATGTTTATGCAAGGCGCCAAATTCGTAGAGAGTTTTTAGGGTCTCCAACGAGAGAACAGTGATACCGAGTGTGGTTAGGTTTTCCAAGTATTCCAAGTCATCAAATCCGAGTTCTTCTACTTCATCTTCTCCAAAGCTCTGCAGTTCCCAACCCGCGTAACTGTAGTACAAGTTCAGAACCTCGAGCTTGCTCAGCCAACATATGGCATCTCGAGGGATCGTCTGGAGAAACTGAGTTCTTTGTAGGTCCAGATGCTTCAGCTTTCTAAGATTACCAAGCTCCTGGGGCAATATACTTATCTTTGTTCCTGACATAGACAGATGACACAACTCCACCAAATACTTAATAGACAACGGAATCTCAGTGATACTTGTGAAAGACAAGTCCAAGACCCTGAGAATAGGCATATGCATGAAAAACCCTGTTGAAATCTTCTTCAAAGAGCTGTTCCGTTGGAGCATCAGTGTTGTCAGTTTAGGGCATATGGGTTTTTCAGGCAAGGTCTGGATTCTGTTATCTATCAATGAAATCACCAACGCTTGTCGCCAGTTTTCTGCTTTAGGAGCTTCAGTATGTCCCATGTTAGGCTCAACTAGGATCAGCTCCTTATAAGTCCCCTGTTCAGATGCCATCCACAGTGCAAAGCTTCTTACCACATTATGCATCTTCACCTGTGTTTTCTCATCTCCGGTTTCCAATAAACATGCAGCTTTCAGATCCCCAATCAGAAAATATCCCTTGTAAATGGTGTTAACGCCATGGGAGCTGGTGAGAAACCCTTCGCCCACCCAGTACTCAACAAGCTGTTCTATCTCTATAGAATGTTCTTCCGGGAATAAAGCGCAGTACAAGAAACAAGACCGGAGCAGATCACTCTCGAGATTGTCATAGCTGAATTTTAAAAGAGCAAATACATAGTTCATACCCTTCATCTCTGCTGGAAATCTAGTCAGAACTTCACTAGCGTGGATCCACTCTTCTTCGGTCTCTCTGTGAGCCATGGCTCCTCCTAAAGTGATCAACGCTAGCGGCAATCCTCCACATTTACTCACTATAATCTCAGCGAGCCGGCGAATTGATGATGACTCCAAGAGATCTTTTCTCCCTACCTTGCTACAGAACAGCTCCCACGCGTATTTCTTCTCCAGAAACTCCACTCTCAACTTGTATTCCGCACCCATATTGCTGCATAATGCCATAGACCGTGTCGTGAACATCATCTTGCATTTGTTTACCCTGTCAGGTCGAGGAACTCCAGTTTTCTCCAAGTCTATCTCTTCCCAGACATCATCTAGCAATAACAAGAAACGTTTCTGTCTCAAAGCTCTGTATATCTTCAAAGCTCTATTTTCACCAGTGTCCTTCTCGTCCCAAGATAAACCCAACTGTGCTCCAACAGCTTGCTGAATTGTACACTCGCCGAATTCTCGGGACATTTGAACCCAAATCAGTACATCATACTGATGTCCTTTTGTGATCAGCTCGTTGTTAATACTCTGCATTAACGTTGTCTTCCCAACCCCACCAGGTCCGTAAACCCCGATGATTCCTCTTTCTTCTTCTTCACTGAGAAATCCCAAAACCTGTTCCATCATCGTGGTATTTCCGACCACGGACTTGATGGGTATCTCCCTACAAGTTTGTTGAATTGACCCGCCATCTGTTTTAATATCTTCAGAGCGTTCTCTCAGCTCACCAATGCTCTTCAATGTGGCAGAAACCTTATTGCACAGTTTGTAGTCGGCACAACCGAAACAACCAAGGCATCTCCTCCGCATTCTCGTCCTCTGTTCCCGACGCCTAAACCTCACTAAAATGGAGGCTGCTTTAGTCTCTGTTGCTTGCACCGCGCTAAGCCACTCTCTGGCACGATTGGAGCAGCTTCGTCCCTCTAGATCGTCTTGTTGGATCCGTAAAGACAGGTCATCACGTATGGCCTTCAAGTCACCGATGGCTGTTTCGAGATCAGTGATGGCTTGTCTAAGATCAGTGTTATGTCCTCTTCTGTCCGCCATATTCATAGATTCACACAACACCTGAGCAAAGCCCACGATTAGAGATGAGATGAAATCCATTTCGATGAATTTTTCGCTCTTCTTTGCTTGTCTGAGCAAACTAACTATTATTAGTTGATAATTCGCTTCTCATAGAAATTGAGGTGTTGACTCGTAAAGTCAAGTCAACTGTAATAAAGCCGTCTTGTGTGACATTGTCCAAGAAAAGAGGATTTTTGAAGCTTCTTAATCACTTCCTCGAACTGTGGTTTGCATGTTGTAATTTCCACTGGCCGAGTCAAGGCCCGATAACAGACTGGCCCTCTAAGAGTCTTTTAATTCCTATAGGCTTTTTTTTTTTCTGAGGGTCCACAAAAGTATATGTTGTATGTTGCATATTAAAGACTCATCAAGCAGTATGTTTCACCAAAAATGGGAGAACTTTGAATTGATGTAATCATACACTACTTTACACTTAATTTATTTATTAATGGTAATATAGGTACAAAAAAAATATATATATATATATAGGTACCGGTCTTTTGAATTAGTTATGTTTTTATTACGATTTACGAGTTGAACAACGCTACTACTTCCATTAACCACATTGCCCGCAATCGCAAGGAAAGCTAACAATTAAATTTGAAGTATCACACATAAAAGAATTAATTTTTTTCTTTCTACTTTTGTGTAATAATTTGTAAAAAAAGTGTAGATGATTGGTTCATTGTATTTGAGGTGGCTTGGGTATTTTGTCTGTTGCCCATAATCCAAAGCCCACTTTCACACATTTCCCATTTGAATAACATATCATTACACATTGTCCAAAGAACACCGCACAAGTGGCATCTAACATATGGAACTGAATAAATACTTCTTTTATCCTGTCTGTTGACGAATAAATATTAAATAATTATTTGAGATATTAGAGAAAATAGAATAATGAGGAGAGAAAAAAAAAAAAAAAAAGGAGTTTAAAGACAAGATATTTACGGAATTTAATGGGACGAAAGAAAATAAAGAATTTAAAAGGGCTGTCTTTGTCAGTGCAATGAACCTTTTTTCTTCTATAAAATCTCTCCCGCCACCCAACTAACGCATCTTAAACCGTACACGTCACCCTCTCTCCTTCCCAAAACCGGACCTTTTCTTCGTCTACGTGTCGCTCATCCACCGGTTTTTTCCTGCTAATCGTGGGACCTATTATTATTTACATTTTATTTTCGTTTAAAATATTTGACGGATTCTTTCATGTTCTTTGGGTCGTTGCATAATTATTATGTCCATGAGTCTTATATATCAAAATACCTTCGGAATCATCTTTTTATTTTATATATATATATATCGCGACAACAATAATAATATGTTTTGTACTACTATTCTTTCGTTCTTTTTTTCATTTCTCTGGTCAATAATTTTGATCGAATTATTGGAACCTTAAACTCTTCTTTTCCCTTAGGACAAATTGAGAAGAAAATTATATATTGGAACAAGCTTTTATATGATTTTAACGTATTTTTATAATTGCACGATCAATCTAATTTCTTAATTTTTGTATGAAACTATAAAGACCATTTTTTAAAAGAACTAAGATTCAAATTTTTATTTTTGTCAAACAAATAAATGAAGCGACTACTGCATAATGGTTTTGGTTTCCTATGATTAACATAAACAAACAATGGTTTTGGTTTTATGTTTGACCAAAAATGGTTTTGAAGATAAATAGTTTTAAATTATCAAACGAATAATGAAACAATTCCCCTTAGATAATAATTATTTAGATATTTTACCGGTGGTCTTTTATTTTTTCAGAATATAAAAACATTCAATTCTTACTTATCTTTTCTGTGGATAAAGTATTGTTCTTATTCTGAAAATGACAGAAAATTTTAAAATTTATTTTAATCTATTAATATCTAAATGGTATATTATGTTTCGTTTTTTTAGTCCAATGATTAGAAATTACGAATAATGTTTTTTTTTCGTCAATTACGAATAATGTTTTGGTATTTAAAACTCTGTTTATTAAACAGTTTTGAAGTGTATATGACAAATAAAATAAGAGAAATTGCACTAAATAACCTAAAAAAAAACAAAATTAAATATTTAACTTCTAATATCCCTATTCACTCTCTTTTTCTTCCTATCTTTTTCTACCCTTCTTTCTAAAAAACTAATTTTTTTTTTTTTTTGGATTATTCACCTAAATTACACATAAAATAATTGCAAGAAATACAAGATTTAACTCCGACTACGACACGTCATTTAATGAAAGTCATCTTTAAGAAAATATAAAATTCATTAAACCGATGACCTAACTAAAGTTAAAAGCAAACATATTTTGTTTGACAAACAAAAAAAGAAATATTTTATCTTGTTAAAAAACAGAAATGATAAAAAAAAAAAAAAAAATTGTTGAACATAAGAAGTTCGAAGCAACTGTCTTTCTATCATTTTATGATTTAAAATTTTTAAAATTTCAAGAACGAAACATTGCCCCTTATAACAAAAAAAAGATCACTTTATAAAGTTTTAAATAAAGTAAAATCTATATAAGTATACATAAATAGTAGATTCGAAGCAATTGTTGCATTAGCCATTTAGCCTACCCATTTCCTCTTTCTTTCTCTTTTATCTGTGAACAAGACACAAGAAGTTTTAGAAGAAGAAAGAACTCTTCTTTCAACTTTTAGGTGTATATAGATTGATCTAGAAATAGTTTTAGCTGGAAATTAATTGAAGAGAGAGATATTATTACACAAATCTTCTCAAGAGGTCCTAACGAATTACCCACAATCCAGGAAACCCTTATTGAAATTCAATTCAATTTTTTTTTTTTTTTGCTTTCTGTGTAGTGATTTTCCCGGGAATTTTTTTGGGTATATCTCTCTCTCTGTTTTTGCTTTCCTTTTTGAGAGGAGTCATGTGTCTCTTGTCTTCCTAGCTTCTAATAAAGTCTCTTCTCTTCAATTTCTGTAGAAATCTGTCGAATTTTCATTTTTGTTCCATTGGAGCTATCTTTTATAGATCCCAACCATCTTTACCTCAGAGAGAGAAAAAAAGATCAAAGCTTTACCTAATTTCTGAGTCAAGAGTTAAGTTTTTCCATTAATGGAGGAAGTATCTCCGGCGATCGCAGGTCCTCTCAGGCCATTCTCCGAAACCCAGATGGATTTCACAGGGATCAGATTGAGTAAAGGTTACTGCAATAATAACCAATACTCAACTCAAGATTCCGAGAACGGAGATCTAATGGTTTCGTTACCGGAGAGTTCATGCTCTGTTTCTGGGTCACAACATGGTTCTGAATCTAGGAAAGTTTTGATTTCTCGGATCAATTCTCCTAATTTAAACATGAAGGAATCAGCAGCTGCTGATATAGTCGTTGATATCTCCGCCGGAGATGAGATCAACGGCTCAGATGTTCCTAGCGAGAAGAAGATGATCAGCAGAACAGAGAGTAGGAGTCTGTTCGAATTCAAGAGTGTGCCTTTGTATGGATTTACTTCGATTTGTGGAAGAAGACCTGAGATGGAAGATGCTGTTTCGACAATTCCAAGATTCCTTCAATCTTCCTCTGGTTTGATGTCAGATGGTCGGTTTGATCCTCAATCAACCGCTCATTTCTTCGGTGTTTACGACGGCCATGGCGGTTCTCAGGTAAGATCCATCGCTGTAAAAGATTCAATCTTTCGATTTGGGTTTTGCTAATTTGCAGAATCTGATTTTGTTCTTGGTGTTGTTGTTGTTGTGTAGGTAGCCAACTATTGTAGAGAGAGGATGCATTTGGCTTTAGCGGAGGAGATAGCTAAGGAGAAACCGATGCTCTGCGACGGTGACACGTGGCTGGAGAAGTGGAAGAAAGCTCTTTTCAACTCGTTCCTGAGAGTTGACTCTGAGATCGAGTCTGTCGCGCCGGAGACGGTTGGGTCAACGTCGGTGGTTGCTGTTGTTTTCCCGACTCACATCTTCGTCGCTAACTGCGGTGACTCCAGAGCTGTTCTTTGCCGCGGCAAAACTGCACTCCCGTTATCCGTTGACCACAAAGTAAGCATATTTAGACTCAAGATCTATAGTTGGATCGGTTGTGATAGGTTTTTGATCCTCAATTTGTGCTCAAGATGTTGTTGAATTTGAGAGTTTTATGAATTCACTTTCTAATGTATGTTTTGTTTATGTGTGTAGCCGGATAGAGAAGATGAGGCGGCGAGGATTGAAGCCGCAGGAGGGAAAGTGATCCAGTGGAATGGAGCTCGTGTTTTCGGTGTTCTCGCCATGTCGAGATCCATTGGTAAGCTTTCTTTCTATTTCTTCCTAAGGATTCTCAATGGTTCTTGAAATAGAAACCTTTTTTTCTTACAAACATGTATCATTGTTATAGGCGATAGATACTTGAAACCATCCATCATTCCTGATCCGGAAGTGACGGCTGTGAAGAGAGTTAAAGAAGACGATTGTCTGATTCTTGCGAGTGATGGGGTTTGGGATGTAATGACGGATGAAGAAGCGTGTGAGATGGCGAGGAAGCGGATTCTCTTGTGGCACAAGAAGAATGCAGTGGCTGGGGATGCATCGTTGCTCGCAGATGAGCGGAGAAAGGAAGGGAAAGATCCCGCAGCGATGTCTGCGGCTGAGTATTTGTCAAAGCTGGCAATACAGAGAGGAAGCAAAGACAACATAAGTGTGGTGGTGGTTGATTTGAAGCCTCGGAGGAAACTCAAGAGCAGACCCTTGAACTGAGGCAGAGAGGGTCCTTTTTCTTAATTTTTAAATGAATATGGGTCTCTCCAAGAAAAAAGTATTTACTATTATTACTTTGTGCTTATTATTTTTTGTAACTAACAAGTTAATAACCATATGAGAAATGTAGCTTGATGTGTTAAGCTCTTTTGTCTTGACGACGTTCTAAAAAGCCTCTTGTATTTTCTTCCCGGGCTAATTGTAATATGGTTACAACAACATACATTAAGATGTAGTATTATTGTTTACGCAAATACTTATCAAAACTTTGCATACGAAAATGGAAAGATATTTTACGGACGAAAAACCAAAATATGAATATATCCACTAGCAGAGAAACATATTTGATAGATGTGTGTGATGTATAATAGTGATATGAAAGTACACAAGTAAATCAAATTTTGCAGACTAGTCTCTCAAGTCATAACATCTGGTAGATTTATCTTTCACAAAATATCTTCTAGTGGATATGAAGTAATAACTTGGTAGTAAAAGGATTGTTCAAACTCGGTTCTAGTAATTAGCAAGTGGAGGAATCAAAGATCCTGCGTTGGTGAAGTAAGCAGAGAGATTCATATCCGAATCTTCAAACATGTTTACGAACTTGTGTTCCTATTCACCAGGATGGAACCAAAAAGAAAGTCGTTAAAACTAGTCCGAGACAGTACAAGAAGAAAGACACAGAGTCTTATCTGATTACGCACCAGAAGTTCCTTTGCTGATTTTCTGTCCCTTGGTTCTTTTTGTACACTACACAAGTTAAAGCATCATTTCAAATGCCTACACGTTCCGTGAAAGAATGACATGAAGCGGTGCGAAGAATATGTCTCACCATTGCGAGATGAAGGAGCAAAACTCTGGAGAAAAGAGATGGGAAGGTGCACAAGGAGGCGGGTTTTCAACAATGGCATCCACAAGCTCGTACACGCTACTCCATCCCTTCTTGTGTTCTGGAGGAATATACGGGAATTTACCCGTTGCACATTCGAGCAAAACCAGTCCCAAGCTCCAGATATCGCTCTTGTTACTGTACAAACTCCCGCTAATTCTCTCTGGCTGCAAAACATGATATATAATACCGGTAATTTCTATAAAACCTTTTAGGAACTAAGAGGTGAGTGGAGGATACTCACAGACATATAGGGGTATGTGCCCACGAAAGAATTAGCTAGACTACTTGTGCTTGTCAAGATCTTGCTAACACCAAAGTCAGTGATCTTGACTTCACCTCTATGATTGATTAGAAGGTTCGAAGGCTTTAAGTCCCGATGAATGATTCGCCTCTCGTGATGAATATAACAAAGGCCTCGAAGGACCTGCGTTTAGGAGAGAAGAAAGAGCTTTGTTATGTGTTTTTGTTAGAGAAAATAAACAGAAACAAATAGAGATTTTTAAAGATTTTGCGTAGAGTACTCGCTTGCAGATGGCAGCGAGCATGTTTTCAGGAACTTTTTCGACTTTCTTTAACAAGTCAGCAAGGGATCCACCATCCATGAACTCCAATATGATTGAAACAAGACCGTTATGGTAGAAAGACTGATAACATGAGACTAGATATGGACATTGTGAGCTCAAGTTTATTCTCAGCTCCTGAGAAATCGCCCGACATGTTGATTCTTCTGTGTTCAATTGAATGACCTGAAAATGATATCATACATCTTTTGTTCAACCAAAGGAAAGAAAACACTCGAAAAAGAAGCAAAACATAGATAAACAAAAACATCCGACCTTAAGAGCGAAAAACTGTTGAGTGAGTTTGTGTTTCACCAACTGGACATTACCACTGCCTCCTTTGCCAATGACTTTGATCACTTCTAGATCAGCCAAACTCAATTGGTTGTCCAATGGCTCAATAGGAGGTGGCTGCAAACAACCAAACACACAATGTAAGAAAGGATAGCGAGATCTCGAATTCAAGTAAGCATGAAATAAACAAAGTTACAGCTCCTGGCTCGGACTGAGACACGGTCTGGATTCCATCTTTGTTTACTCGAAGATCTCCATCCTTGAACGTTCCACTCTGTGTTCTAATCCAATTTTTTCAATGTTAGAAAACTCATCACTTGTGGTATGAACACAAATCCTAAAAAACAGAGAACAGTGAACTCTGATTTGCAGAATAAAACAGAGTGATCACTAGAAACACCAAACTATAAATCTAAATCTGAAGAATAAAAACAGAGTAATCACCAGAAACATTTATGGATAATGCCCTAAAAACCGACATTAAAAAGAATCCACAGAGAGAGATAGAGAAAGAGAGTTACAACTTACAAGAATTTGGAGATGGATTGCTCAAGAGGAGGGAGACAGATGGGATTAGGGCATAAGCCGCCTCTGTTCATGTCTGGTTTTTGGAGATCAAATCGACCAAACACAGAACCAGATAAACACACACACAGAGAGAGACAGAGACACAAGGTCAGAGATCACAAGGATAAAGCTTTAGAGGAGGAATGACGAACAGTCGACGTCGTGTAGCTAATGACTATGAAGAAGAAGACGACGACGAAATGGTCGTTGACTTGTCCTTGACTCATCTCTCCTTTGAATATTCTTCCCCCTTTTTTTTTTTTTTTATTGTCAACAATATTCTGGATCAAAATCATTGCATTTTAACCTCCCCACTTCTCAATGTTCATATTAAGACTAGACTGATAATCCCCTTATATATATATAGGGTAATATTAGTGAATAACCAAATAAAACACATAAATAAATTAGGAAACTAGCAGAGAGAGAAAATGCTGTCGGAAAACAGCATGGACCCACCTTGTCTGAAGAGGTGAAATAACAAAACCATCCTCCGTTTGTTTTGAGATCTACAGTAGGCGACATTGTTTCGTGATATTTTTAAAAATAGCACGTAGGATCTAAATTTCACATGTTATATTTAACTAAAATACATGCTATTTAAAAAAATGTAGTGAATTTTTAAGAAAAAACATTGTTACGCAGTGTTTTTTTTTTAAAAAACATTGTTACGGAAAAATTAAACTTGAATAGAATCTTTTTATAAAGAAATAACATGTGATCTTAATAAAAACCGTGAATTACTAGAAAATAAGAATCGTTTTTTAAAGAGATTACATGTGATCATAATAAAAAACGTGTATTACTACAAAATAACATGATAGCGAAAGATATTAAACTGAATAGAGTATTTTTCCAAAGAAATAACATGTGATCTTAATAAAAACCGTGAATTACTAGGAAATAAGAATCTTTTTTAAAGAAAATCACATGTGATCATAATAAAAAACATGTATTACTATAAAATAACATGATAGAGAAAGATATTAAACTGAATAGAGTGTTTTTTCAAAAAATATCATGTGCTCTTTATAAATAACGTGTAATACCGGAAAATAATATGATAAAAAGAGATATATTATTCTATCACATGTAATTCGAGAAAAAAACATGTTATAAAAGGCATGTGTGTAATTACATAAACTTTCCGACATCCAACAGACAAAGTACTGTAGCTCATGGCTATTTTCTTAATTCTTTTTGAATTCATGGCTAGTTACTATAAATTCTCATATATATATATATATATATATATTAGTTCTAATTGTATAGTCTTGTGATTAATTTTCTTCGAGGAATGGTCTTCTCTTTTGATTGTGAAGTATTTGTAGAGCATGTTGATTTTAATCAATTCTAATAAATTGTTACACTCGATCGTTCCCGAAATAAAATAAGGTGTCATAATCATTAGATTGATATCACATGTATGGAAGAAATCAACTAAAATGATCAAATGTGAAGAGTTGGTATATGGTGTCCAGTTGGACTAAAGTTAACATTATTATTTTTTCTCTCTTTTTTGGTCAAACATTTTTAAATATATTACATCATTTTGTTTTATTAAAATAAAACAAGTAACATTTGAAAATAATTATATAGACAGATTCAACTATTGTAAATGGATGATTTGATCCAGAATATATGAGATTATGATGGACAGTTTATAAATGATATCTAACTTGTAAGAAAAGAAAGAAAAAACTAAACTCGTAAATAATGAAACAACAATAGATTTAGAGCAACAGTGTTTTCGGTATAATTAAAAGATCTGAATTAGTACTGCTTATTATGTGGTTACTGGTAACGTATCTAGAATGGTCTAAATCTAACAGTGGAAGCTTTCTGAATTACAAAAATAATGTTTATATCATTTTGAAAATGTGTTGTCTAAGAAAAGTTGGTTAAAAAAGGTTGAAGAAACCAAAGAGAAATTTTTTCTATTATATCCAAATTTTTTTTTTGTAATTTTATTTCTTAGAGCTATTTCATTACAACTTATCAGTGTAAAAACATCAACAACCCATATAATTCATGAGAAAAAGGACAAATAGAATGGAAGAAATAAATAATAGTACTAGTTGATTAATTCATTGACAGTAAAAATAGAAAAGAGAAAAAAAGAATTCATTTCTCATCTTCCGCTCTCTACGCATTTAACACGCTGACGAAGTGGAAGAAGACGAAGCACGACGACTCTCGCGCTTACAGATTTCTTGATCCGATACTCATTTTCTCTCCTCCCTTTGAATCAATATCTTCTTGAAATTATATAATCTAGGTGAGTTATTATTAATTTCCGTCGATTTCCTTTTACTTCCTCGGAGCTTCTACTTGATGGAATTGAAATTCTTATTGTTAGACTTGTCGTATATCGCTGATTTCAGTTTCTTGTTGCTCTGTTTTATAGACTTTGTTCGATTGTTGTATGGTTTTCTTGCTGAAATTCATTCATATTGTTGATGTTCTGTTCTAGGCAATTTGAAGATCTTGTGGTTCACAAACTCATTAGCAAGAGCTTATCATTTTCATCATCTACTTGAAGAACGTATGGGGGAAAGTAATCATCTTCCTCCCTTCTTTGATCATATTAGTCCTCAAAACATATCTGCTTTGTTAGTTCTTGTTACTAGATTAGAGGGTCATCAACAGTCAAAGATCATGAATTTTGGTTTTAGGAACAAGGGTACATGGTTTTGAGATGAGATAACATTAAGTTAACTCTGTCCCCTTCTCATGATTTCCAAGTAGAGTCATGAGTTTTCACCTCTCTGGATTAATCTTATCTATTGTTTGCAGCTGTTAAAGAGCGTGGTGATGGAAGTGCAGAGCTGGTTAAATCCATGGCTGATAAGCATGTCGGTCTCGTGAGACCAGCTGCTAAATATTACTCTGCAATAAAAGGTACTACTACCACCATTCTCCACAAGCCTTCTCTTTAGAAGATGTACACCGTTTAGTTTGTTCATGTGTGGAACTCCTGCTATTTGATTTTGTGCACCTTCTTCTTGAACTTATAGACATATTGGATTTGTATGATAGATGCTATGGTGTGTGGGAAAGGAAGATATACGCTTGTAAAAGATGTGGACGAGGTGGAAAATGGAGTGTATGACAAGCCTCTTCCATGCTTTGGTTGTGGAATCGGATGGTTTTCGTGAGTAGAGAGTATTGGTTTTTTTGAGTTAAGTCAAGGCAGCTTCACTATATCCAGTTCGATTTACCTGCTACCTCTTGTTTTGCAGCTTCCTCTTGGGTTTTGTGTTTCCTTTCTTGTGGTACTATGCGACATTTCTATATTTCGGGAACTACTACCGCAAGGATCCTAGAGAAAGAGCCGGCCTTGCTGCTTCTGCAATCGCTGTAATAACTCTTCTTCTCACTTCACTGTATGCGTTTTTATGGAGAGAATGATGAATTGAAATCGATCTGGTGATGTTTCAGGCGATGGGATTCTCCCTCATGCTACTGGTGATTGTTGTTTTCAGGTGGTTCTAATGGGTTCGCTGACTTATACGCCATAATCTTGAGATATATAATGAAAGTCCCATCCTTGTCAAAAGGAAAAGAGGAGGGACTTAGATATATATAAACCCTAAATTACACAGATGATTATAATACCTCTCTCAAGCTCTGTATCATTTTCTTTTCAAAAATCTACAGTTTGTGTACAAAGAACAGAAAGTAAAAAAATAAATGAGTAAATGGTTGTTTCTTTCTTGAGCTCATATGAGAATGTTTTTGCTTCTTATGAAACCAATGTTTGTCAAGTATTTTGATTAAGAGTGTTCCATTGATTACATCTGATCTAGATGATGATTATGACTTCGCTTCCGTTGACCAAATTTTGTAAGTATATAAATTCAATTATTTAACAACGTGTATCGGATACGCGCGACGAAACTGTTACTAATTTCCTGATTTGCCCAAAGCGAAACAAAAAAAAAAAGAATCAGAGAGACAAAAAGATGAACAATAAATTTGGCCGGAAGAAGCCGACGGGAACACCGTCTCTAGCGTGGTCTACCGTCGTAGTTGTAGCCTCTCTGCTCGCTGGAGCCTCCGTGGTTCACAATATATACAAGCCAGATCTCGTAAGTTGTCTGCCTTTATAAATAAGCACGTAAGGTGTTCGATAAAATGTCTAGCTGAACCAAAAATTTGGTTTTGTCCTCACTTCTCATTAATGATCTGATATTTAGTTCCCTTTTTTTTTATTTTGCTTTGGTTGCAGAGATTACCTCAGATCGAAAGCGATGAAGGAGACAAGGAGGAGTCTGCAAACAAAGGTTAATTCTATTTTTGTGGTTTGGTTAGTTACATTTCTGGCATTGATTTCTCAAACTCCTCTGGGTTTGAGTTATTATGTCATTAGACCTCTGTCTTACGTATGAATAAGCTCACTCATGGAGCAATACATTTTGATCCATTTAAGATTCTAAGTGATTGGTTGCAATAGATTGCTAATTGTGGATGTGTATTGCCCCCACAATGTTTAGTGGCTGCAAATCTGCAATAGATTCTTAAGTTTTTAATATTTGTAAACTACAGTAAAATGGTTACGGTGATTAATCCAGTTTATGGGACTAAGCCAGCGAAGGGAAGGATAGTGGAGTACGATTTTCAAAATGCCATCTTCCGTATTATACATGGACTACACTATTAAGTGTGTCTATATCATAAATTACAAATGTGTTCAACAAAATTTATCTAAAATACAACGAAAAGAGAAAAGCCATAGAAAAGTCTATGATACAGATTTTTTAAAAAACGTATACACAAATTAATACGATTTAACCCTCACACCAAGCATGCAGAAAACAACGTAAAAAGAACTTTAACAATTTAACACTACATGGATATAACAGTGAATTAGAGGTTTGAAATCGTATGTAGAAGATGAAAAAGACAGAAACACATCGAAGCTAATACCTTGGAGGAGAGAAATACGCAGAGAGTGGAGACAAGAGGCGTCGCGGGTTGAAGAGGGACACGTGTCGCGGGGAGGCGATTCCATCGATTTGGCGATAATCGGATACATTGATGAAGCCTTCCCTCCCGTCTCCACGGCCGGTTCCTCTCCCCGGAGAAGAGCTCAGGCCGTACTTGACGAGCTTACCAATGCCCCAAGACTTTTTCTTGGCCGGAGTTTTTTTATAAGACTCGGTCATTTTCTCGCTCATGTACTGCTTCAATGCTTCCAATCCCTGTTCCACCTGTTGTAGCATATCATCAGATTTAAACTATGTCACAAACGGATGACCAAGAACAAGACTTTTTAGTTCATATGTCTCTCAAGTTTCTTCCTTTAAGGTCAACTTTTTAGTTTACAATGTTTTCAATTAAAAATCGTATCTGTGTTGCTTCCTTTAAGGCCATAACACACTCTATAAATCAGAATGCGTGTGGAAGAATTTACGTTGCGTACCATAACACTACTTTAGAATTAGATCATGATCATAATGCTTGTGCAACAAGTTATACTCTATATTATATTAATTTTTGTTCAATGCATTCCTAAACAAATTTTTTTTTACGTTTTGTTACATGTAGCCTAATGAATAATGGTTTGTACGTGTTTCCTCTTACTACCGCATTTAATAGAATGCATATTGTTGACACAAATAAAATAAAAATATTTTATCATGAAAAAAATTTGTACATACCACTTCAAAAGGTGGGGAAATGAGGGGATTACCCTCCACAGAGAGCTTCTGAATCCGGCGAAGACAGCCGAGGGAGTCCGGTAAAACCGTAATTCCGTTATAACTAACGTCAAGCTCGACGAGAGATATCAACAACCCAACGGAGTAAGGTAACGTCGTCAAGTGCTGGAAGTTCTGGCTAACGTTAAGGACCTGAAGGTTCACGAGGTTCTCAAGATCCTCAGGGAGGGAACTAAGCCGGTTTAGCCGCGCGTCGAGGACACGCAGCGACGTCAAGTAGCTAACGGAGTTTGGTAACAGAACAAGCTTGTTCGAGTTGACGGAGAGCTTCGTCAGATTCTTTAGCTCGAACCCTATCGCGTCTGGGAGCCTTGTAAGCTCGTTGAAGTTGGCGTTCAGCTCTTCCAGCGATCTGCGTTTTGGTTGCGTTTTGCGTTGTTGTACATTACTTGGAATATAGATACTATGCAAGGAAGTGGTCTTACCTGCAATCTTCGATAGTTTTGGGGAGAAATTGGAGATAATTTCCGGACACATTAAGAAACTTAAGTTTGGAAAGACATCCAATGGAGTTTGGAAGAGTTTTTAGCTGATTGGATTGCAAATCCAATGCCCACAAATTTAACATTCTCGCTACTAGAGATTCCGGAATTTTCTGCATCAGAAAATTTATAAATTAGTGATAAATTTTAAGTTCTAAGTGATACACACATACATAAAGTTTAAGAGAATCAAAGTCTACCACACTCTCTTATCGCTTCTAGTTGTTATAAAAAAATTTTACCGTTTCATGTCGTTAGTCGAATCCAAAATTTATCTTTTGATAAAGGGTTATATTTTTTTTTTCCTAGTGGAAAATACAGATTCCAAAAGAGAGAAGTATGTAAGTATTTATGGATAGTTAATGCTATTTTGATATTTTATGTATATAACAACTATGTAACGTAAAATTTGAACACTTGTGGCTCAATTGCTTATCCACTCAGACGTTGAGAAAATAAAAACGAATATGCTTTATAAGGTTCGAGTTGACCAGAAGAAATTTTGTGCAAAGTGTTGTATACATTTATATCATGATATATAGATGCATATAGATGCATCACACCTATATAGCAAATAGTGATGATTTTAAATTTCTGGTTAGTACTTCTGGCAAAATTTGTTTTATTCGTAACCTTTTTTTTGTCTTGTTGCGTTATACATAATACAAATATAATAAAGTTTATCTTTCTTGAAACAAAATAAGAAGTGACAAAAAATTCACAGATTAAGGAATACAGCATTGCCAACAACATTATCTTCGTTGTTTATTGATATGGAGTTTGTGTGTTCACATTAATTCATCGTTTAGCAACTTTTTCCAATTTTGAATCATGCATATGCATGAGGAAGGGCTACAATCTTTATAATTTCTTTATTTTTAGTTAGCAACGATCTCTCATGATTAAATTAGAGCCCACAAGGCCACAACTTTATTATACTGAATTAGACCAAAAAGGCCCCTATCAAATTGTTATATCCTTGTTAACCTCTGGAGTCTCTGAAAATCCAAAAAAAAAAAAAACACTCTGGAGTCTCACGTAATTTGCTTTGTCTCAACTTAAGAGCTATATATATATATATATATATATATATATATATATATATATATTTAATTTAAATTTTCAAGAGCTATATATATTATTCTCACGTATTTTAAATTGCTAATTAATATATTATTGTCTAAAATAAATTTATAAGTTAATTATGAAAAGAAAAAGACCATGTTTTCAAAGGTACTGTGAAAACTGAAAACAATCACTTTCTTAGAATTCAAGTACTTTTTTTTAATAATAAATTCAAGTAGTTTTGGATATTTTGTAGTTTTAAAAATTCATTTGGGTTTACATGTTGTTGTTGGGTTTTAATTTTTTAAAATATTAATGAGAAAATGGTTATTTCCATAAGATAAATGAACAAGTGTTTTATTTCTAGAATATAGTTATTGAAACCTGAATATTGTTGTTGGAGAGATCGAGTTTGGAGATTGAAGCTAAGTTGATAGAAGAGGCCGAGAGAGAAGCCAAGGACATGCCGCTAAGATCAAGAGTCTTGAGATTCCGGCGGCGTTCTCCTTCTCCAGCAGTCGCAGCTGCGGCCGCCGCACCACCATCAATGGCCGACACACTTCTCCTCGTCATTTTCTTATGTGGAGTATTGATCGGTCCCCTCTTATTGAAATTCTTCATCATCGCCGTTGTCGTCATTGTCATCTGATTCATCTGCTCGTAACCCATCATATCTTCCTATGTGTATGTGTATGTGTATGTGCATATAGTATATACACACAAACTAGAACCCAAAAGCAAAGAGAGAGCGATGAGGGGAAAGAGAGAGAGAGGTTATGAAGAAGATGTGTTATAAATGATGAGTAGAAACTATATCCTATTTATATATGATTATAAAGATATTGAATATAGAGAGAGTACTTGAAGATTGAAAAGGAGTTGAAGATCGAAATGAAAGATATGTACGGATGATAAGAGAGGGCTTGGCGTTGAAAACTTGAAATGCTCTCTCTATCTCTCTAGATTTTTGTTTGGTTGTATTAAGTATCTCGTTATCAATTTACTTACTCTGGCTCTATATATTTTATATTATCATTTATATATACGGAGTAAAAATGAATCTAACTTTCTGGTTATATAATATTTTATAGTATTTTACAAATATGTATGTTAGGATGATATGTAATTATTGTTTATTTAAAGATATTAAAATTTCAAAGTATTTTAATAATTTGTTAACATATTTTATATATGTAGTAAAACTATATAAGCAAATAATCTCATATTGCATGTTTCATATTTTATATATCTGTTTCAGTGAGCGAACTACTTTAATTGAAATATATATAGCCTAATATTCAATTTGATTGGTTGCTTTGAAGTTTTAATTTGTTAACTTTTTGGCGCACGAACTAGACAGAAAACATTTAAGAAAAAAAAAAAAAAAGAGAAAAGAGAACGTTGATGGACCAAATAATAATTACCATGTGCCAAGTAATTAATGGATGATTAAGTCGAAAAACACAAACTAAAATAGTCAAATGATTATATTAAAAAGAGTCACATATTAGTTTATTAGTATTGAACTCGTGACACAGAAATCAACTCAGAGAATTTACCACACAACAAATTACATACAAACAAAAAAAAAATCTATAGATTTTACAGGGGTCACAGGTCACTTGACCCCACTATCTCTAAAGTGACTCAGCCACTATATGTCTGTCAATATTTTTTTTTTTGATAACTTAGGAAAATCCTGGTCCATACTAATTTTCTAGGAAAGTTGCAACCCACAGATAGACTCTCTCTCCGGATATGCAAATGGGCTGAAAGCAAGGGATCATATCCATGTGGCCAAGTGGAGATCTAACAATTGCGCGCTTGCAGAGAATCGATCTCTGGCCTAGATCAACAGAACAACTCCTCCATAAATGGCAACCATTAGACCAAGAACACTTGGTTAAAATGTCTGTCAATATTTATATAACCTTTTTTTTTTCCTCGTATTTATATAACCTATGATTTAATTAGATAACTAATACAATATAAGAATAGACACAAAACATAAGTTAAAGGATTTGTTAGGAAGATATTTGTTAGAGACTTGTCATCCATTTTGTCGACATTATAATACAAATTAAATTATTATTAATAGTATATGTACGAGAAATACATTAAAAGTAAGATAAAAGATATGTCCAAGAAGGGAAGCGAAGGTACGCCCCCGTAAAAGCTGTATGCCACGTCATCAATTTGGAAAAAGTCAACTTTTCTCAAAAGGGCTGACTTTGTTTTTTTGTTCATTTTCATTTGGGTACCCGCGAATCTCGGAAATCGCCCGCCACCTGATTTCCTTCGTTTGTTAATCATATTTAATGAGGTTTTCGTTGCACCGTCTCTATTCTTAAGTGTTTTTTTTTAATTGATAATTTAGTTAACAAGCTAGAAGAAACCTATAATTTTTATTGATTAACATGATTTTTTTTTTTGAGTTTTGACAACTTCATGTTGCATGACTAGATTTCTAGATTAATGTACGAAACGTAAAGAGAAACCCTTTTCTTAGTATTAAAAAAAGTTATATCTGGTGGATATTTCATATTTGGCCGATTTCAAGATATAGTATTTAATCTTATATATATAAATTGGTGAACACTTTTTAAGATATGTCCACACACAAACACGTATATATATCGACTATCCAAAAAGCAAATATATTACATGGACATGTCCATACGGCGTCTATATAACACGTACGTACGTTCACTGGCCGTTTATGTTTTCCAGTTGAAGATAATCTTCTTATCTTTTGGTGAAAAGAAACAAATCACCCTATCTTTCATTTATGTCTTCGTGAATTACGTCAAATTTTGAAATTTGGAATTGAACCAGATAAAGTCTCAGTATGACTTCATATTCTGGGACCAAAAGTTCTTCTCAACAGAAAAATATGGTAGTTTCATAACCTTATCTAATATTCACTCCGTTTTACAAAAAGTGTTATTCTAGAGTTTGACTTTTGTTTCACAAAAAATATCATTTTACATTTTTAATGTGACTTTTCCATATAATTTTCTGATTTACCCTTAACTTAAAGCTACTTTTTATTGAATTTAAATCATTAATCATTTATTAAATAAGGACATATATGTATAATTCAATGTTTTCTTAATTTTTGTGAAATATGTCAAAATAACACTTCTTTTGAAAAATGAAAATAATTTATCTAATACTATTTGTTTGAAGTTCGAATTACACATCTTTAACAAGCTGCTTCTTTTTTGTTATCTTCCATCACAAGTCTTTTTTAATTGATCATATCATCAAATATGTAATAGTCTGTCTACTAGAAACTCGAAAGCTAAAGACATGCGATGAAGCCTTTAAAACACCTTTATTAATTATTTTTTATGGTATCTTTAAATATAAAACTAATAGAAAAAATAAAAAAATTAGTGGATGAATAAGAAAGATTTGTGTTTTCTTATAGATACTTTTAATAGCCATAAAAGAGTGTGTCTTTAATTTTAATACTCCCTAATAAATATTTCAAGACACCCATAAAAAATTTAGAAAGGAGAATGGTCTTAATTATACCACAAAATATACTCCCTCCGTTTCATAAAGAGTGTCGTTTTAAGGTTTTATTTTTGTTTCACAAAGAGTGCCGTTTTAGGTTTTCAATGCAAAATTTAATGATTTTTTATGTTTTATGACTATTAGTATTCTGCAGATTGTTTTACTATTGGGCAGATTATGTTTAGGTATATAGTTAATGATGTTTTTGTTTAAAAAAAACAAAAAATTTAATATTTTCTTAATCTGTGTGCAAAACTCTAAAATGACACTTTTTGTGAAACAGAGGGAGTATAATCAATACTTTGTCTGTTTCACAAAGAGTAAAGAGTGTTACTTTGATACATTTTACACAAATTAAGAAAACTTTGAATTATACATGTATGTCTATTTAATAAGTGATTAATGATTTAAATTCAATGGAAAGTAACTTTGGGTTAAGGGTAAATCAAAAAATTTAGTGTAAAAATCACATTGAAACAAAAATAAACTCTAGAATAATATTTTTTGTGAAACAGAGAGAATAATAAATGATTAATTTTCGAATTAATTTTTTTTCTATTTTCTTTCTAACACTTATAAAAATTGTTTTTTGTATGAAAAATTTAAGTGTACCAAATTTATTTATGAGCACATATGGGAAAGGTCCAAGCAGAGCTACCATCAAGGTTTTTTTTTTCATAAAAATTAGTATTTTTTAGTTGTATATATAGGAAAACAAATATATTTCTTTTAATTTAATATATAAAAATTTCGTTATTTGTTCTTATTCAATTATGATGATCTACTTTGGACTGTGTTTCCTCCTCGAGAAGATTCCGATTAAAATAATTCGTGACATAATATTCTTCAACAGCTATGGAAGTTGACCGTAACTTTTTAATATTTACGAAATTTAAAATATTAGAAATTTAATATTTGATAGGAGAGAGCTTATAGCTAAGCTGTTTTTCTGTTATCTTAATCAATAATATTTAATTACCTGTTGTTTATCTGCTACTAGCAACTTTGAAAGTATATTTTGCTTGTAAGACATACCTACCACAATATATTTTTAGCCATTACTTTGTACTCAAATTAATTAGTTTATACTTTATAGATAACTTATTTTGATGTCATCTCTAAGCTATGATTAATAAACTCTTGACACAAATGTTAAAGAAACTATTTCGAAATTAAAACGGTATAAATCAAGTAGAACGGATATCAAACACTTCTGTCCTATCAGTTTGGGCTGGGCATAAAACGAGTTTTGTCAGTAAAATCTATAAAACTTATTTTGATGTGATCAATATAGAATTTCGTTTTACCTTTCAAATGTGGAATTTTATTTTGTTGAAAAATTGGAATACAATAGCGTATACTGAGATAGCTCTACACACTAGTCGGTCGTAGATGAAAACATAGAACATAGACGGTTTAGACAAAAATTACGATGAATAGGCAATGTGTATAGTTAGGAAAAATTCAATGTTTCATTATATTCTATGATTTAATTTATACGTTGTTTAAGTTTTTTGCATATAGATTAAAAAATTACAAAAAATTTATTTAACATATTTTTTAGAAAATATATTATTAATTACAACTAATTCAACTAATAAAAATATATTGTAAAATATAATTGATCGACAAATATCAATGTCAGTTAATTTTTGCATAAATAATTAAAAACAACACTTACTTTGCAACAAAAGTTTCCTTAAATTACAAATAAATTAAAACAGAAGGAATACCAATATTTAATATTTAGGATATGACCATGTTCTTTTAAGGATCGTGCGACACAAACCAGCGACTCTTATTATTATTATTATTTTTGTCATGGTGAATTTTGTAATTACGAGTATCTTAAGGGCTATAACTATAAATTTGGTAAAACCCAGCGATTATCGCTGCTTCAAACTAAAGCTGGGATTGTGTCGCTGGAATCGTTGCGACAGAAATAAGGAGAAATGAGGAAGAGATGAAGGAGAGGTAAGGCAATTTTCTGATCGCGGATGGGTGTCGCTGCGACTCACTGCCGAACATAGCCTAATGACATTTAAGTACTAAAGGAGATGAATGAGAAGACAATTTTCTGATCGCTTATTGTAAGTATATTAATATACTTACAATAATGTTGAAAGTTTTTTTAGCCTAGTGGCATTTAAGTTTGATTCATTGTTTTGAAGAACATGGTTCGATACGTAGTTGTCACACACAATTGTTTAACTTTTAGAAAAACTTAAAATAAAAGGTCAAAATTGTAATTTACTTACATGTCATCATCTTCCCCAAAACCCTAATCGCCGCTCGCTTTTTTGAAAGTTTTTTTTTCCTTGTTTTCCGTATTATTTTTTATAATTAGTTTTTCACTTTTCTTAATCATGAATTACATAAATCTATAATTTTTTGACAAAAAGTAAAGTTTTAAGTGACTTTTAAATTTGACTTTTGAAAACTAAAGCTTGGGTTGTGTCGCTGATTATTTTGGCGACTCTGGAATCATTGCGACAGAAATAAAGGAGAAATGAGGAAGAGATGAAGGAGAAGTAAGGCAATTTTCTGATCGCCCATGGGTGTCGCTACGACTCACTGCCGAACATAGCCTAATGACATTTAAGTACTAAAGGAGATGAATGAGAAGACAATTTTCTGATCGCCTATTGTAAGTATATTAATGTACTTACAATAATGTTGAAAGTTTTATTAGCCTAGTGGCATTTAAGTTTGATTCATTATTTTGAAGAACATGGTTCGATACGTAGTCACAATTGTTTAACTTTTAGAAAAACTTAAAAGAAAAGGTCAAAATTGTAATTTACTTACATGTCATCTTCTTCCCCAAAACCCTAATCGCCGCCCGCTTCTATGAAAGTTTTTTTTTCTTGTTTTCCGTATCTTTTTTTATAATTAGTTTTTCACTTTTCTTAATCATGAATTACACAAATCTATCATAAATCTATAAATTTTTGACAAAAAGTAAAGTTTTAAGTGACTTTTAAATTTGACTGATTTCTTCATCGCCTATGGCGAAATCACCGTGGTTTACCATCGTCTAACGCTTATGCGGTGTGTTTAAATGGCCACCAAGACATATTGTTAAAGTATTGGTAGAATACATTTAATGATGAAAGTTAAACACCAACAAAATTATACATTTTTCCACGATTGCATATGGCTTTGGTGACTTAAACAGTTTTAAATCATCGACGACGACGAAGAAATACAAAAAGAAGCTGTTGAAAACAGAGAAACAAAACACTAATATATAAAGCTGATGAAAGAAAAAACATTCTGAAAAGCCAAATCCTAAATAGATGCTTCTTCACCAAATACTTAATTCGTCTTTATTGCCTTAACTTTCTTCTGCAACTTTGTCCTCCAGTTTGATCTTTGTTGATCTTATGAGATTTACCATGGACCTCTTGATGATTTACTTTGAGTCTTTTCTTTCCCCCATCATTAGTCTCATTCTTAGAATGAACTAATTTTGTATGAGCAGCCAATATTTGTGAAGTATCAAACACACGGTTGCACTTTAAACATATAAATGAACTGTCTTTCTCATAGGGTAGGCTATATATCCAACCACCGTCTTTTTCATAATCAATATAGTCATGAATTTCTTCAAGGACGTCAGCTGGTTTGTGGATATATTTCACTGGCCGACCATCTTTATGAACATATTGTTCATGAAGGTGTTTTGGAGACGATGAAAATCTATCTAAAGGCTGACAAAAGAAATCGATGGGTTTGGGTGTGAAGGTTTCGTAATGATTATCAAAACCATTTGGAGGATGAACTGTAGAGTTCAAAATTGGTGGATAAGAAGGCATGACACGCTTGACATGATCATTATCGTTTTGGACAATGACCATATTATTGGTAGGAATAATAGCATGATACCTATTTGTGATAGTGTGAGTGATAGAAACTTGAGAAAAGTTAACAAAACCACTGATTTGAGCAGTGCAAGGCATACTGAAAGGAGAAACCATGTTGCTTCTTGTTTGAAAAGCCACACGGGTAGTATTGTTGACTCTCAAGGAAGATGAAGAAATTTGTGAAACATGAGAACTAGTCAAAGCAGGAGATGAATATAAATTAGCATGGTTTTTGTTGTTAGAAGTAAGGAACATTGATGGTACCATTTTGGAGTGGTGGATCCTCGAACTTGGGTTCATTTGGATGGGAACAAAATCACCATGATTTATAGGACAATCACCGTAAGGATTGAACTCATTTGGGATTGAAGACATCTTAAAATGGAGTGTGTGTGTGTGTTTTAAACATTGGCATATCTATCTACTTATATTAGTACACCTAAGTAAAAGGCTAAATTGGAAATTTTCAAAAGAAAAAATTTATTTATACACATAAGGAAACGAGGATTTCATTTTGACTGTTATTTAATACTAATATAGATTACTATGTGAAAAAATCTTCAAATATTTATTTCTATATTTTAACTGGAAAACCTCTATTTGGTAATGTTTGGCTGTTATTTCAAAATTTTAATTTATTGTTTTTACTTATTTTGAGAGTGTAAGTTGGGAATCGTTTACTATGTCGTTACCCTATTGATTTCCATTTACCTCTCACAAAAAAACAATATTGAAATTAAATTTTAAAAAATCTAGTTCAACAGCCTTTTATGTTTTAGTCAAAAGTCATATATAGTAGTAACAGAAGTCCACTTAATAAATTTCAGTTAATTCATGTATTAAGTTTGGATTTATACGCTATATATATTTTTTTACTTCTTTCTTCCAAATGTGTACACTTCGAAAATATTAAAGGAGAAGTAAAAAAATAAAAAAAGAGGTATAATATAATGTTTGTTCAACGAAACGAGTAGTTTACATTTGATTAGTTTAATAATTGTCAGATGTTAGGAAAATGTTATTTTATCTCTATTAGCAAAAATTAATTTCCATCGCAAAAAAATCCGTTCAGAAAATGAAATAACGACATAGTCTTGACATTCACGGTTTATAAACACTTCGTAGATGTTGGTGTAAACAAATATGATTCAAAATGAAAATGTGGAGGCAATGTCATATACTTTATGAATTTTTCAAAAATGAAAAACACAATAGTTAAATAAAAGATAAAACGACTGTGTTCTACTTTGTATTTGCAATTTAGCACTATTAAAATAAGTTAACTTTTGAAATATACACCTTAATTAAGCTTAAACTTTGTCAGAAGTTTTTTCTTTTTTTTTGTTCTTTCAGTTTTCCCTTGAAAACAAACGATGGCCGTTGGATTAAGGACGTATAGGTGAAGCACAACACGAGCCAGACGATGACATCGACGGCACAAAAATGCTGGGCATATTTACCAAAACACCCTTTGAATTCGACATTTTTTTTTAATTAATCTCCCTCGCCTTTACGAATTCGAAACTCAAAAACTCGAAATCATGGCGGCAACAAGCGATGAGCAGATGAATTTGCTTCTCTCTTGTTTCGATCAGATCTACGAGGTGATTCTCTCTTCCTATCTCTTCTTCTTCTTCTTCTTCGCTCGCTGCTTCCATTATTCTGGTTTCGTTGCTCGATAGGAGAAACCTAAATCTATCCTCGATTGAATTCGATTACGATTATCTCGTCATCTGGAATCAAATCGATTCGATCTCCTTCTCTAATCGAACCGATTGAAAGAGATATTCGGAAATTTCAGAAATCATCTGGTATTCAGAAGTTTCTGGGTTACTAGTACTGCAAAATCCATCCAGATTTCGAATTGATTTCTCACAAATTTTTGAAGGATTAGATTGTTAAGAGTAATCGGAACATTCATAGTTCGTTTTTGTTTCTCTCAGGATTTTAAAATCGGGTTAAATGAGATCAATGTTTACAGATCTAAGAGCAATGTTGAATCAAGCAGGAGAGAGGTTCTTGAGATTAGTAATAAAAATCTTAAACAAGGTTTCGTTGATTTTTGTTTGATTAGTGTTTAGTTTAGCTTTGTATTCTTTAAGTTTTGCTAGTCTTAAGTGGTTTTAGAGGTATCTGGAATCTGCAGAGAATGAGAGGCTGAAGAAGCTTTCTACGGAATCGCTGAACAATTTTGCTGATCAGGTTGTTTCCGCTTGAGTCCGAATCTTTTATTAGTGTTTCTTATTTGTGAGAAAACCAGTAGTAACATAACAACATTCTCTGTTTCTTGTGTTTAATACAGCTTGAGCATCGAACTAAGTGCCACAGCTTGAAAGAAGAACTGAAGAGAGTGATTGATGAAAACAAAAGCAAAGAACTTGTGAGATTTGAGATCTCCCTTCATGTCAATTCTTTGTCAGTATTTTCCTTGTGATTTGAAACTGAAGATGATGCTTGGATCGTTCATAGACATATAGGCATGAGTGTTAAGATTTACTTCTTAAAACCCATCTGCTTTGATCTGTGGCAGGAACTTGGGAATGCTTTGGAATTGCTTAGGCAGAAGCATGTAACAAAGGTTGAAGAGCTGGAGAATAAAATCAGGTAAAAAGCCCATTCACTACTTCTATACTAACTGATATGTATCTGATCTTTTTGGTTAACAACCACCACTTTACCTTACAGAAGCCTTTTGGTTGAAAAAGCAACAAACGATATGGTAATTGATAGGCTTCGACAAGACTTGACAGCTAACAAATCTCATATTCAAGCAATGTCGAAGAAACTGGATCGAGTAGTTACTGAAGTGGAATGCAAGTGTAAGACTCAACCACCTGACCTTCAATTGTACTTAAGTTTGTGTTTTCATTACGGCATTCACATGGCTTCCTAATGCAATCATTTGATAGATGAGCTCGAGATTCAGGAGCTAAAAGACTGCCTTCTGATGGAACAAGAAGAGAAAAACGATATCAGTAACAAACTTCAGAGTCTGCAGAAGGAATGTAAGAGTTTATTGAGGCAAATCTATTTTGGTTTCAGGTTTCATTAGCAAGACTAAGAGTTCACATAACTTCTTACGACTATATTGAAAAACTAATTGCATGTCCTTTTTTTATAATTTGCAGTGCTTATTAGTAGAACGTCAATAGCTGAAAAGCAGAGGGATACAACTTCAAATCGACAGGTCGAGACATTGAAACAGAAGCTAATGAAACTGAGAAAAGAGAATGAGATCCTTAAACGGAAACTATCTTCTTCATAGAACAACCAGGAACCAGACTTTGCTTGCACAAATCACTTACTGCTCTGTCCCACAACGAGTAAGTTCCACGAACCCAAAGCATTTTAAAACCCATAGTTCTCATCTTAGAACACATATATGAAATTGAAAAGGAACCCTGCATGCATATAGTATATATTGCTGGTCCAAAAGGCGAAGTTCTTGTCTGTTAACAAAGAAATTGGAGTTTTAGAAACGGGTTGTTGAGCCATTATTCATTAACCATTGTTATCCAAAACGTAATAGGTTTAAGAAGAGGGTAAGCACACAAAAACACAAGAAATTAAAACGCCACAGAGCCGAAAAATCAAGTTAGTATCAAAAACAAAATATAGTCCATGCAACACGCGAATCAATTTTAAGGGAAAAATAAAACATAGATACCGGAACAAAGGACACTTTCCGATTTGATTTGTAAGAAAAAGCAAAGAAAAGAAAAACGTAGGATTCCGCAATAATTATAAAGAATGTGTAGAAGAATCAACGTCCGTTGTTGAAGACTCTGCAGTTTCTCCTGATCTCTCCAGAGCGTCCAGTAAGAACCTTAATGGTACCCATTTTCACCATGGCTTGGGCAAATCTCTGTCTGAAGAGTGTATTGCTCGATGCAAAACTTGACACAATTCCACGGGTTGATCCAGCGAGACCCAAGTTTTGATCAATTCTTAGAATTCCTCTTTGTCTTCGGATCTCTCCATAAATAGCGTTATCCACAGTAAATGGAGTCCTTTGGTCCAAAAAGACTGATGGGTCATTTGGGGCACGACATGTGTTCCTCAACCTAGCATTCAATGACCTGTCCATTGCTGGGTCGGCAAGCCTGTCCCTGAAGAGACTGCAATGTGCAACACCAACGCTGTGTCCACCACCAATAAGTGTAACCATATCGTTGGTATTCATACCTTGAGCTGCAAACAATTGGATAGATGCGCTAACCGGAATTGTTGGTCCGGGTAAGTTCACATCACCAGGGTTTGACCTTAATCCATCACGTCTTCCTGTTGGTACTGAGTATCTTGGACCGCCGGCTAATGCGACCGAGTCTCTTGTGGCTAGAGTTACAATGTCTGCGCATGAGACAGTTCGGGGACATGCAGCCTCTAGTTGTCTCTTAGCCTCATCAATGACCTCGTAGCCTCTCACGCTTGCGTTTGGTCCAGTGCTTTTCTCTGATGGCCTTCCAGGTCTTGGGTCGATCAAGAGGGAAGCATCACAACCCTACACAACCATTAAAAACATTGCTTGATCAGTGTTATGTCTAGATGATAACTAGTTTACGATATACATATACACACATGCAAGGAGAAGCTTACGAACCCTGACAAAGCAATCATGAAACTGCATACGAAGAAATGCAGCAGTGATGGAACGGTCACGGCGGAAACGGCTGGCAACAACATTAGCAACGATAGATTCAGCTCGAGGGCATGAGCGGCCGTAGAACCCTTGTCGGAGCTGCGCCAAAGCAGAGGGAGCAACGAAACAGAAAAGGAAAAACAAAGCTGTGATTGCCCTCATTTCGTATGATCAGCGCTTTTACTGCCCTCTCCTACGAAAACTTAGAAATACTTTTGGATTCTGTTATTTCCAAGTTTTGGTGATGAAATTGTTTGTTCCCGTTAAATGCATATTTATATGTAAATGTGGGGGCGTGGCATTGGCAAAGAGAATGTTTCATTTAGAAGACGTGCATAGGGTAAATGTGGATACATTGGCAATTGATGGTTTAAAGGAATATACATTGTAGTAGTTGTGCTTTATTAATGTCTTTAAAAAAATGTTAAAGTTCGTCCTCCACACGTCAAAATTTTGATTATGGCCAACTTGAAATATATTTGAACAAATTGCGTTCAATATATTCTGTCAATTTCGAAAGAGTATAATTTCTATTTCGAGATGCTGACTCTCATTAAGATATGCTATTGTTTTGTGATATACCTTTTTGGATCCGTTTCAGGTTATATAAAAGGTGTGAAAGAGAATAAAAAGAAATTTTGCAAGAATTGGTTCTTGCAATACACGAAACAAAAAATAAGATAGAGAAAGAGTAATGGAAAAGGCAATGAAGATTTGTAGAAAAAAATAGAAAATCATATATATGAAAGTTGGTCATCTCTCCATATGAGTGACACATCATCACACAAAAAAATGATATGTGTCATTCAACATTATTTAAATTAAAAAATCAGCAAAATTAATTGAGGGAAAATAAAAAATCTTCTATTGTGTTAAATCCTCCATTAATCTCATTCTTAAAAATAAAATTATAAAATTATAAAATTATTTTCATAAATCAAACACTACTTTCATTTTACTTTTCTTATTTTTCTAATTTTTTAATTTAGTGGTCAATGGTTATCACTCGATAATAACTAAATAATATTTGTGTTGTAGTTTAGTTGTTTGCTACCTAATATCTTATTAGTTTAATAATTTTACCTTGAATATTTTCTCATTATTACGTTATGGTTCATATCTTATTATATGACATTCTCTCTTTTCATTTTTTTGTCTTATGGTAAGTTCGTAACGTTGACATGCAAATTTTTTCAAGTAATGAGCTTTTGAGGCGTTAGACATACCACAAAATTCAAGACAAATCCATTTCTTTTATATGGATATATGCTATAGCATAAAATCTAAAAGTGTTACTTAAATAACTCTTTAATTTTTGTTTTTTCTTCTTCTTTTCATACGACAACTCCTGAGATCAAAATATCTTTTTTATTCTTGTTGTGTGTATTCATGATAGTAAAAATAATAAGATTATACATAAAAATGTATAAATTGATATTTAGAGTCAAAAACGAATCTAACCATAAAAATTGTAAGCACATAAGATGAGTCTAATTTTATTAACCATAAAATAACAAACAAAAAAATAAACATAAATTAGCGACAAAAACAATTAACATATTTTTATATTAACAATTTTTAAAATAAACTCACGCGTAGCGTGGGAATTCATCTAGTAATGTTTAATTGTTTGATGATTACACTTCATTAGTACATTCAATTTATACACGCGCATAATGGGAATTTTGTTGCCCTTGGTATTCTTTCTCAGCGGTGAAAAAGCTAGTGAATCATCCTTCTCCAGTTTGTCTTCCATTGATACATAATGTGAAACAATAGCTTAATATCACTCCTTATTGTAGTACACTAGGTACCGATTCTACGTGCATATTTAACTTACAAGACAAATATAAGTATCTTCTTAAGCTAAAGATATTACAGGTGAAGATTTGTGAATCTCGAACTAAACAAAAGCAAAATGTAGTAAGCAACCAAACATGTAATGCCCTTGCCCAATTTTCTTCATTTTCTTATCTTAGGTGTCTTAATCTCTTAGGATTATCATGTTTCAGCATCACCTATATATAAGCGTCTTAATGATTGCATGGGTATATTGGGGTTTCTTTCACATTTTCACATATATGTTATATATATATATATATATATATATATATATATATATATATATATTCAAAATGAACCATCTGAATGCAAACTAGCAAATGAAGATGAAAGATCATGCATGAGTATCATATTTATCACATATTATTGAAAGGCTTCTCAGTGTTTGGTAATGCCTAAATTCGGATACCAAACCAAAAAACAAATGAAGTAGCTAGTAGCTTACATTTTTGTGCTAGATTTGGACTGGTGATAAGGAAGATATCATTCTGCAATTTTGATGAAACATATCATTCTGCAATTTTGATTCGGTTGACAATCTTCCTAAAACCAAACCAATTCAAATTTGACTTAAAGCATCTGAATAAAAAAAAATTATGAAAACCAGTTTTTAAATTATAGAAAATGTACACTATAGAATAAAATGAGTGATCACATAAAATACGAAAGTGCAACTTACAAGTGAATTTTAAGGAAAATACAAAACACGTTACCGAAAACACAAACTTCGGTTGATTATTTAACAGAGAAAAAAAACAAACGAAAGATTAAAATGAATAATGCTTTTCAAAAAGTGTAGAAGAATCAACGTCCGTTGTTGAACAGTCTGCAGTTTCTCCTGATCTCTCCGGACCGTCCAGTGAGAACCCTAATGGTGCCCATTTTCACCATTGCTTGGGCAAATCTCTGTCTGAAGAGTGTATTGCTTGATGCAAAACTCGACACAATCCCACGGGTTGATCCAGAGAGACCCAAGTTTTGATCAATTCTTAGAATTCCTCTTTGACGTCGGATCTCTCCATAGATTGCGTTATCCACAGTAAATGGAGTCCTTTGGTCCAAAAAGACTGTCGGGTCATTTGGGGCACGACATGTGTTCCTCAACCTAGCATTCAATGACCTGTCCATTGCTGGGTCGGCAAGCCTGTCCCTGAAGAGACTGCAATGTGCAACACCAACGCTGTGTCCACCACCAATAAGTGTAACCATATCGTTGGTATTCATACCTTGAGCTGCAAACAATTGGATAGATGCGCTAACCGGAATTGTTGGTCCGGGTAAGTTCACATCACCAGGGTTTGACCTTAATCCATCACGTCTACCTGTTGGTACTGAGTATCTTGGACCGCCGGCTAATGCGACCGAGTCTCTTGTGGCTAGAGTTACAATGTCTGCGCATGAGACAGTTCGGGGACATGCAGCCTCTAGTTGTCTCTTAGCCTCATCAATGACCTCGTAGCCTCTCACGCTTGCGTTTGGTCCAGTGCTTTTCTCTGATGGCCTTCCAGGTCTTGGGTCGATCAAGAGGGAAGCATCACAACCCTACACAACCATTAAAAACATTGCTTGATCAGTGTTATGTCTAGATGATAACTAGTTTACGATATACATATACACACATGCAAGGAGAAGCTTACGAACCCTGACAAAGCAATCATGAAACTGCATACGAAGAAATGCAGCAGTGATGGAACGGTCACGGCGGAAACGGCTGGCAACAACATTAGCAACGATAGATTCAGCTCGAGGGCATGAGCGGCCGTAGAACCCTTGTCGGAGCTGCGCCAAAGCAGAGGGAGCAACGAAACAGAAAAGGAAAAACAAAGCTGTGATTGCCCTCATTTCGTATGATGGCCTTTTCCTTCCCTCTCCTGTGAATGGTACTTGTAAGTTTTTGTGATGAAATTCTAAGCGCCCGTAAATGCATATTTATATGTAATTTTGGGGATAAGACATTGGCAAAGTAGAGAATATTTCAATTAGAAGACGTGCATAAATGTAACGGTCGATGCATTGACATTTGACGGGTCGTTAGAGGAATATATTAGGTATTACCTGTTCTTTAAATTTTAATAATGTTTCATTGACAATAGAATGATTCCACGCGTCAATTATTTGATTATGGCCAACTTGGAATACATAATAATACTGTTGATATCGAAAGGGTACCACTTCTGTTTCGATGGGTGGAATTTTTTCTCCAAAGATACCAACTTTTTTTTTCTTCAAAAAAACCAACTTTAAATTAATACTAAGAACTTTAAATCAATACTAAGAAATTTAAATTAACATACCAATGAGATAACAACTTTTCCTTTTCAAACATACCAACTTTAAATGAATACTAAGAACAGATACATTGTTTCTCATAGTCATAGTTCACCAATGAGATGGATTTTGTTTAAGTGCTGACTCATTTAAATATGCAATTTTTTTATACATATACCTTCTTTAGTCGTCCTATTTTATTATCTTTGCTCTCTAAAAGAAACAAGAAGAAGCTGTAAAAAATGAAAAAATAGCAAGGATTTCTTTTATAACAAGAAACCATAAACAAGATAGCAAAAGAAAAAGCTATGAAGATTTGAAGAAATAAAAACATGGCTTACGGTTAACCTATTAATATTTTATTCTTAATTCACCTATACCAATTAGGCAAATACAATCAATGAAATATAAATTGATAATAAATATAATTAGTAGAGACATGTTATAAAAATGTGTAAAAATCATGAAATATTCAAGTTTAAAACACCGAGAGAATTTTATATCATAGAAAATTATAAATATAGAATATGACAAATTTATCTTCTCCATTTTGGTTACACTTACTAGTTATAAATTACAACTGTGTACCTATCGACATTGAAATCAAAACTCTCATGGGGTGGTTCTTCTGAGAATGCTTTCAGATGAGCATCATCATATGAAGACATATAGATTCTTCCCACCAGACAAAGCTATGTCGACCCCGTAGGTTATGTTTGCAAATAGATTCTTCCGACCAAACAACGGTTCTCCACTTAGCAATAAAATTAAGAGAAAGCTCCAACATTAACAGGTGATTGTTCGTTAAATTAAATAAAATTCTTAAAACTGAAAACCATTCTGATTTCTGACAAATATCTCTCAAACAAATCCATACAAAAAAAGAAAAGAAAATAAAAAAAAAACAGTTCTTATTTGACTAGAAACGTAGTGTAACAGATATCGAGATATGAAAAGAAAGAAAAACAAAAAAAAAAAGGCACCTAGATTTACATTACACATTCAACTACATTGGCTCTCTATTACTTGGTTCTTTTTCCCTCTCTATTATAATAAAATAAGCCTTTCTCTAAACAGAAATTAATCTGCAGATAAACTGAACCTCGTAAACCACAGCAAACAATTCAAAGATTATAACTGCTATAGCCACCAACATCAGAAGCTGGTCTATATTCCGAACCATAAGTTTGCCCATTCAGGGACGGCGTGTAGGTCGAAGGACCCCCCAGCTGAGAGTATGCTGTTGGTCTGTACTGCACCGTCTCTGTGCCCATGTAGCTGTTCGAGAGCGGCTCTTGACGGTTACTTAGCTGAGGAGGATATGCAGGTACATAGCCAGTGTCGATTCTGGCATATCCCCCTGAAACCGAAACTGGTTCCTTGTGATTGCTGATGAACTCCTACACGCACGTAAATGAAAGAATACGGTTTTATGATGAAACAGGCGGTAGCATGTAAAGGAAGCGTAATCTTCGTATTTATACCATGTCATTTCACATAGAGTATATATATATATATATAGATGGAATGGATTGTGTTCTTACTTGAATTAATTGCTCAGCAGTTTGTACTTGAGAAGATGTGCCTTTGATTTCCACTGTGATTTGATCAGGATGTGGACTCTCTTTAATGGTTATTGTAGCTCCGCTTCTTCGACGGATGTAGGCTATATTAGCTCCTTCTACACCAATGATATCCTCTGCATAGGAGAATGGTATTTGCATCGTTTGAGATACCTAGTAAGAGAACCCATCATAAAAACGTCATTACTAGTTCAGATGTGATAAGATCAAAACCACCGGTAGAAGACTAATCATAACAAGTAAGAACGGTGATACTGCTAAACATTTTCAGGAGATGATGTTATATTTAAGGGAATCTACCTGTGTCACAAAAGCAGAAGAAACCCGAGCAAGACCTGGAGAGTGTCTGGCTGACAGTACAGGATCCTGACTGTAGATAGAAACTCCCGTAGGCTGAACACGTGATTCCACCCGAGCATCGCGATCCAGAAACAAAGGATCCCTCCGTGCTAAGAGGGAGAAATCAGGCTCGATTACATTTGACGAAATAGTATGCAGAGATGACTTGCTTTCAGCTAACGGTTCTTCCTGACGAGTTTGAGAGACTCTAGCTAGATACTATAGAACAACAAAATAACAATAATTCAGAAAGGAAAAAAAGAGAGAGAAGGGAATAATCGATTGAAACAACCAAGCTTACTTGCTTCTCGAAGAGTGGGACCACAGTGTGGTCGACTAGAAATTTCCTTAAGTGTCCAACAATGGCTTCTAATGCTTTGAGGATCTTTAGAGCTTCCCCCTGCAAATCCACTATCCTCTCATCCTGTGCAGCATAAAACGGTGTTTCCTCTGGCAGCAAAAAAGTAGAGAAGTAAGAAACTGGCAACAGAGGCACCGTTTTTAAAGGATGACAGACATGAATTGAAAAAAGAGATAACCAAACTTTAACAATAACAAACAAAGAGATCCACTAGCTAAAAAATGAAATCTGCAAAGGATAGTACCTTCTGATAAAATACGAACGGATGCACCAGAGTTCTCTACTATTGACTTAATCAAAGATCCCTGTTTTCCAATCAAATTTATGGCCTGCGTAGATGCAACTAATAAACGCACTGAACAGAAGGCACTTCCAGCGTTTTGAACATCATCATCATCATTATCTGGCAATCCTGAAACTCGTCTAAACACCCTTAAAACTGCGTCCATTGCCGGTGACATGTAGGCCTCTGGTTCTTCTTTACCAGATATTAACACCTAAAACATAACATTAAGTTGAAGATCAAGTAAATTAACTTTAAAACTATAATCGAAACCATAAAGTAATCAAATTGCAACTTTTGTGTTCCTCCAAAAGCTAGAATTTTACAACTTTCCCGGGAAAATTCATCACAAGAACTGAATGTTAAGACAAAATTCAACCAGAATCAATGATCACATCCAAAGAATCTTACTACTTTATGATCAAGAAACCCTAGAAATAGAAACAGAAAATCCCCAAATTCGAATAGCTTTGCATAAAGTAAATCACGTAGAAAGAGATAGATACTGACGATGCGATCGGGAGTGTTGACAGGACCATCAAGGACTTTGATACGAGCACGAGTCTCTTCACACATCTTCTTTATAAAGTCTCCTTTGCGTCCAATTATAGCTCCGACTTTACTCACCGGAACAATCATACGAAACACGCAATCCCCAGGCCAACCTGGCCACCTCTCCGCCGCGAAATCGTTCGTATCAGGGGCGGTAGTTTCAGCAGCAGCTAAGCTATCGGGCTGATTCAATTCAGGGAAGGCGCCAGAGTTTTCTTCAGGCAATGCGGTGACACTGATTCCCGCCGGCATAAGGTTTTCAATCTCGGGGAGGTTTAAAGTATCATTGTTCTCAACGGAATCTGCGACGGCGGCCATTAGAACCGGCAACACAAAAGATATCGAGAGAGAGAGAGAGATTTAACCTCTGGTAGTCTGGTTATAGGAATCGGCGCTGTCATATCGTACGATGTCGTTTCGTGTCAATGGTTTTGGGCCTTTGGGCTTTTCGCTAACAGTTTTACTTTGACCATTTAAGCCCATTAGCTATAATCTTTTTTTTTTGTCGACACGTAGTCCATGAGCTATTTTTTTTTTTTTTCCCAACGTCCATGAGCTATATATAGTTATATACCAAAGAATGAATAATCGAACTCTACTTTGAATATATGTTTGAAGCATAGGATCTTAAGAAAAATTGTTCCATCATATATTTTAGTGTTATGTTATAAGTATCTATATATAGTGTTTTTCTTAAATATATGTTTGAAGCTTACTACATAGTAACATACTAGTGAAGTTTTATTTTATACTTTTTCCCCTAAACTCAATCATGTGGATTCAACTTTTCTAAACCATTCACTGTTTTACATCCACCATTTTTATATTAGAAAATATTTATAATTACTATCCACAGTCATAGCCGCAATCAATCAACAATAATATATATGTAAATAACATTATACCGTAAATTTGGAAGATTTTAGTTAATATCCGTTGTCATCATATGCAATATGCAATGGGGATGAAAGAGACGTAACGTAAGAATTATCTGCTGGCCCGGAAGATACTTTATCTCTCTGCGAGTCCCTTTTGTATTTTAGTTTTTTAGACTTTCTTCATATATATTAAAGAACATTTTGTTTCTATCTAAATTTTTTATCTTTGATCAAACATTTTTTTTGGATCAGAAACTAAAATGAGATTTTAAACCGAAAAAACAAAGTGAAAGACGATGATGTTGAATGAGTCCGTCCCCATGCTGAATTAAAATTGGGAATTTTGGGCAAAACATATATACGTATACACGTACGCTATGGTCCCCTCCTCAATACACATAGATATGTAAGAGAAGAGAGTTCACTTGTAGTTTGTAACTATTTGGGTCAATCTTGTACAGTGACCTAATCGATTCTCAAGGGTCACATGCTTAACATCGTCATACTTATACATTTATCACATTGAATTTGTCTAGTTGCATGAATTTTTTTTAGTTACTTTCTAACAATTTCATACATATTTATTAGCACTAATTATCTCTAACTAATTACATCATTACTAACGTCCACAATCTGTCTATTCAACACCTATGAAAGGTAACATCTACCGTGATGTCAAAAAGAAAAGGTAACATCGATCTACCGTTAATGAGCATTAAAAACCTCTTTAAATATTTTGTTTATCCAAAGGTAAATAACAGTAACATTAATCAGACATATACGTCATGGAACACAAACAATCTTCTATTCCCTTCTTCCATCTCCATCGACCAATTAGATTGATGCTCCTAAAAAAAGTTTAACGACGATGTGCTTTACCACTCCAAAAATACATTTTTTTTAGATTCAAATCTTTTTAAATTTCTGCTTTTCTTTTATAGTACAGAACTCAGATATGAATTCGAAAAATAGATTAAACATTATGCTTTAAAGGAGAAAAGCTGAGGAAAATAAAGAGAAGAAGACAGGTCACATGTTATCATAACAAAAGAAAGAGTAGTAACATAAGAGGATTCCAAAAAATAACTGGGATGGACTTTGGAGACGGTGGCAGTGTTGGCATCAGAGAGGTTTATCCTCACTTTTCGCTATATAAATAAATCTCATATTTCCTTCTTACTTAGGCTATATATATATATATTTTTCTCGTATATACACATATATATATATATATATATCAATATATATTCAATGACTGCTGAGAATATAATCTAAAATACATTACTCAAGTACTAAAATTCTCATTTTCTACGTCTTGTCTCGTTAAATACATAGGAAAATGATTGATGGGAATATAATCTAATATATGACAAAGACAAAACTACATATATTCATCTGGTTGTGGAAAAGAAAAGAGTACATGGATTGGATTTATCGTTGTGAATATATGTTAGAGCAACATTATTGGTTGGTTCTTAACTTTGGCTCTTAACATTATTTAAAATTAAAATGTTGCTTTTTGAAAGCTAAGAAAAGTTAGAGAGTACCTTAACAAAAATGTCCTCCAATGGTTAAAGAACCAATGGGTTCTTAAGAAAAAAAATTCAAATTTTGGCAAAACAATATCTTCCATTACAAGCATTTATACAACCAAACTCATACAAGCATTCATACAATGACCTATTGCTAAGCATCCATACACACATTCAATATCATGGGTTTGGAAATTAAGTGTTAAAAGTTACCAAAGTAAGTGAGAAATTCATACATTGTAGTCTATGATAGTGAGTTTGTTTAACCGATAATCCTCACCGCGGCTGCACTCAGTCTCACAAGCCAGTTCCTTGGACAGAGAAAGACAACATCAATAATAAAACAAGAATGCAGAAAAATCAAGCAGTGCCATGTCAAAAATGCAGAGAAATCAAGCAGTGCCATTAACATCTTGTCCATTGTATGCTTTCGCCATTTTCCGTGTCCTAGATGTTAAACGTATTGATAGTCTGGGCCGAGAGTGCGATGACCGTGTGGATGGTGCTACCAGATACATGATCCTGGATAAGATAACTGAAAAGCAAAACATTTCATTTAAAACTTCACCAAACAAAACAACAAAAAAAAAACAACCCTTCATCCAAAAAGCAGTGTGCACATAATACACGGTTCATAGTCCATCACCAAGCAAATCAGTCTAAACCACAAGAATTTACCAACAAAAGATCAAGATGCTTTCCCATTATATTGGACTTTCGACTTTTCTAACATTTAGATTCATAAGACATGAGAAAGTCCTATTCAGTCAACTAGTCGAGATAATTTCCCATAACATCAAAGTTTATATAGTTCCCAGCTCGGCACGTCTAACAATTCATCAAATAACCATTATACTAAAGTTTATCAGCATTACTTTGTAACCATGACATTGCACAATTTGAAGGCATGGTTACAAAATTCTAACTGCAATCTACAAACTAGATTCCAAAATGCATGATCATGGCTTATTCTGAATAACGATTTCAAGTCTGATTTACAAAATTCTTTTTATACAAAGAAAACGAATTACCCTTTTTCCCCAATTCGACGAACCCTAATTTCTCAAATCCGAGGAACCCTAATTTTAAAAACAGAAAATCACATCAATTCACACAATCAGAGAGACATTCCTACCTTTACAAACCGATTGTCACCGATTTCGAATCGAAACTCGAAGATCTGTTGAATTTATCCCCGATTTCGTAAGCCACGATTCGCCAATTTGGTGAGCTATTGACGCCCTCGACAACCAGCGTCGGTGGGGATGATAATCTGTAGCAAGAACGATCGCCGGAGGTAAATAACGTCGGCTGTTCCTCCGATTTGCTTGAAATCGACTTCAGTTTCCATTTCATCTTTGAAATCGCGAAAAAAAAGAGAGAGAAGAGAGAAAGAGATAAAGAAGAGAGAGAGAAGGGAGAAATAAATTAAATTTGCTCTGAAACACAGACACGTGTATGGTTCTTAACTATTTTTTGTGTCTTACCTAAGAAACGATCTTAGCATTAAAGCTTGTTTGAGATTTAATTATAATCATTTAATAGCTAAGATTTCCTTAAGAAAACATTAAGCAACTGCCGTTAATCATGGTCTTATGGATACATGAGAAAACACTGTTCAATTGCAGACTTTGCAGTAACGTACTAAACTCATTTGTGATACAAATACATAAAACAATCGAAATAATCTTAAGAAACTGTAAGAAAATCTAACGCTATGACGAAAACGTATGATTGCCATCTGCCACATATCACTTCCGAATGATACTAAACGGGTCCAATCGCCCAATACCCACGCGACTCTCTTTCTCCCTCTCCCCACATATTCATTTTAAATTAATTTAATATTGACACTTTTTTGGGTCAACTTTATTGAAAAGATACGTAATTTGGAAAATTAGATTGAGTATCACATTTGGCCCAAAATCTAGGTTCAGTATCACTTTCGAATCGCAGTCAGCATCTATACCACAATTAAGGTGTGTAATGATGATTTTGCTCTTCCTTTTGTTTACTCAAATTTCGAGGACAAAATTCTTAGATTGAAGACACAAAAAAAGTTTACATACAGTTGTCTTCGAAGTTTGAGTTTTTCCATAATTTCATCTTATTTTTGCAGGTTTGCTAGTTTTTGTCCATCAATTTTAATTCATTGTTATTGGATTTTAGTATGTAAACTCTAATTGCGGTTTTTTTTTATTTTGTTTAGTATTTATATTTTGTTTGATTATTGTCTTCGAATAGATTTTTTGTCCCCCAAATACTTGTCCTAAATGTTACACTTTATCTGCCACATCAACCGAGGGCAAAACCGTCTTTTTCATACCACAATATCACATGAATGTGGTACAAGTGCTAAATCATTCTCAATTGTGGTAGAGATGCTAAGTAATTTGAAAAATGTGGTAGATTTGGCAAAAAATCCCGTAGTTAAAACTATAGTCAATAATTTTATATTGGATATTATTCTATCTATAATAAGTCTTGTTTTAGTGGTTGACGGTTTTAGTCCATGGTACTCGTTGGGTTTCTAGGGATGTATGACAATAAACTTAATTCGAATTGTTATATCCAAATAAGAAACAACACATTGTGCTTTTGTTATAAAAATTGGAATAAGTTGGGAATTAGTACATTTATGAAACATAATAGGAGAATTAGTACAGGTGCTATTCAATAATCAAGACATAGTCGGGTCCCACTGCTACACAAATAAGCGTTCTCTCTGATAGAAAAAGAGTGGGGCCTTGAGGTTGTTGTGGAAATTACGTCTGAGGGCTTCCTTCTTTTTACAGGGAAATGAGGAAGCCTCTAGACGAGATGGCATGTTTGGTTTGTTGGACATATGTGCCAACTTTGAATAACAAGTTTGTGTTAGTTTTAAATGGGCCTTAAAATTCTGACCCATTTTGTCTCCAAAATTAAACCGTACCCGAAGTCAATTATCAAACTAGTCGTCTTCATCAGTGGCGGCGTGGGAGCAGTCAGAAACCCCTGCATTAATGAGAAGTTTATGTCAACGAAATTAGTTGCTAGGTTGGTGTGAGAAATCATATAATACTCAGATTCTCTTTAGATTTTTTTCGAAAGTAGACAAATTTTTTGGAGGGAAAATTATTTTACCTTTTTTGATGGAAAATTTATTATAAGATAAAAAGAAGAAGATGATTGTCAGTTTCGGTAGGTTTTCTAAGTTCCTGAGGACGTACAGATCAGAGATCAAAGAATGGAAGGTGGAATTCAGAACTGAAACAAATTTCGAAATTTTCTTTTAATGTTTCCTACTGTACTGGCCTAGAAACTGATTCTAATTGAATTTCCTTTGCAGTTGATGATATTGTTGTTGTACAGGCTGGAAGATGGATCTTGTTTAGCACAGGTGATTGGGAGTTCAAGATGGATTCTTATCGGCAGGGGAGGGCGTTGAGTTTGATGGGGTTAAAAACTTTCAGGGATTTGGAGCTTAAAGTGAGGCAACTGTACAGAATGGAGAGCAGCTCAATATCAGTAGAGCTTAGCTACATGTTTGAGGACAATTTAGCACTGTTAGCTGGTGTTCAGCCGGGCCCAACAATGATTCGGTGTGATAGGCAGTTTCGAAGCTTTAAATCTTTAAGCATTGATGATAAATCTGTGAACCTGTTTGTGTGTTTTAGAGAAGGCGATGGAGTCTTAGTCGGGCCTACCTATGAAGCTCGAAGGATCGGGAGTTGTTTTGCAATGGGTAGGCAAGCTGGAGAATCATCTTCAGGTATTGTAGAGGCTGGAGGTAGTTCAAGAGCGACAGAGGGAGTAGGATTTTTTGCTGGACTCTTATCTTCAGTTCAAGACAATAACAGTGTCTATCCTCCAGTTCAAGGCAATAACTCCCAGTTAGCAATCGCCCAGAGTACAGATGTTACTGACTGCTCCGGTGGGTGGGACATAAGCGATGAAATACTGTTAGAAGCCGTAGAAGCTGTGGAGAAAGCGTCTAAAACAGATTTGGTTGTTTACACAGGTCTAACCACATCTGTAGCAGTGGAAGATGGAATGGAGAGCAGTGGGGATGAAGAGTGTTCAGAAAACTCCGATGATTCTTATTCTTACAGTGGAGGGAGTCAATCAGAAGATGATGATATAGATTACGAGAACAACACGGTAGGTAGGGTTGAAGCTGGTAGAGAAATTGTGGCAGATGAAGACAGTGGATGATGATTTTGTTGAGCAGCCCCCGAAAAAGAAAGTCAGACAGAAAGAGAAAGGGATAGGAATTGAAGAAAGGACTGACAATCTTGCATGTGTAGGAGGTGTTATGACAGAGTTTCTTCACACTTTTCAGAAGGGGATAAGAATTGATGAAGTTTATGGTTATGAGGACATTGAGCCAATGTTTGGAGACGATGATATGGATAGAAAATCAGCTCATGTTGACTTGAGCAAAGAGGATGACAATATGTATGTTGGAAGGACGTTTGAGTCCAGGGAAGATTTCAGGACTGCATTGTCAATATATGCTATAAACCGTGTATTCCGCTTCAAATTCACTAGGTATGAGAAAAAGTACTTGGTAGCTGAATGCTATGATAAAAAATGCTGTGACTGGCGAGTTGTAGCACACCAAGTTGGACAGAGTGAAGAATACGAGGTGACGAAGGCCAAGTTGGAACATATGTGTAATGTTGAGACTAGGAGTAGGTTTTCAAAACATGCAACTTCCAAGGTTGTAGCCGCACTCCTAAGGGCTAAGTATGCGAAGGCGTTTTGTGGTCCAAGAGCAAGAGACTTACCCGATTCTCTGCTGAGGGAGCACAATGTTAGGATGTCCTATTGGAAAGGTTGGAAAGCTAAAGAGCTGGCTGTTGAAACAGCTCAGGGCACAGATGAGAGTTCTTTCACCTTGTTGCCGGTATATCTCCATGTCTTACAACTTGCAAACCCTGGGACAGTTTATCATTTGGAAACAGAGTTGGATGAAACTGGGGATGAGCGATTCAAGTATGTGTTTCTAGTTTTAGGTGCATGTCTTAAAGGGTTGAAATATATACGGCGAGTCGTTGTAGTAGATGGCACCCACCTGTTTGGGAAATATCTTGGCTGTCTTCTTACAGTTAGTTGCCAGGATGCGAACTTTCAGATTTATCCAGTGGCCTTTGCTATAGTGGACAGCGAGACAGATGAATCATGGACTTGGTTCATGAGTAAGCTTTCAGAAATAATTAAAGATGGACCAGACTTGACCTTTGTCTCAGATCGGAATTCATCAATAATCAAATCTGTCGGACTTGTCTACCCTGAAGCACATCATGGAGCTTGCTTAGTGCACATAAGAAGGAATGTTAAAGGAAAGTATGGAAGGAAGAGTGGGCTTCCAGCCCTAGTATGGAAAGCAGGTAACAAGTTTCGTCTCAAAGAGTTTAATGTTGTTTGTGAAAGAATCAAGAGAAGGAATAAGGGGTGTTGGGAATATTTGGAAGCAATTGGGGTTTCGAATTGGAGTAGGGTTCATTTTTCAGGGGAGAGGTATAATTTGATGTCTAGTAACATTGCTGAGTCATTGAACAATGCTTTACTACCAGCTAGGGGTAGTCCTGTTGTAGCATTGCTTGAATTTATAAGGAAAATGCTCGGGAGGTGGTTTGAATCGCGTCGGAAGAAAATCGCTAGAACTGTCGGAGACATTCCAATTGCTGTTGAAAGGGAGCTGCTGAAACGTTTCAAAGGTGGTTTGGGGATGACAGTTTTGGCTGTTGGTAGGTGGGATTTTGAAGTAGTCGCAAAGGATGGGGAACAGTTCCTCGTCTCCTTGGAACAACAGACTTGCTCTTGCTTGGAGTTTCAAAAAATTAGAATTCCATGTGTTCATGCGATGGCTGCAGCTCATGATAGGGCTTTGGAATTCAGAACGTTGGTTGGAGAGATGCATAGGCTGGAAATGTGGTCACCAACGGTCCAAGAATCGATCCTCCCAGTACGCGATCCATCTGAGGTGGAAGTTCCTGAGGAAATAAGAGTTCTATGTTTAATGCCTCCGAAAACAAAAAGACCCCCGGGGAGACCGCCAAAGCTGCGGATACATTCAGTTGGGGAATATGAGGTTAGTAAATTTGAATTTATTCCACAGGTTCGTTGATAACTCAAGTGTAACAATTCATCTTAACCAATGTAGGGGAATAATAAGTCAAAACAGCCTAACAAGTGTGGAAGATGTGGAGGTGTAGGTCACAATCGGGTTACGTGTACCAACCCACTTGGTTGACGCTATGGAATGTAGAAAGATGTGTAATGCCTTTTTGGGAGTTTGTCTTATCAATAGAGGAGGATTTTGGCAGGGGTCGTTTTTTGGTATGTTAAAATGTATTGTTTTCGGAATGGGTAGACATTCATATGAAATATGTTGGGAACAAATTTCAGATAAATGTCTCCTTTTAGGTATGTAAATATTATTAAAACTTGTTCTGAACTGGGAAGAATTAGTGATGTCTTTGTATGGCCAAGTTTTATTATTTGAACTTAATATTTTGGCTAAGAAGTTGATCTTTTTAAATCACAAGCTATTGCTGTACGGATCGTTAAGCCCGTTGTACAGATGTAATAGTTCAGCTCCGTCTGTACAACAAACATACACACGTCTCTGTACAGTTCAACAATCAAGCTGTATTCAGTGTACGTTTACTGGAAAGATATTTCTGTACGTTTGCTGTACAGCCGTAGTTGTTGGAGTGCTGTACATATAATTTGTTGTACAGTCGTTACTAGAATTGGAACTGTACAGATTTTCAGATTTCAAACGTAATACGTCTACTGTGCATATATTGTTGTATGTTTTCTGTACAGACGTACCTGCAGGAATGCTGTACAGATATTGGTTTACGTTTGGTGAACGGTTTTAAATACGTTTGCTGGTCAGATTTCCCTCAAGCAGATGTTAAAGGACTCTAAAGCCACATGGTTTTTAGTTGTGACTAGCTAGTCATCATGTTTCTTACTATATATAATTAATTCGCCACTAATTCATATTTTGTCAATTATTTTCGTGAATGATATATTACAATTTACATTGACAGATCCGTACAGTTATGGGAGGTAAGTAATTTACTTAACTTGTTGAATTATAAAAAATTCAACAAGTTATAAATATGTTTGACAGGAGGATTTAATTCATCTCAACCGTAATTTCCTTAACTACTACACCTAACGCATTATATATACAACAAAGCTGCAATCAAAATAAAAATCCCAAAAGAAGAAAACTACTCTTAATTTTTTTTCTCACAAAAAGGAGAAAAATGGGAACCCAAATGCCAGATATCCCTGATGAGTTGTTTGCAAAAATCGTTAAGCTTGTGGCTGATGATCGCTGGTGGTTGCTTGGCCCTATATTGATGGCCGGTCGAAGGGGAAGAGATGTGGTGTACAGAGACGATGTTTTGAGGGATGCATGCATTTACTCCCTATGTTCTAACCCAAGCGACCTCTACACATTCCATAGTCAGATAACATGCCGTCTAGAGCAAGGCCGGCACCGCCCTTTTTTTGAGAGATGTCTCAAGGCTGGTAACAAGACCGCAATCTACTATGAAGGTCTAAGGGTGGTGTGTGAAGGTTGTGACATCAAGGCGGGTATTGAACTTCTAGCTCAGTTGGTCCCGGAGAATGGGTTGGCAACTCTAGCATGTGGTGTGTTCTCCATTTGTGATGGAAACGAGGGTATGGCTGTACACTATCTTGAGCTATTTGGGGAATTTCATGCTGCTTTGGGGACGGAGGCTGTCAGACGGTGGGGAGAGGAGTTGCTTAGTGATTTGCGTCCATATCGAAGAAGGAGCAACAATTCATACTGGAGGACGTATCTCTATCCTATTTGCAGGGCCATCCCATCGGCGAATTGTGCCATGGACTGTCGCCTTGCATGTGGAGGTTATGAAAACTTGTGCGACGAGTGTTATCTATGGTGGATGTCTAGGAAGGTATGTCAAATGCTATGAAATCATCCTCGACAATTTTTCAAGTTGTAAGATGTTTAAATTATGTTAGGTTTTGCCGATGTAATTTTCTTGTTTCTGTATTATTTGATTTGTATAATTATAGCGCTTTTCATTTTAGCTAATTACTATATGCTAGAAATATTGCCTCTCCGTTTTAGGGTATTGTGATGTATAATATTAAAGATATTGTTTCAAAAAAAATCCTGTTGTCTTTCCAACCACTGTTGTGGATATTATCTCAATGCTTTTGTGATAGATTCTTGTGTTGAAATGAACAAGTTGGGGAAGTAAAAAGTTATTTATTGGATGATATGATTGATACTTTTGACTTTTCAGCCACTTGAGTATTTCTACACTGATAAACGATTAGACTTGTACTTAGAAAATTATTAAAAGATGTTAGCCTTACACTCCCTGACAGTAATAATTACATTTGTAAGAAAACACAAAGATATATTTGATTTTGTCTGTTTGTTTTATAACTTTACCAAGGTCACATTCTTATGTCTCTCATTACTCTCTCATTGTATTAATTTCTTATGTCTGTCATTGTATAATTATGTATAATTAAATTATTATGTCGCATTGTATTAATTTCATAAGTCTCATTGGCAAATTAATTAAAATTCGGAGGGATTGTTTAATTAAATTATTAGGTTTCAACATATGACTAGCATATGACTATATCCCCTTTTTAATCAGATTTTTTATAAACATTAGATAACAAAAATATGGTTGGAAGATTATATTGTTGATTTGATGCCAAACAACTCTCCTTACGAGATTTACGAATCTTACTCGTTTTATTCTTTATGTCATCGAACCTTGGCTCTCCTTTTTTGCAATTTTACTTTCTTAAAAGCAACACCTTGGCCATGCAGACTTATTCATTATTGTTGTGTCAGAGGAAGAAAGACAAAAATCTATTTATTTATATCAATAGAAGTAGTCATTTATGAAAGACTAATGGGGGGTCATTGATACAACATTCTTATGTCTCTCATTGCATAATTATGTATAATTAAATTATTATGTCTCTCATTGTATAATTATGTATGATTTTAATTAAACTGACATAAGAAATTAATACAACATTCGTTACAAAATGTTACATAATTATACAATCACAGAATTTTAAATATTAGTTTTTAACATTAAAAGGTTTCTTGAATACATGAAACGCTAGAGAAGTTCACATATACGTAATGCTGCATTGTAGATGTAACATCCTTCGCAATAATAATCGTACCCATGCCAATAAGCACAATCAGGCATGCTTATCTTCTTAGAATAAGCAAACTCCCAAATTGGCCCAAAGGTATCTTCACCAGGAGGGTCAAATGATAATAGTGTGTCAATCAAAGCTTCACACTCATCTTCCAATTCGGGAGAGTAATTATCGAACCAAAGACGCGTACCCAAATTTTCAAAAATTGTGTCGAATGTTGCCCCAGCAATATCACCCCTCCCAGCACACATTTGAAACATTGCATACGTGAGAGTGGCATGCTCATAAGTAGGCACAAGTTGGTTTAGCAAAGCAAGGGACCCGTAGATATCACCCTCTCGGGTTATTAGACGCAAAGATTCATAATAAATTGCCTTAGGATTCTCAACGTCCAAACAACGGGTAAAGAAGGTCCTAGTAACCCCACCTGGATATATGTTGACGGGGTCCAGGGTTAGAGGAGTTATGTTTGCTGACTGTAGGATCTCCTTTGATAACGCATTGTCCCTTCCGCGTTTGTTTGTGAGCAGTAGCGGGCCTAGGTGTCTGGCGTCTTCATCTCCAAGCTTCTTCGTAATGATATGGAATATATCATCCGGTAAATCACTCAAACACATAATTTTGAGTTAAGTGAAGCAAGAGTTTGATGTGTGCTAAGCGTGAGAAATAGAGAAAAGGAAATGTCTTTAACCTATGTAGGAAATGTCTTGTCTTATTTATAGATAACTAAATAAGGGGTCCGCTTATCACTTTAACCTAACTCAAACCGAAACCCTCATAAATAAACTATACAAATATAAAGGAAATCCAACACTACCTATTTAGAAAACAATATTGTTTGCTGTACAGATAGCTTTCCGTACAGCAATGTTGCACTCAAAGCTTCTTCGTAATGATATGGAATATATCATCCGGTAAATCACTCAAACACATAATTTTGAGTTAAGTGAAGCAAGAGTTTGATGTGTGCTAAGCGTGAGAAATAGAGAAAAGGAAATGTCTTTAACCTATGTAGGAAATGTCTTGTCTTATTTATAGATAACTAAATAAGGGGTCCGCTTATCACTTTAACCTAACTCAAACCGAAACCCTCATAAATAAACTATACAAATATAAAGGAAATCCAACACTACCTATTTAGAAAACAATATTGTTTGCTGTACAGATAGCTTTCCGTACAGCAATGTTGCAGTTTAGATATCATTCCGTACATCAGTGCTGCTGTACAGAGAGTATTCTGTTTATTCTGTACACATGTTGCTGTACAGCGATAATTCCGTAAAGCGATGTTGCTGTACAGATAGTATTTTGTTTATTCTTTAAACAAACAACTACAACTCGTCTTCGCCTTTACCAAATGCGTATTATAAGATAAAAAGTTCAAGGCAATAACCCCCAGATCAAGTAAGTACAGCAGTGTTGCTGTACAGATAGTTTTCTGTTTATTCTTCAAATATGCTTCTGTACAACCATTCTGCTGTACAGATATCGTTCCGTACAGCCATCTTACTGTACAACTAGTACTCTGTTTTAAGTTGTCTGTACAGCAACATGGATGTACAGATGTATATCCGTACAGCCGTGTTGCTGTACAGATAGTATTCTGTTTACGGTGGTTGTACAGACTTTAATTTCTATAAACTTTTGCAAATCATAATTGATATATAACATTTTTGTGGATAACTAAATATGTTAATAAATCAGGAGATCGTTCCATACAGCTATCTTGCTGTACAACTAGTACTCTGTTTTAACTCGTCTTCGCCTTTACCAAATGCGTATTATAAGATAAACAGTTCAAGGCAATAACCCCCAGATCATTCCGTACATCAGTGTGCTGTACAGATATTATTCTGTTTAAGTTGTCTGTACAAACATGTTGCTGTACAGCTATAATTCCATACATCAATGTTGCTGTACAGATAGTATTCTGTTTATTCTTCAAATATGCTTCTGTACAACCATTCTGCTGTACAGATGTCGTTCCGTACAGCCATCTCTGTTTTAAGTTGTCTGTACAGCAACATGGCTGTACAGATATATATCCGTACAGCCATGTTGCTGTACAGATAGTATGATGTTTAAGGTGGTTGTACAGACTTTAATTTCTATAAACTTTTGCAAATCATAATTGATATATAACATTTTTGTGGGTAACTAAATATGTTAATAAAGCAGACGATTGTTGCAAAATTCCAGAACTAGTACCCACAACACACATAATATCCTACCATTTCAGATTACATCAATATTTCACAACTTATGTAAGTACTCTTTAAACAAACAACTAGAACTCGTTTTCCCCTTCAACAAAAGCAGCATAAGTGTCCATAGCATAAACCTTCCTAATACGAGTGACCACCTCATCAGTAAGAGCTGCCATGTCGCTGTACTCCATGCCATGAGCATGCATCTCAAGAAACTTGCATGTTACAGGCCCACAGTCTCCATCACCTTTGTTGTCGTACAATCCGTATATGCGTGAACAAGTGAACGGCTCAGTTGTGAGGTCCGTAGTCAGAGTCGGGCAGCAAAATCTCTTCAGAAGCCAGGTAATTGTATCCATGATTGGGGTCATTACGAATGACAGTGCTTCATCTGGAGTTGGAGCGATGAAGGGGTCTAGAATATCAATGGTCCGCAGCTTCAAGTTGATTACCAATCCAACCCAGTGAGAACATCCCCAGTTCATTGGGACGTAGACCACATCGACATGTTTTAGGAATTCAGACTTCATGTGTTTCCCAGTAGACTTCCCTGTTACATACGCCTTGATTGATGAACCCCACTCGTAGTTTTCCTTGTCCTCACATTTCATAAAATCCTCATGGTGGGTGGTCAGAAGGGCTGTAAACCAGGTATCAATTATCGCAACCCTCCTTAAATTGTATGCTTTCCCCCGGCGTCTCACCAGCATTCCTGTGATGAGCTGCATATGCTGTGTCATATAATAGTCCAAGTCATGTACAGGCAAAGTATTATTCAAGTTGAGGGAGTCATGCAATACTATGTGATTTTTTTAATTTTACCTCGGTTGTGATCCATCTCTCCTTCGTTGCAATGTCTAAGAAGTGGCCATTGCTGAGTTTGTGACCAGTGCAAATGGTGAAGACTCTGTATTAATGAAAGTCAAGTAATTAACAATTTATTGATAACCAATTGATGAGAGATAGAAGGTACCTACCCGTCAACATCATCTCCAAGCAACTCTTTAAATTTCTCGAACACTCCATCCTCCAATTTGGGTAGGGGTGTGTATGCAGGTTCCTTTGTTCGGCTCTTAAACAAAGCACTAATTCTGGGATCTACGCTATACTCAGCTCTGTCGAGGAAGCGAGAACGCCTAGGAACACGCTTTCCCAAAAGCGGCTGACGAGGGTTGGTTGACTCTATAACAAAATAAGCTGGTGATGCTGCAACAATGGAAGAGAGATTGCGGTATTTACAGTCAGCTTGGGCAGAAGCTTTAGGCGTGTCAGGGATAACCTGGGATAAAGCATGAATTACAAAATGTAAAACCATGTGTATATAGATAATTCTGTAATGGGAAAGTTGATGACCAAGTGATAATTCAGGTTTGCTAATTCATTACCTGAGCGAATGGTGTTACCGGTGTAGAAGGAGTTTGCTTAGGCGAACCTTCAAAAACTTCCTGGCCACTGGTTTCCTTCTGAGTGTCATTTGCAGCGCAATCTGTTTTAGGTGACGCTTCATGCGTCTCAGGGATTCCATGCTTTACAAATGTGTTTCCAAATGCAAAACCATGCGTCTCAGTTAGGCATATAAAACTCTGGAATTGGAAATTGAATGTTGATAGGTTCAATTCTTGTTTGCATAAAACTTTACCTCAGCAATTGGTGTTACCGGTGTAGAAGGTGTTTGCTGAGCCTCTCTTCCAGATATTTCCTCCTCAACGGGTTCTTTCTCAGGCTCTCCTGCAGTGGGGTCTGGAATAGTAGAGTCCGGGATATCTGATCTTATTTCCTGTAATTTGCAAAATCAAACATATGAGGGTCAGCACTGATCAACATTTGAGGAATCTGTTTGTATTAAACTAATACCTTAGCAATAGTTTTTGCAGCCCCATAAAGATCCCATGTTCTTTCAGAGGACTCAAAATTCATAGTTGGTCCACCTTCTTTTCCAATGGGAATTTCTCTAGATAAACCTTGCTTAGAACCAGAGGATGAGCTTCCAGAAGATAAAGAAGTAACCTCTTCTCTTTTTCTTTTCCTGGATGCAGGCTCCTCCTTCTTCTTCGTCCTCTTACCTTTTGATGTCTCTGTATGAGGCTGCCTTGGTTTAGGCAGCTCACTCTGATTCCCTAAATTCTTCAAAAGATCTTCACCTATGTTGGAACGGAGCTCTTCAAGCTGTTGAGAGATCCAAGACTTCAAGTCAGACAATTCAGCATGCGTAACAAACTGAGTAGAGGAGCTTCCTGCACCAGGCTTCGCTGCATCACCATGAGTCTCTACTTTTTTGCCTGTCTTCTTAGGGCCAGACTGTACTACAGGTATTGCTGCAGCCGAGGTTTGGGGTTGATCCTTACTTTTATGTGAAGTAGCTTTCTTGCGAGGAGGCTGGGGATCAACAAGATCTTCTTCAAGCCTGGCTGACCGTGTGAATGGCTTCCGACGGGGAGGGTATTTCTCTTGTTTCGCCTTCTTCGCAGCTGTCCTTGGTTCACATGTCTCATCGTCCTCTGGCCCATCAGATTCCAGGCCAACAAACTGTTTACCTTCAGTATTAACAGGATCTCCACCAATCTCTTCACCTTTTTCTGATGGAGCTTCCCTTGGTTCAGCTTCTTTTTCCCCAGGTGCCACAGTGGGAGAGCTGGTAAAGCCGTGTACAGGCCATGTCTCAGGCTTGAATTGGTGCTTTTGCTTGATCAGAGAGATAATCAACTGCACCCCTGGGTCTTCATCTTCATTTGGCCAAGAGATATCATCCTTCACAGGTGTTGACTGGTATAGTGTGTATTCAACTGACAACTGCAAAATTCAAATATTGACATAACTGAATTGATTAGGCTTCAAATGGCTTTATCATCCCACATAAATCTCAAAGGTAAACAGATTTTATTATGAGTTATTATAGTATACTGTATTTCTTACATTAGCAGTGTTTTCAGCGTCAACAACATCTGACTCACGGAGAAGAATGGTGCGGCCAAGATCCTGTGCAGGCCTTTGGATAAAATTTCTGAAATCAGCAGGGTCTTTAATCCTACTGCAAAGGGCAGGAATTGAGTTTAGAACTTGTAGTTGGAGAGCTAGAGGAAATCCGTAACAGCAGCTGCTTTTTTGTGATAGGCGGGTCTTCAGCTCTGCAACAGGATCTTTCTCATTTGCAAGAGGGCCAAACCTTTCCATTGTTGCTTCAAAAGCAACTCTACCCCAGGGGTAACTCATGAAGAATTCTATATCATGAAGCATCTCAACAAAAGTGCTAGTCACCCGATGTGGTTTTTTGCTGCTGCAAACAAGAACACCATCAATAATCACTATTAATGCGAGACTCAACTTCTTCCAAGTTGAGAACCGCTTATGACGATCTGCATTAAGATCTGCATTAAGACATGCATTACAATCTCCCCTTAGCATGTCAATAACTTCTGGAACTGTAACTACCCTCTTCTCCCCAAAGAGCCGATTCCAAACAGACAGAAATGCATGGTCTTGGTGATCTTCTACCTCAGACACCGATGGAATCTTATCACAAATCAGGCCAGTGGTGATTTGGAATTCCCGGAGAGAGAAGCGGAGTGGAAACCCACCATATACAGTCCACAACTCATGCTTTGATTGAGTCAAAAGTTGTCTAGAAAGCATACCATGAATCAACTTGGCAGAATGAGAACACCTTGCAACAGGAAGTTCAAACAATCGTTTGAACTGGGAAGCAAGTAGCAAGTCCCAACTCTCTGAACCCTCCAGTAGTTCCACCAGAATCCCTAGATATTCCGGCTTCGAGTATATGTTAAGGCGAGTCCAATCTGGTAAGTCGTCAGGATGCAACAGACGGCAAGGTAGGCTAGGGTTTGGAACCTCATCCTCTCCGGCTGTTGTTTTTGCCGGAGAATGTGCAAATCCTCTTGCATCTCCTATTATTCATTTCAGAAACCCAGAATTTTCAAACAATTTGGGCCGACATCAACAAAATCAACAAAATCAGAAATGATTAAGATTTCGGTTACCTTCTTTAGTGTCGTTTCTGTTGCCTCGTTTATGCTCCTTTTTGATTCCTCGCCGCGTGGGTTCTTGATTCATATTGTTTGTCGGCGATTTGGCCGGAGATTTCGCCGGAGATAGACGGGACCCAGATACAGTACCTGCCAAAGTAACAGAATCTTCATAGGAAAGTCTCAATTTTACTCAGATTAGACGGGAACTAGTACATTTTCGTCTCTTGATTACGACTTTGAAGGATTACCTTTTTTAGAATCAGAAATCTTGCTTCGCCGACTGGTTTTTTGTTCTATACTCACTGCAGGGCTTTGAATCTTCGATTTAACTGTTTTCTTCTTCGTCATTGAAGATTATATTTTCAGAGAGAGTTGAATCCGAAAAGAATTGCGATTTTTTGGGAGAGAGTCTGATAATATGAAAAGTCCCGAATAAAACTACATTTACACTTTTCAGTGGCATGGAACTGTAAATATCAGTGGTCTTCGGTGGCAAAATGGGTCTCCCAATAAACACAACAGTGACACCATGTATGCCAAAACGATTTATAAATAGTGCCTGTACTACAAACCCAAATATGTTTCATAAACGTACTATATCTCTAACAAACCCATAAAAATTCGGGTCTAGAAATTCTTATTTTTATTTGAAAACTATGTTAAGCAGATAAAGTTACTTTAGCCCTGTTTTACATTTCAATGCCAATTTGAAGTTTCCTAGTGTAAAAGAAAACACCACGTCATCACAGAAATCTAACACATGCAATGAGATCCAGCCACGTACACGGATAAGGTGACCTGTTAAGTTTTGTACATACGTCCATTGACGAAAAGTTTTACAGGTGGTCGGTTATAATGTTTTCGAAATTTAGAAATGTCCAGAAGAATCCCATAATAAATTAACTAACCTAATTACATTGCCTCACGGAAACGTCTGATAAGTAAAATTAAGTTACTCTAAAGCTGCGTTGAACTTGCTTTTTTCTCAAAACTCATTAGGTCTCTCTTCCCCAAGTCCCCCCGCTACTCTCTCTCACTTTTTCACTTTTTCACCTCTCTGTTTTCGCATCAAGAAAGTGGTGATATTTACAAATCAATCAAACAGAGACTCAATTTATTTGACTATATAAGTTTGACAAACCCTAACGGATCTTTTCTCTTTTCTTTCTTACACCATTTCGTGCTTCTCCCAATCCAATCACTGCCCTCTCTCTCTTTCTCTCTTTGGGGAATTCTTACTTCCATGACCTCTCTGTCTCTCTCTCTAATCTTAAATGTTCGTTGTTTTTTATGTAGGAGTTTCCTTTTTAGAATACTGAATCTTACTTTCTTCCCATTAAAGTCTTAACCTTTTTGCTATATTTAGTAAACAAGATTTTTTCATAGGGTTTAGGGTTTAACAGTATAGACTTCGTACGCAAACTTTCTGACTAAAACTTTTTCCTTTTCTTTTATTTTTTTAAAAACATAATTGAACAGTCATCGAGATTTATCTACACTGAAGATTTCAGTCTAGATTTTTCCCAGATAAAACATAGCTGAGATTTATTTTCACGGATTTTAATCAAACGTCCACAGATAAATATGTCGTCTTGCGTAAGCGGCGGAGCCGCCTATAGCTTTGAGTTAGAAATGATGAAATCGCCGCCGTCACACAACACTCCTTCACCGTCATCTACAATCTCCGAGTCAAACTCTCCTCCGTTCTCAATCTCCACGAGAAGGCCACGAACTCCACGGAAACGTCCGAACCAAACATACGACGAAGCTGCGGCTCTTCTTTCCACCGCTTACCCAAAAATCTTCTCTTCCAAGAAAACAAAAACTCAGATTTTCGGCAATAACAAATCTCCTTTAAGTGCTTACGACGAAGCTTCTCAGTTGCTTATTCCGTACGCATCCATCGAGGAGAACGATTTTCTGTTCAATCCCACCATTCCAACGAAAGCAGAACACTTCTCAGAGCATAAGGAAGTCTGTTTTGATGACTCGGAGGTGATTAGGATTGGGATTTTCGAAGATTTCGACGCGGAATCGATTTTAGATGAAGAGACTGAAGAAGGGATCGACAGTTTTATGGGGAATATTGAATCTAACCACGGAGATTCTGGCAGAATCGGTCGATTAGAGGAAATTATGAAGAATGCTTGGAACGGAAGGTTTCGTTTAGGGCTAGGTTTGAGGAGTTCTCTCCGAGAAAACGACGACGGGAACTGGTGGAAATTTCCCACCGTGGAATTTGATCAGATCTCGCCGAAAATTCAGACCACCGCCGCTGCAACTGATGATGGTCAATCCAATGTCCTCGATAGTAATAATAATAAAACCATCGTGACTGCGGAGGGAGGCAAGAGAAAGAAAAAGAAGAAGAAGAAAACGAAAGTGGCTCCGCCGACGGCGGAATTAGAAGTTCCGGACTCGAGTCCAAAGATGGAGCAGAGAGTGAGTCCGTTGTTGAAGCTCGACTACGATGGAGTTTTAGAGGCTTGGTCAGGTAAGGAGTCACCGTTCTCCGACGAGATTCTGGGTTCCGACGCCGCCGGAGTCGATTTTCATGTACGTTACTTCGATTCTCTAATTTCTCTTTCCCGCCGCTGAAATCAACATTTCAGCCCTTTTTTTGTTTGATTAAAATAATTTAAGTTAGTCTTATCTTAAATCTTGTAACGAATTATTTCAGAATGTCCTAAATCCTCTTAAACTATACCACACGCCACTCAAATTTTGCATCTGAAAAGAGTGTTGTCTTTAAAACTTTTAAAAATGTATTGATAACCAATTGTTAGCAACAAACAATTCTTGTCTGAATTTTGGATCTGACAAGAATTGAAAGTGGTTTTTAACTAGTTTTTGCCATTTTTGTCTTAAAATTTTTTTTGTTAGAAGTAGATTATCAATTTAGTGAGTGAATTTGATGTAAGATGAATGATGTTTGGGGACAGGCAAGGTTGGGTGAGATAGATTTGTTCGGAGAAAGTGGAATGAGAGAAGCAAGTGTGTTAAGGTATAAAGAGAAGCGAAGGAACCGACTCTTCTCCAAAAGAATCCGATATCAAGTTCGCAAACTCAACGCTGATCAACGCCCGCGTATGAAGGTATATATCTATATTATTGTCTTGAAATGTAAACATTGAAACTTACTTTCAATTAGGGTAGAATGAAAGTATTGTTGATACATTTGATTTGAGCTACGATTTAGGTGAAATATCGTCATTATAATATTGTGGTTTTCTCATGGACAGGGACGATTTGTGAGAAGGCCCAACGCAAGGAATTTAAGTGGGCTACGATTATAAGAATAAGAGCCGAAATAACTTAAGCTCTTTGATTCTCTTTTGGTTTTGTTTATTCACGTTTAGTTGTTTTGTTTTTGCAGACTTTTGCAATTTCGGTCTCCATTTTTGTTCCTTTTTACTAGCCCCCTCTTGTTTTTTTTTTGTCCTAAGGGAATGGGGAAGACATTAGTTGATTCGATACAGTTAAGAATCATAACGAATACAACTATATTTTGTCTTATGGAAAAAAAACTACGTGATGAGACTAAGAATTTATACATGCACACTATTTACGCCAAGGATGTGATGATTTAGTGGAAAAATGTTTTATAATGCAGATGTTTTTTGAATTGGATTCAGACGTCGCTATGCTTTTGAATCGAAATCGTACATTCATTCTCTTAATTATATAATTGGTTTGCGTCTTCTTTAGAATTTTTATTTTTTCACTTCTGTTGGCTCGCATTTCTCATAATGTAGACCATGCATTAATAGTTTAATACTCACTTTGTTTTTAGCATTCACTGAGTTTTAGGCTTTTGCCTATACATATTTTGGAGTCAAAGATCAAAACATTTTTTTGAGCATAAGAAATTACACGGTTTCAATTTCACTGATACTCTCTCAATTGAAGGCCGAGCAAACCCGTCGAATTTCCCCCTTGAAACCAGTCTTCACACCAATCTTCCCCATCTTTACTATTGCCTTTACGAAATCGGACTCAAACGTTGGCCCAAAGAATGGATTTAGCATCCCAAGATAGGAATCCACGACCTGTCGAGTTATAACATCCTCGTAAAGACCTGCGTCGGTCTGAAGCACAGCGAAACCATCCTTTATGTTGTGCAGAATCTGCTTGTCGAATAGCCGTTCACTGAACCGGTCAATTGGTAACCGGACGTTTATGTCACCATTTTGTGGGCACTGAGTGGTTAATTCGGGTAGGAATGTCGGATTGATAGTCGGGTCAGGTTGACCACCGGGTAAGAAATCGTAGAGACGTTTGGACATGAAGAAGCAGGCCGTTGTTCCGATAGTGTGAGCAGCTGATACAGAAAGTAGACCACTCAAGTTAAGATCTTTTGATTTCTTAAAGCTAGAAACAAATAATTTTTTTATTTTGTTTTTGACAAAGTTTTCTCATATTGAAACATGTGAACTTGAAATTTAATTATGTAAAATGACAAAAACTGAGCCTGACCAGGTTTAAAACGCATGATCACTACTGTATTAGACTCGTGCATGTTGATGGTTTCTTACTTTCTTCTTTGTTTGGTCACACGTGCAAGTTGATAATTTTCTTACTTTCTTCTTTGTTTGGTCACACGTGCAAGTTGATAATTTCACCCTGAAATCTAGTCTAAAGAATGGGCCGGTAGATATTTATGATGTTTTGTGAGATTTACTGCCGAACGTATAACAGGCCTATTTTCGGGGTGAATTAACATTTCTGGACCATGCCAGATTAAGTGGTTAAGATGACAGAACATCAAAACACTTGTTGCTACTATAACACACTCAATTTAGTATTAGTCTATTAGAACTAAAATACCAAATTCTTGAATAAGTGCATATAGTAAGTTGACCAAAAAAGCCTAAATTTTTTTTTTACAAACGACTTTTCATTTCTCTTAAAATTTAGCTAACTAGTAAATCTGACTATTTTTTTTTTTTTTGGTTAGAAGAAAATTTTCACAAATTTAACATTCAATTTTTCACGAAAACCTTTTTCTGCGCAAAAAACACTGCTGGCTTAGCTGGAAAAATTTCCTATAATGTTTTCTATTGGTCTACCGGAGTTTCGTAACGCACGTGACACTTAACACACGAAGAAGAGAGGTAACGGACGAAACATGCGAAACACATCACGGATCCGGGAAATGAAAATCATATAACTTGAACTTCGAACCAAAAACTTTGAGAGATTCGAAACCACCAAACAAACATGAATGAGAGAGAAAAAAAACAGAAGAAGAGATGCATACCACTGAGAAGCACGAGGTCTTTGGCGTTGAGTCCCTTCTGCATAAACTTATCCTTTAGTATCTGAATCGAGTCACTCACCTCCGGCATGTCCTTAGCCAATGACATGTCCGACACCCGACCATCTCTCCGCCCAGTTGGCACCTCATATGCCGGTCCATTTGCCTGTATCATGAATTGATCACAACGGAGAAGAAGATAGATAAAGATCGAAAGGTTTTTTTCTCTCTAATTTACTCTTTACCAAAGATATGGCATCACGTGCAGCCAAGGCAACAATGTCTGAGCAGGAGACAACACCGGGGCATGCAGCTTCAAGCTCGGCTTTGGCAGCTTCTACAATCTCAAATCCTCTAACGCCTTCATGCCCAAATGCATTCTTTTCAGAGATTGCTCCGTTGTTCACGAGGATCGAGCCATCACATCCCTGAACGTGTGGTTAAATCTCTAAGAATAGCAAGCAATAGTAGAAAGCACAAAGAGGAGGAAGTGCATTGTACCTCAACAAAGCAATCATGGAAATGGAGCCGTAGAAGTATGGCTGGGAGGTTAGGGTCGGAAAGAGCAGCTCCCAAGACAACTCTCCTAACGATTGACTCGGCTTGAGGACATGTATTGGAGTAAAATCCAACTTCAAGATCAGCAAGAGAGATGCCGAGGAAAACCGTAATAAGAGACAAAGCTAGTCTCATCCTAGCCTTTGCCCACACCATTTGTGCTTTTAGTAAGTTCAACTCAACAGAGAACGAGAGAGCGAAAGAGGGTGAGGGAAAGAGGTGAAAAAGATAAGAGAGAGAGTTATACAGACAAAGTCTCTTCATTAAGACAGGAATAGAGACAGACATGTGTTTAACCTTATTTGCATGTAAAATTGTCACCTAGCAAAAACACTCAACAAAAAAAGCGAAATACCGTAAACATTAACAAGTATCACTGCCCGGGACATATTACTGGTGTTTATATATACAGAGCAAAGTCATAGTGTATCAAACAGAGAGGAATTGAGTTCTTTCTTGATAAAAAGAGAAAACTAAATCAAATCAAACCAAACCAAACCAAAGAAAATCATCTGTCGTTTCGTACTAACTCACATAGTTTGAAGCAGTTCAGGGTTCAATAACACAGTTTTCTATCTTTGGAAAGGAGACACCTAGTTGCATTCCAACAGTAACTAATGTCTCCAAGGACCTAGCACTGTTAGCTAAGAGATCCTCATCAATCTTAATCGAGTCCTGCAACATGTCACGTGAAAGGTAAGGTTGATGCAAACGCAATAACTCATCCAGGGACAGTATTACAAAAATGTAAGATATTTTGTCACCAGATTTTCAAATCAAGACAATTGATTTCTAGGGTACTGTAAGAAAAACAAAGTTAAAAGCTAACCTTTTCAAAGACGCTTATAACTGTGCTTCCACCAAATGAAAAGTAACCAAGCTGGAAAAAGTGGAATGTTAAATTAGAGGCCGCTTGCATAAGAAACGATTACATATCTTTCAATTAGAAAAAAAGGTTCAGCAGAATTAATTACCTCGTCCCCTTTCTTCACATGGTCTCCCTCTTGCCTAACAAAGGTGATACTACCAACCATTGTCGCTCCAATCGCAACAAATGCGACCTGTTACATATAATAAGCTGAGATCAAGTTCTGTGACAATATCAGATTTTATCATACAGCTTCGTTTGTAAATTACAGTTTCAATTTGAGTTCATAGTATCAAGCACAAGAGACAACTGAGAAATACTTTGCATCAGCAGACCGAGAAAAAAAAGATTTCAATGACTTATACGAGATGACAAACCTTTCCAAACTCTGCTGTTGATATAATTACGACTGTCCGTTTATTCTCAGTGAACACATTACAGTACTTGCTATTGACAGCAATCGGATTAACCTGAGAAGCAACGTAGATCAGCAAGGATACAAAAGAATCTTTGATAAGAAAATACGGAAGAGAAGAATGCTCTTCAACGTAAAAAGGTAGATGGATCAGTACATACTGTATATAAGCTTCCAGAAACATTGACAAACTTTTCAATGACACCAGAGACAGGAGAATGAAAACGATGATAGTCCTGTAATAGATCAATAAATGCATAATGAGAGGGAATAAAAACGAGTGTTCTGTTTTAGCTTTTGATCAAACGACAAGAAGCATGGAGTCCTGTTGTACCTGTGGAGCCAATCGGAATATCACCAAAGATCCATCAAGAAAAGCATCTGACTGCACATCATTCCCAAGGAGGCCTTTGATTGAAAACTTACGGCCCTGACAATATTGAAATGAGTTGAAAAATTTAGAATATCGACTAACATTTGTACGGTGTTGCGGGTTATCAGCTGCATCACTTGTGTTAAGAGCTATTCAACGTTTCATATGCCTAGCTTGCAGAATTACTATATCGTAGATACTCTAGAGGTTGCTTTACCTTGATCCAGAACCGCGTGCTATCATCCACCGATTGAAACGACATTAATCGACAATCAGCAGCAGATACAGCAACATCATCCTGATCCATGCACGCAATTGGTCTTGCACCAGGCTTTAACTCCCGTACGAAGAATTCATTGAACGTCTGCAAGTAAAATGACCATCTTTCAAATCCATGAAAAGTACACAAGCTTTATAGTTACTAAATTATCAAGGTTTTCTCCCATCTTCGATAAACCCGCAAAGGACTTAGCTTAGATTTACCTCATTGTCACTTAAATATTTATTTTATACCTAGCCACAGACTATTATGTTTTAATTTGTAGAAAACCATACCGTGAATTCTCTTCAGTTAGACTTAGATCTGAAGTCCAACAACTAGTAACACTTTTATTGTAATATCGTGGTTGGAATCATACCATGAGTTGCCTTTGCATACCTTAAAATGGTCCAGAGGATACTTGACTTCGGCCATGTTTATTTGATCCTGCAACGAGCAAATAATTCAATTTTTGGCGTTCATGTAAACTTACAAAAGGAGGGAGATCCTTTATAAAACCTAGGAGATCTACCCATTGATCTCTATAAAGCATACGAGAGGACTGTTTCCTGATCCCTATCGGGAGATTTCACACAGTATTTCAATTCCCAATAGCAATATAGATTTTCTGTTAATATTCATCGAAGTTTTTCTAAGATATTCTGTGCTGTATAGCAATATATCAATATCCCAAGCCACAAGCCAAGTTGTGTCAGGCTTAAACTCAGCAGCCATTTGACACATAATAACTTAACAAAAAGAGAATCTACACCTTGAAAAACTCGAGAAAGCTGGGTATATTTTGGGCAGATTCAACTGTGTTCATCTTCTTCCCCTGTTTCTCAGAAAGGTTCTGCAAAATCTCTTTTGCTCCTGCATCAAGGATATCAATCCAGAATGAAGACTTGTTGCTTTGATACAATGGCAAGAATGTGTAGCTCTTTATCACAAAGGCACTATGGCCAGGTGCATATTAGAGGTGAAGGACCCAGTTCGTTACCTTGGTCCATAAGCCGGAGTCCGATTTTTGACTGGTAAATAGCTCTCATCGACATAACAATCTTTGAATCAATCAACTCTTCCATGAGCCTCTTAGTCTTCCGATCAATCACCTAAAGCATATTGAAGTAAGTACAGTTTTAGTGCATTTTCTCACCATTAGGAGATACTCAAACGAACCACAAAAAATGATAGGAGGAATGCAACAAATATCAGGCATCTCTCAAGCATTATGAATGTAGAAAATCAAACAACTTGATAATTGGCCGCCAAACGAGATGTTTATCATGACATAAACAAAAGTAGTCAGAAAGGAAATATACCACAATATGTGAAGCACTTGAACCAGTATTCAAACCAACATCATAAGTTGATAGATGAGTCCATTCACTTAGTTTGAACATCCATCTGACAAAATGTTAAAAAGTTGAATGCCGATCAAGCAAAGAAAACATATAAGTTATTTAGGATGTCAAATTAAAAGCTAGTAAAAACGAGAAATCTAACCCATATGAAGCCTGCCTATCAGTCAAGAACCCTCCGGTCATCGTTTGATTACCAGTTCCTTCGTCAAAACAGAGAGTCATATGGATCATTGCATTGAGCTTGTCAAGTTGAAGAGCCTCACCGCAAACCGGACAACTATTTATAATTGGCTCCCTGCAATCAATGCATGTAAATTACTGGGATTCAAGGATGTATAAATCAATATATATAAACAGAAGTTCACATAGGCAATGTATATAATGTTATTACTGTTCCTGTTGAACGGCAAGAAGTGCAGCCAACTCATCAATTGTAACAACACCATCCCCATTCAGGTCAGCGGCTTTGAACAACTCCTCTTTCTGGTAATCAAGTCAGTGAAAACATATAGAGTGCCTTCAGAAACAAATGCAGCAATCTAGCAATATCTAAAAAAACTTTTGCCCAGGAGACAACTTTTGGTACTTGAAATTTCTCAGAGTAATTGCTACTTCACAATCGGAAACAAATACATATACAGAAGCACGCAAAACAGATAGAGGTGACAAAGCTGCTGAAGGTCAAACCTTGTTAGCAGCCACTATATTCCCAAAAGCATTCATCAGATCAGAGAACTCTGAGAATGAGAGTTTTCCATCTTCGTCATAGTCCTGCACTTAGATGAAGGACTCCAACAATCAATTATAAAAGGCTACAGAATGCCACAATGTTCCATAGAAAAACTGCATAAGAAGCCAATGAAAAGAAAAAGGTAGCTGGGGAATCCGATTAAAAAAATCTTTTCATCAATCATTGGAAATTCAAGAAAACTAAAATAATTCCGCAATGGGGATATCATCACAAAACTTCACAAGACCAGAATAGGCAGAGTGGAAGATTAAGTAAAGCATACCACTATGGACAAAATACGCTTTGCAAAACATGTCTCGGTTTCAACAGGATCCTGCGAATGTTAGTAACCAAAAATCAGAAACCATTCCCACAGCATTTTTTAAACAACCGTTTTAAAATATAACATACTGCATACCTCAACGGAGCATGAGACAAACATGCTGCCAACAACATTAGACGAGGCCGGGTCTAACAGGTCAAATGATTTGCAAGCAGAGTCAGGTTCCTATATCACATTACATACAATAGAAGCAAAATAAACAAGTAAACAAACAAATCTTTTCATCGATTTATCAGCTAAACTGTGGCAGAATCCCCTCAAACAATGGAAGACAAGTGATAGAAAGAAACTTGCTGATACTTACATTAGTTGAGCTAGAAGAAGCCGATACTAAAATACATAACTTAAAACAGCTTTGATATGAAAAACACTACTGACCTGCACTACGAATTCAAGTAGATCAAGCTCACAATAACCAACGATATTGTTCTTCAAAAGTCTATTGGTCTGCATCAAGAAAAGGAAAATCATCTCAACCGATCAATAAATAAACGCCAAATCTAGAAAGCAGAACGTGTAAAAACTCTGATTACTTCATACCTCAAATACAGAGATTCTAGCCAGACTTGGTCCATTTTTCTCCAGGAGAAGCTTCTTTTCCTATATACAGAAAAACACAAAACCGATACAATACCCAACTATTCAGAAGACGCTATAAAAAAAAACTGTAATCGGGAGTTTTCCTACCGAATTCCAAATCGGCTTCTCTGTGCTGCAAATTCATCAGAAACAATACAGTGTTAAGTATAAGATTCAAAAAAACTAACGGAGAAAATCGAATGCGAATAAATGTTGGTAACCTACGAATCTGAAATCTGCGAACGGAATGTTTGTTCCCCGAAGGAAACACAGGCGAGCCACTTGTCCTTGAACTTCATCTCCGCCTAAGAGAAGATGCCAAGAGACACATGACTATCGTAATCGAAATACGAAGTTGACTAGGACAAAATAGAAAGGAGAGAAGTAACAAAGCCGTACGCCGATGAGAGTGAGAAGAGCAATGCCGGCGAAATCATCTGCGCTCACAGATCTCTGACTAACCAATCCGGAGACGCTTCCGGATCCTGGACGACTAAGACGGCGGCGGCTGCGAAAGTTCTGAATCTTCTGTCGCATCTTTGATCGGCGCGACTCTTTCGCCTCCGTGGAGTTTCCGTTTCCCATGGCTCTCTAACTCTCTAGACCTCACGCGCTTGGTAATCCTGTGGATCGGAGATTCGGAGATGGAGGAAGAAGAAGTCAGTGAGCGGCAGTGACCGGAGTCTTTCTATTTGCAAAATACCTGTGTCACCGAGGTGGAGAGGGAATTTATCACACCGAGTACTTTTCCTATTTTTTTTGCTTTTTAATTTTTATTCGCCTGTCTCGTTGAATTATTAGTTTTTGCTTTTCATTTTAAAGTCAAGACACTATTTATAGTGTTTTTTTTCTTTATTTAGGCTATTTATAAGGTCTAAATGGTAACCGAAGAATCTGGCTGAATCCGGCTGGATTGTTGAATCTGGCTGAATTTTTAGTGATTTTTAGCTGAATCTGGCTGAATTTTTACATTTTCAAATGGTAACCGCTGAATCTAGCTGAATTTTTTTGTGCTTTTCAGCAGAATCTGTCGAAATAATTAAGACTTTAACTGAAATATCGTCAAATAATTACGAATATTAATAGAATAACTAAGGAAAAATATCTAAATAAAATAGATAAAATTATCTAATAGTCTAATTAACTCTTATACCAATAAATAAATACTAGAATTAATATCTTTTTAGCAAAATTGAGTTGTTCTTCCAGATCTAATTTTTGTACTATTAAAAAGATATAATTAATTAATAGAAAGCTTTGTCAAAGTTTTATTGAAAAATTAATTTAAAAATAAACATGATAATATAGTATAGATTATCTTATTGATTTTTCATTGTTCTCCAGCAGTTTAAATCCTTAATATGATTAGGATTTAGGATGATTAACAATTTTTTTTAATTTGATATTTTAAATATTATTTTAGCATAAGTATGAGTTATTTTTGCAAAAATTTGGAAAATTATATTTAATTATCTAAAATTTATTAAAATTATCTATAGATATCTAAACATAAATATGTCTCTTGTCTATTCTGGTAATGATTTTATGTGTATGAATTATTCATATATCGTACTTGTATGATCTAACTTATTTTAAAATATAAATTTGATGTGTAATTTTTAATAGCCATAAATATTTTAATTCGAGTTGTGAATCGCTATAATCCAAATTTTTATCTGAAATGAACATACTATGTATCTGTTGATGTTGGAAAAACTGTTGAATCTGGCTGAATTCAGCTGAATTTAGTTTTATGCAAATGGTAACTGCGGAATTGCTGAATTTAGGTGAATCTGGCTGAATATTTTTTTCTTGTTACCATTTACACTCATAGTTTTTTCAAAAAGAGGTTTTCATTCCAAATAATATATATATATATATTTTGTCAAATAATATATATATATATATATCCAAAATGTTTTTACTTTATTTAATTAAAGCCAGGGCTTACTATTTATTTATAAGTAACAGATGTGGGAACAAAGGTTTTTTTATGCCGAAAAAAAAATACAAACATTTACCATATTAAAGATGATGCTTGACATTTTTTCTTCTAAAAAGTAATTAAAAAAATTTCAGCTTGGTGAAATAATTAATATTAATTTGACTTTGCCTTTATTTGTGGTGATGGCTGCTTTTTTGTAGTGGACTAAAGGGTTTTGTTATTTTGTAGGACATGATGATGAGCTCTGGATACTCCTAAATTCAAGTTGTCCTTTTGTTGATCATTTCCTAAGTTTCCTTGGAGAATGTCGCAGTGAAACGTGTTGACGATAAGGACAGTGGTCAATAACTTAATCCAAACTTGGGCTATAAAAAATTGTTTAAGAGGATTGATTGATACGGATATGTAATAATGTAACTATAGATTTTAGCGTTATAAAATATGGTTGAAGGTTTTTGCTTTGGGTGAAAATGGTTGTATTGAGATGAATAATTGGAAAAGATTAAGTTCTAACAAAAATATGCACTTTCATAAGACTTTAAGAAAAAGTGAGATAATTAATTTGAAAACAAATTAGAAACGCAAAATTCATTTGAAAATACATAGTGATGTTTTTAGAACATTTTCCGATTTTGGATTTCGTAACTTATTTTTCTACCGTTGCATGTAAACTCGCCAACGGTAAATCAAGAGGATTAGGATAATCACATCGAATGAAATACTGTATATGATCAATTTTTTCCACAAAAAAAAAAGAAAAAAAAATTAAGAGTTTTTCAATAAATAAAGTATAGTACTTAAGGTTGTTGCTGCTGCTGAAGACTGATGAGTTTAAAATATGGACCAGTCTTGTTTAGAACGAGCTTACGGTGGCTGCCTTGCTCTACGATCTTACCTCCATGTAATACGCTTATCGTGTCAGCGTTCTTGATCGTCGATAGCCGGTGAGCAACCACCACAGTCGTCCGGTTAGTCATTAACCGATCCAATGCTTGTTGTACCTAACAATATTCATTCGTTGTTAACTCATAAGTCCATGTAGATTAAAGTCTACAAAGTCTAATTGTAAAGAAACCCTACCACACGCTCAGATTCAACGTCCAAAGCGCTTGTGGCTTCGTCAAGTAATAGAATCGCTGGATTCTTGAGGATGGCTCTAGCGATAGCGATCCTCTGTCGCTGACCGCCTGACATCTGAACTCCACGTTCACCGACTTTGGTAGAGTAACCTTCCGGGAGAGAGGTAATGAAGCTGTGAGCGTTTGCAAGCATGGCTGATTCTATGACTTCAGATTGAGATGCTCCTTCGTTTCCATACAATATGTTCTCGTAGATTGTTGTGGCGAAAAGTGCCGGTTCTTGTTGAACAAGACCAATATGTTTCCTCAGTGCTTTCAAATCTAGTTTCTTTATGTCTTTTCCTGCAAATGGGATAAGAAGAAAAAACAGTTATTCAGCTAAACAACCACTTTCTTTTGATGCAAGAAACCATAGTGATTTCTTGAAACGCAAGAAATTTGTGCTCAGAGGTTTAAGTCTAGTGCACTCACCCTCTATCATAACTTTTCCGCCAGTCGGATCATAGAACCGGAGAATGAGTGAAATGACCGAACTTTTACCGGATCCACTCTGTCCAACGAGCGCCATGCTCTTTCCGGCACGAACTATAAGATCAAAGTCTCGGAAAATTACAACATCTGGTCTCGAAGGGTAGCTAAAGTGGACGCCTTTGAGCTCAATTGTGCCTTCCACATTAGTCAGCTCCTCGCTGGTTTCTCCAACGATCTGAGTTTTCCTGTCCAAGATCTCAAACACGGACGCAACCATCTGGTTTCCTTTCAGCAGATCCGGAGCTAGAGCTAACGTCTCACCCATAGCTAATGCCGTCACAATCAAAACCATGAATGTTTTCATCACTGATTTGAAGCCCGCTAATCCTTTGTCCATCAAAGTTGATCCGTACCTATCAAACAATTGACAATTCAATATTTATAATCAGAAGATACTTTTTTTTTTTTGGGCAAACTCAGAAGATACTTTTTCATTCAAAAAAAAGATCAGAAGATACTTTTTTATATAAATAATTTTGAAATAAACACAAATCCAGCATATGTACATACATTTTTTTTTGTATATGCACAAACCAAACCTCTTTTTTTGGTTGGTCAGCGACAGAGGATCACTTTTTTAGTTCGGACATACTCTTCACAACAAAGCTGAAAACATTGAACCAAACCTAGAAATCGAATCCCTATGCCTATTCTTTTTTGGTCTGAACCATAGGTCTATTAATTTCAAACCTTTTATAGTTAATTTATCCGTGAAACTTTGTGTATATAGAGATAGACATACCAGAGGCCGAGGCCATAGGAAGAGAAAATGAAGAACTGAGAGACACCGTAGAAAAGTCCTGCAATTTGTCCACGCCTGAAAGAACTTTTGGAAGGTTCTAAAAGCTCTCTTGAATAAAGTTCTAGAATCTTTTCCTCAGCACAGAAGGCGGCGACCGTGCGGATGTTGCTAACAGACTCTCCGGCCAACATGTTGGCCTTTAAGTATGCTTTGTTCAAGTCTCCTCCATAGCCTTGCATGAAAAGTTTCTACAAATATAACAAAAACACAAACATAAACATAAACGCAAACGCAAAATTCAAAAAGTGGCAAGCGTTGCGTTACCTCGCTGATATGTCCGCTTATAACCAAAGGGTATGTGGCCAAGACAACAAGAGTGAGACGCCAGTTGAGTATAAAGGCGATGATAAAAGAGGTCACAACTAGACCTAAGTTCTGCAGTAGAATTGTAGACCTATCGACCACTATGGTTTTAAGCAAAGTCGCATCGCTCTCAAGCCGCGATGCCAACATTGAGCTTGTGTTGTCCACCTCATCAAACCACCCGATTTCATTCTTCAAGATTGCTATAAAACCAAACACAGAATAAGTATCACATAACAAAAATTGGGATCTCTAATTTCTAAGGATGTTAAATTTTATTATTTATTTAAAACTTGCATTGAGACGAACCTCTAAACATATTTTCGCGGACACGGAGAGTGAGACGCTCGCCCATAGTACCGAAGCAGATATGCTCAATGGTGTAGACAATTAGGGTGATAATGGAGGCACAGCAAAAGAGGATAGCGATCTTCTTGATCTCTTTTTGAGTCTCATCCCAACTATTGTAATAGGAAACTAAGGCCTGTGCGACTCCAAGCGCGAAAAGGGGCATCTGAGATCCAGCGATAAAGGCACATATCGTGCCACATACGCCATACATCCAGTCCGGACGGATCATAGAATAAAGACGTCCCACCGTTACTTTCACCTTTTTGGATGGCTCGGCCCCATCCGGTCGAGTTACTGATTCCCTTTCTGAACAGAAGCTCGACCTTGTTCTTGATAGTTCCCGCGAGTATTTTATACTGGAAAATATGAGAAGAAAAAAAACGAAAAAACAGCTATGAGAATTAAGGGTTTGGTTTTTATACCTAGTTCTAATGAAAATGTTCAGAGACAAGAGTATGATGCTAAGCGACAGTACCTATGTGGCCTGCTTAGCGTGCGATTCAAGGAAGGGTTACGCTGCAACGAGGAAGCCTCTTGAAGACGAAGAAGAGAAGAGTAGGCTCCGTCGGGATTAGATATGAGATTCTCGTGGTTTCCAAACTCAACTATTTTCCCTTCGTGCACAACTGCTATGATGTCAGCATTTCTTACGGTTGAGAGTCTGTGTGCAACCACCACCGTTGTTCTCCCAACCATCACTCGATCCAGCGCTTCTTGCACGCTTTTCTCTGACTCTGCGTCTAAAGCACTTGTTGCTTCGTCGAGTAATAGTATAGACGGATTCTTCACGATTGCTCTTGATATAGCAATCCTTTGTTTCTGTCCACCAGATAATTGAATCCCTCTCTCGCCGACCTATTAAGTGAAAAAGCAGAGTTTTAGAGTTTTGTTGATGTTTCTTTTACCCTAAGGAATTAGTGGAATATAGGGTCTATAGTTCATTATTTCTTGTATTCTAAGGTATCGATTGACAGACCTGAGTCTCAAACCCTTCAGGGAGGTTGTTGATGAACGAAATGGCTTCCGAGAGCTTTGCGGCACGGTTGATCTCCTCAGCCGTCGCGTCGTCTTTGCCATACAGAATGTTCTCACGAATCGTTGTTGCAAACAGAGCTGGTTCTTGGTTAACCAAACCAATCTGTCCCCTTAACCACTTAATATCCACCTCATTGATATTGTTCCCGTCTAGCAACACTGCTCCAGAAATGGGCTCGTAGAACCGCTCAATCAAAGATATGACCGTGCTTTTCCCTGATCCACTTCCTCCAACAAGTGCCACAATTTTCCCGGCAGGGATAGCTAGGTTTAACTTGTCAAAGATCACCACATCGGGGCGAGATGGGTAGCTGAAAGTCACGTCCTTGAATTGAATGTGCCCGTCTACTTTCCCTAGTTTACGGCCGGATTTTGCGCTTGCTTTTGTCACCGTGTTCCGTTCAATCATCTTGAAAATCGGATAAGCAGCAGCTTTTGCCCGTACAAACGCAGAAATATCCGGCGCCGCTTGTCCAAGTGACCTACACAAAACCCCAAAACAGACACTTCATGATCCACAAAAAGAAAATAAAGGAAACGTAGAGAGCAAGCAAACAAGATAGGAATATTATATATTACAGGCCGGCGATGACAACGTTGAGCATAGTAGTGAATGATTTGCCACCATTGGCGATATCCTTGTGGACTACAACGCTTGTGAACCATACGAGCAAGGCCCAAGACAGAAACAAGACACAGTGCATCGATCCAAGACCTAGTCCTTTAGTTAAACCGGCTTTTCTCCCGTACTTGTACGTGTTCTCCAGAGCTTCTCGGTATAATCTCACCGCCCTTTCTTCACCAGTGAATGCTTGAACGGTCCTCACATTCCCGATCACCTGGTAATCACATAGATATATGTTACACACTAGAACTAAACACTATTTCTGAAAAACAAATTAAAACTATAGACACTTCTATAACTATAAGTTTCCTTGTCTGAGAAGTAACCAACCTCTTCCGCAATCTCACCGGCCTTGATGTATGATTTCCGGACACGAGCGATAAGTCCGATGGCGACGAACGCGTAGATGCCGCCGGCTAGAGCGATTAAGGGGACTATGGAGAGAGTGACAAGACTTATTTGCCATACACTAGTGAATCCAATTGCAAAACCAGCTATGAACCGGCTTATGTAGTGCAAGAAATTTCCTACCTGCAACAAAAGTTACCAGTAACCCAGACAAATTATCATAAAACATCAACTGGATTTACCTGATCACATTTTAAATTTTAAATTTAAGCGATTAAACCGTTTTGTGGCTGGCTAGCTTTAAAGAACCAAATATAGGTCAAAATTAAATCGTATCAAACTCAACCGCCTTATAAATGCAAAATGCAATGCAGCTATAACCGAATTAAAGACAATGCATTTATTATTTTTTCATCAATGACCGAAGTATATTTTATAAAAGGAAAATAAAGGGATCTATACTTCCCCATACTTTATTAGTGTCTCAGAAAAATGAAGAATATAATCACCAGCTACTACTAGAATACGGTTAGAAAGTAAATAAGTAATGAGAAGAGATGGACGCATGCCAAAAAATCTCTTTATTGAACTTGAAAAATGATAATTCAAAAAAAAAAAGTGTTAACAGAAAATGAAATCATCCTTAAAATTGGATTAAGCCATTAATGTTACTCACATTAAAACTAATACGGAATTACGGATTGAAGAACCCATGTGCGAAAAAACGACTCATGTAAGAAATTTCTATATTTAACGACCTAAATGTCGTTTATAGGTTTGAAAAAAAAGTTTTTATCGACCGAGGCAATGCCTTAATTAGCAGACTTTAGTTGGTATTTCCACAAAACAAACAATTATTTGTGTATATACTTATAGTATAACAAAGTCGAATACATTTATTTACTAATTGATACTAAAAAAAAGAGAGAGTAATTGGTCTATTAACGAATCTAATAATTGAAGTAATTAACACAAAATGTTTACAAAAAACAAAAAAGAACTCAACGCCGGTTTGTTTCGGTTAAGAGAGGTACCTTCTCGGAGAGAGCATCTTGGACGACGAGGATGTCGGAGGTGATGGCGGAGATGACTTCTCCGGTAGAAGCTTCGGTGTCAAATAAGCTTATGTCTTGGCTCAACATTGACCGGAGATAAGCTCTCCTCATCTTCGCCGCTTGCCTCTCTCCCGTATGCATCCAACATGCAACCTCTGTTTCCATTTTTTATATTTATTTACTAATTAAAAAATGGGTTACTAATTTGAAAAATGAATTAGGATTCAGAGAAATTATTTGATTTTAATATATTATTATTTACCTAACCATGACGAGAATAGTATAGCCACACTCAAGTATACAAAATCCAACGAGTACTGCACCAAAATAAATAAAATTTAAGCCGAGCAAACATATTAACAAATATAACAACGGATAATTAGCATAAATATGTAACTAATTTCAATATGGTAAAAAATTTAAAAATCAGGTAAAAATTCACTTCAACCCCCGAGTTAGAGCTATATCATAAGGAAAATGAATAAACTAAAATATTGAAAAACCTTGGCGACTCTGTGAGAGGCTTGTTTTGGGAAAAGATAAGCAAGACCGATAATGTTGATGAGTTTGCCGAAGAAGATGAAAAAGATCGGAACCGAGGCGCCATGAATGCACGCTCCTACGGATCCAAGAGTCATGAGAACACAATCATAGAAATCTGCGAAGGAGAAGAGCTTAAGCAGTGACACTTTTGGCTGCTTCATCTCTTTCTCCTTCTCCGGCGCCGGATCACCGGACGGCTGCATTTTTTCAGCTTAAAGTGTATGTATAATTAGTTGGAGAGGAAAATGAAATGAAAATAAATAAATATAGGGAAAGAAATTAAGGGAGGAAAGTGGTTAGAGAGGAAGAAGATATAAGAGAGAGATACATTAAATGAATGAAGACATAAGACCAAGTTTATTGGTTTCAGCGAGAATTGTTTGGTGTGAAGCTCTCTGTGTGTGTGTGACCCTAGTTAATAACTCTCTTACTAATAAAGTTTTATCACTCCCAAATTTTGGATTTTTGTTTAGTTTTAACCGAATTATGTTGGTAATTACTTGTAGTATTAATTTGGTACTTGCGTAGTTTTCTCGGTTCGTTATCTTGTTCAAGGTAAGGTAATGAAATTGAGAGGGTTAATAATGGTGAAAGGAACAAGTGTCGATTTTCGTGTAGAAGAGTTTGCTTATCTGAGATTCTGAGGTATCTTTTAATTCAAAAATGTCTTTTAAGACTCAGTTTTGTAATTGTCAGCTTACAAAGATAATTCAACTACTCCTATCAATATTTATATGTTTTAAGTGTATACATTAACTGACTAAAAATGCAGTCACTAAATAAATTTGTTTGTCATTGTTAACAACATTAGAATTTTGAAATTTATTACTTCAACTTTTATGTATTTACAGAAAGCTGATAACCACTACTTTTATAACCTGTTGAGAATAAAATTGGGAAAATACGAATTATAAATTTAATATCAAATTTTGGAAAATTTTCAACCATTTCCATCGATTATTTTAACAAAAATTTTAGAAATAGAAAGAAATTGATGAAAATTATCTAATAAACTGACATAAACTCCATTATACTGTAGTCTGAGAAAACGAAACCAAATCTAAACTCTCTAAAAATAAACCAAAAAATGTCCACCCCTCTTCAAGACTTCAACACGTCGCCCCTACAATGAAGTTAAAAAATGTTGTGAAAAAGGAAATTCTTGTTAAGAGATTAATGATTGTATTTATGTCAAAACGCGTTCACATGTTGTTGGTTTGGACTTTTGATGTATGTCCGCTGGATTAAGATTCAATAAAGACATCGATACCCTTCTACATCACTTCAAGAAGAGAAGAATTATATCAAATTCATGTCAAAAAACTTCAGAATTATACACTTTCTTAAGTAAATTTATATCATCAAAACTATTTTTGATTATATTTTTTAAAAAATTTCTGAAAACAATATATGTCGTCAAAATAATATTTTCCAATTTCTTAGAGACAAATTTATGTTCCAATGGCTTTCATATTTTTTTTGGATTCTTGACAATTTTCAAGTTTTCAACAAGTATCGGACCATAGAACTTCTTTACCAAAAAGAAAGAAAATAGTCGATCCGATCAACTATTTCAATATGTTGCAAATAAAATAAAAATTAAAAAGATGAAAAGAAAAGACGCCAAGTCAAGAAGAAGAAAAATTCTTTTAGTTGGTTGTGGTGATGACTGATGAGCTTATAATGTGTTGGGGTCCAGTTTTCAAGCATACATGTTTTTTTGGCTGGGCTCGAATGATGCATAGTCACGTACTGAAGTGACCAAGTCTTACGATTCGACGCAGTTGTTATATCATATATTCTTTTGATTCGACTTTTTTCCAGATATTTTCGTTTTGGCATGGTAAAAAAGATATTTCTTTTTACTTTCTTTTTCTTCTTCTTAGATTAGTACCGGGTTCGTAGTATTCCAATTATTTTGCTCTTAATTAGGGGTGATACCTTATCAAATTTTATGTGTATCCAATTTATAAGTGAACTAATCCATATTTTGGTTTTCTAATTCATTCTCAACCAGATTGACTGACGTAAGAGGAAACTAACCATGCATGTGCAACTACATATACTGATATAAGAAACCAAAACCAACCATGCATGGCTAGTAACAATTTTTGAAAAAGAAGTCAATAGCTGATATACATATAATTTATATGAACATGGTAAAAGTTATATGATTATCCATCAACAAGTGATGGTAGCGTAGATATGAGCGCAGGGGGTTATGATTTGTGAAGGACTTTCAGTTTCAAGAAAATGAACTCAGGGAAGCTCCAGCTTCGTTTGAATATATATTACTAATATTATGCGATATCTTTATGCTTTATGACTTGATACACAAATCTACGCATTTATGCATATACATGAATACATGTCCGTAATATACATTCTAAGGTAAGTAAATTACCATCTGCAGTCCATTTTTCTTATGTGCAACTTTACTTCTTTAAGATTGTGAGATGAACCAAACGATCAAACACTTAAAACTGATAATTTCCCAAGAAATTGATTGTGACGTAGAGACTATATATTAACTGTTTCAGTCACTTTGTTTATTTTTAAGTTTCAACATAAACATAAATCTAAAAAAAAAAATTACTTTGGCAACTCAATAACTTTTTTGTACAAGAACAAAGAATAAGAAACTAAAAGGAAAGAATAACATCAAAGTATGGCATTCAAACATCAACCAGACCTTTACCCAGACTATCGCTGCATTAAACGCAATTAAGGCCACCGCTCCGGCGGCGGCTATAATTATAATCTCCTTGAATCCAAGAAGACAAGACGCTATAAGGATAACGGAAAACAACCGCATCTTATTGATCACCATCATATTTTGTAAATTATCTTGATAGATATTTTGACATGATTACTACAAATAGATGAAATAAGGGAAAACCAAATCTCCTTAATCTTCGAACTCGGCTGTTAATATATTTGTTGTATGGATGTGACAATTTTAATTATTTTTCTTTAAGAGGGAATGCGTGGTGGAAAATTAAATGCAAAGTATAATGATGCAACTTTATGCTATACCAAAAAATAATGATATATGCAGCGGCATGGAATAATTTATTCGTTTTGGGCACTCTTGTTATTATTTTGCATTTATATCAGTGAAAATGACGTAATTGAGCTGGCTATTAAAGGTCTAATGTTGATAATATATATAGCTTTTATTTGAAGATATAATAAAACATATGAATTATGATGGTAATATAGCTTTTATTTCATGGTATTTTAACTCTTAGAAGAGAATAGAAGAGAAACCAGTACCACATATGCTTTTATTTTTATTTTTATAAAGAAACCACGTATGCTTCTCAGTTCTCACAATTAACGGCAAACATAAAAAAATTAATGGATCGTCAATTTTATATAGACTTTAGAGTCCCATGTTGTGATTCCTTTAATTCACGATTTTTCAAAAAAAAAAAAAAAGAATTCACACAATCTTATTTAAATGCACACCGATCGGCTGGTTTTGTAATCGGTTCTATAAATAGTATGTTTGAGTTTTCTTTTAGTAAATCATTACTTTTAAATATAATTCAAATTTGATGAAAAATATAATGAGTCAAAAACTAACTCCATGAACTAAGGAGAAAAACACTCTCCGTCTAATCTAAACCATAACCAAAGAGGCTTATATCAACAAATTCCATTTCTGGCACCAAAATTTGCAGATAGGAATAACACACAAGCTTTCATTGTCTTTGAAGAGAACATAAGCCATGGATTCTTTAAGAGGCCAAGGTGGGATTCAGATGCTTTTAACTGCTGAACAAGAAGCCGGACGGATTGTTTCAGCTGCGAGGACCGGTATATATAGTCTTTCTCCTTCATGGCTTGTTGGCTCTAGTAGTAAGATTTTGGTTTTGAATCCTTTTCGGCTTTTCCTTTTCTTTTCTTTATGGACGGATCAATGATCAGCAAAACTAGCAAGAATGAAGCAAGCGAAAGATGAGGCTGAGAAGGAGATGGAAGAATACAGGTCTCGATTAGAAGACGAGTATCAAACTCAAGTTTCTGGGGTAAGAAAAACACCGAAACAAAACCAGCTAGTGAGATCTTGATTTGTACTCATTCTTTACCTTATGTTTCAGACGGATCAAGAAGCAGCTGCAAAACGTTTAGATGATGAGACAGACGCCAGGATTAAGAACCTTAAGGAATCTAGTTCAAAGGTCTCCAAAGAGATTGTAAAGATGCTCATCAAATATGTTACCACTACTGGAGCATGATTCTCACTACACCAACCTCATAATATCTTATTCTCCTCATAATAAAATATTGTTTTGATTTTTCAGCTCCAGTTTTTTGGTTCTTGATCTCTATGTGCACAACACAATAGAGCCAACTACATAGTCCATGAGTGTATAAACCACATTAACATGAGGAAACCAAAACAAACATTAGATGCAGTGCCGGCTCAGATGGGTGGGCGGGCGGTGCGACGGCCAGGGGTCCAATCCCGAAGTCCAATAATTAAGGGGCCCATTTTCTAAAATATTTTTTTAAAAAATTAGATTATAACACAAAAATAAAATTTAGAAAGGTCTATAAAAATTTTTATTTATTGTTTTTAGTATTAGTAATTAATATTTTTAACAAAAATAGCATAGAAAATTTTTTTACAGCAAAAAAACATTAAAAAAAAATTTCTAAGAGTCCAAAAATTTTTTTTGCCCTAAGGCCCATAAAAATGTTGAGCTGACACTGATTAGATGAAAGTATCATTATATCAATGGAAAGCAGAACTAAGTACACAAGTGATAAATTTTAAGCACAGCTACAAAAGAGAAAACATGCATGCATAATAAATGCAATGCTTGTTAATTTTGGTATCTTTTCTGTACTCTGAGCACAAATTGTTTACACATTCTTAAACAAACTATAGTTTGATACTGACATTGAGTAAGATAAATACATGAGCATTTGGAACAAAACAAACAATGATATATTATGCGGTAGCTAATGATTTGACAAATATGATTTAAATCAGAACCACGGTGTGGTCTGAAGCCTACCGTCCGAGTCTGACTCATTAGGTCCATAAGGCTTAAGCTTTAACATTGCCCTCAATTTTGTATAATTGTATTTATTAATTAAAGGTGAAAACTGAAAAAGACATTACAAATGTAAAAATCGATATACGTTTAAATCAGTTCAAAATGGTGCAAAAAAGGGGAAAACAATATGAGTAATGGAAAATCTTACAAAAATTACGGATAAATAAGTGGATTCATTTTGACATTAGATGTATGGATAATTGAGAAAATGATTATTCTACACCAAAATAAAAGAAAAGTTTTTTTAAAAAAAAACTGGCATCCGATTATGGAATATACGATATTAGTAAATGAGATATTAATAATTTCGATATAAAATTTCTCCGATAAATTTCAAAATCTGTTTAATAAAAAAATAAAAATTTTAAAACAATAATCAAGATTCTGTTACGCACGTCATGGTGATGCAAGAGAGAGAGGAGCTTTGTTGAAAAGTCTGTTATTGTGTTCTGTTTGTTGTAAGGCGACTAATAACAGAGCATACCAAACTTGGTCTTCGTCTTCTTCATCCTTATCTTCTCCATCCTCTCCTCACTCTATCTCTCCGTCGTAACCAAATCATTTCACAATTCCGGTGATCGCCTGAATAATCAACCATTTTTCCATAGATGGCAACGTTTAACAGCTTCCGTAAAGCCGTCGGAGCAATCAAAGATTCCACTACCGTAAGTATCGCCAAGGTCAACAGCGAATTCAAGGTTAGGATTACATTTTACAAAATTTCAAGTTTTTGGTTTTAAAAAATCTGTAAATGACCGATGAATGAAATTGAGATTAGGATTTGGATGTTGCGATCGTTAAAGCCACAAATCACGTAGAATCTGCTCCCAAAGAACGTCATATTCGTAGTAAGTTTTCTTAAATTTATTCCTCAAACCCTTGAATTTGTTTACGATCTTATGAGTTTTTATCATTTATGCAGAAATATTCTCGGCGACATCTGTAGTGCAACCACGAGCAGATGTTGCTTACTGCATTCACGCATTAGCCAAAAGATTGTCAAAAACTCGCAATTGGGTTGTGAGTTTTATATAACTTTACTTTTAAAGATTTCATTTTTTCAATTTATAAAATCTCTGTTTTTGGGTTTTCTTTGATTGCGTTTCCAACACGCAGGTCGCGATCAAGGTGTTAATAGTCATTCATAGAACACTAAGAGAAGGTGATCCAACATTTAGAGAAGAGCTTCTCAATTACTCACACAGAGGACATATACTGCGAATATCGAACTTCAAAGACGATACAAGTCCTCTTGGTGAATAGCCTTTTTATATATCTTTTGTTCCATAGCTTTTGGTGTGTTAATGAAAATTGTTCAAAACATTTTTCTTGTCTTGGTTTTTGCAGCTTGGGATTGCTCTGCATGGATTAGGACATACGCGCTTTTTCTCGAGGAGCGGCTTGAATGCTATCGGGTTTTGAAGTATGACATAGAAGCAGAACGTTTACCGAAAGGTTCAGGTGCATCTTCAAAGGTTTGTTCTCAATTTCATTCTCACCTTTTAAACAAACTCAAGAATCTAACTATATCACCACAAATCATTTAGCAGAACGGGGATTTCAATGCTTCTCAAACGTATAGAACAAGGATGCTCTCTGATGAAGAACTGCTAGAACAGTTACCTGCATTGCAACAGCTGCTTTACAGGCTTATTGGTTGTCAGGTAAAAGATCTATATATCCAAACTAAAACCTTTAAACTTTTTCTGTTTTTGTTTTTACATGGAACGATTTCTTAATATGTTTTCAGTTTTGCAGCCTGAAGGAGCAGCCTATAGCAACTACCTAATCCAATACGCTCTTGCATTGGTGCTTAAAGAAAGCTTCAAAATATACTGTGCCATTAATGATGGAATCATTAATCTTGTAGACATGGTTTGTAGAAAAATCTCCTTCTCTGGTTTAGTATCAATTTGCTTCTATTGAATGTTACTAAAGTAATATATCTTTGTTCTTGATTCAGTTTTTTGAGATGTCAAGACATGATGCAGTTAAAGCTCTAAATATATACAAACGAGCTGGCCAACAGGTAAAACTCTAAAGTTATAGACTAAGTCTCAATCTTCACTAAGCTTGTTTATTGATATGTTCTTCCACTGCCACAGGCTGAAAATCTGGCTGACTTTTATGAATACTGCAAAGGTCTAGAGCTAGCGAGAAACTTTCAGTTCCCGACCTTGAGACAGGTTCGTTCTTAAATTTTTGTGATAAATGAATGTGAGACTGATCACCTCACAAGAACTAGTTTTTAAAACTTGTTTCAGCCACCTCCTTCTTTTCTTGCAACAATGGAAGATTATATTAAAGAAGCACCTCAAAGTGGTTCTGTACAGAAAAAGCTGGTACAAAAGTTTTACTCTCATCATATTTGGTTGATGTTGATCAGTATAAGTCTTCTTATGATTGGAATTTGTTCTGTTTTTTTACAGGAGTATCAGGAAAAAGAGGAGGAAGAAGAACAAGAAGAAGAAGAGAACTCTGCTCAGCCAGAAGAAGATAAAGAAGCCGAAAATCAAAATGAGAACACCGAAGGAGACCAGCCGCTTATCGAAGAAGAAGAAGAAGAGGACAACGAAAAAATAGAAGAGGAAGATGCTAAACCTTCTTTCCTGATAGACACTGATGATCTGCTGGTAAATCTTCTTCTACACGGCATTATGTGTACCGATATCTCTTTTGGCCAAAGTCTTAACCTTTTCTTCTCCTTCACAGGGACTGAATGAGATAAACCCTAAAGCCGCAGAGATAGAGGACCGCAATGCATTGGCTCTTGCAATATATCCACCAGGTAGCAAAAATTTGATTCTTGACCAAAACTTAAGACTTTCTGTAACACTATTGGAGGAAAAAAGGAAATTGGTGAATTTTTTTTGTTATTGGTCTCTCTGCAGGTCATGAAGCTCCAGGCCCATCAAACAGTTTAAGTTTAATAGAAACTGGTGGATCCGGTTGGGAACTGGCACTGGTCACTCCTCAGAACAACAACAACAACAATCCTCGCCCTGTGCCAAACACTAAACTTGTAATTAAGTCTAACACCGCATATATTTGAATATGAAACTCTCTGTTTCGTCTACTCTCAAGACTCACATGGGACTGTTCTCTCTTCTTGTATTTATAGGCAGGAGGATTTGACAATCTATTACTTGACAGTCTGTACGAGGATGATTCAGCTAGGAGACAGATCCAACTAACCAATGCGGGCTATGGACATGGTGGCATAGATACAACAGCAGCACCACCAAACCCATTCCAGATGCAACAAGATCCTTTTGCAATGTCCAACAACATTGCTCCTCCCACAAATGTTCAAATGGCAATGCAACAACAACAGCAACAACAGATGATGATGATGCAACAGAGTCCCTACAATTTTACTCATCCTCATGATCATCATCATCATCAGTTCTCAGCAGGTCCTTCTCCTTCTAATCCTTTCGGAGACCATTTCCTTGCCCTTCCACCTCCCCCAGGCTCAGCTGGTCCGCAACAAAACAACCATCATCATATGCTCCTATAGAGTTACAATATCGCAGTTAATAATCTCTCCTTCTCTTGGTTACTTTTCCTTTTTTTGGTTTCAGTGTTTAGTTTGATTATATATATATATTCAGGGTGTTATTCTTTCATTCTTTCTACTAGACAACTCTACTCGCTGATGATTTCTTAGCCATTTTGTGCCCATAAATTATGTGTCATTTTGTCTCTGCCTGTTATTATCTTTCAGAACTTGATTACCCTGCAAATTAGTTAAATACGTTTAGATTTTCAAAATAAGTAGTCTGAGTTGTGATTAAGAAAAACAAAATGAGTTTTTCATGTTTTATTTCAAATAGTAGACGAACCAAAAACATTAACTAGTACAAGAACCAAACCCAAAAAGACAGCAGATAAAAGACATCCAACAATATCAAAGTCACTTCTCACTAGTAAGAGAGAGGAAGAGGCCAGTAAGGGAACTCAGTGGACCTTAATGGAACTTTATCTTTTGTGTAGAAGTTAGTGGTAGTGTTGGTTGCGATATCGTGAACACCAAAGTTACAGCCCACGTAATAGATGGAGTTAGGTATAAGTCCAGGAGACGAGCTTGCCGGGACACAGAATGCTTCACCATGTCCAAGAAATATACAAAGATTTCCAATGTCTTGCGTGTTAATCAATTCACCGCAGATTGTATCCGCTCTAAACACCATAAACCCATGCGTTTTCTGGATGATTTTCTCGTCGTCCCTGTCTTCCTCACAGAACCTGCAAATAAGATATATATATATATGTTTCAGCAATGAATTATCAAACTTGTGATTACATATGTAAAAGAAAAATAAACAAATACTTACCACTTGACGAGGAAATGTTCACCGGAGGGTGACTCCACCAGGTGGTCTGTTCTGGAACGCCAGATGTAATCTTCCAAATCCGTCTTATACAACTTCTGGAGAGGGTCCTCCTTAAACAATAAATAAGATAAGTTGGGCTGGACATTATCCTCATCGAAGTGGAGATCCAAGTACCACAAATACTTCCCAGAAGGACTAACACTGAGAAATTTTTTATTCTTCTTCGAATACGTTAGACTCGAGAAAGGGTGGACAGAGCCAGAAGTATTGATGTTGATCCATCCAGAGCTAGAGTCGCTGAAGGGCTTGCACAGACTCACATCAGATCCCACGAACTTGACAGCCACTACCAAGTCTTCCTTCTTTATGTCAACAGAGTTTGATATTGCCACATTCTGGATTCGACAACTACTAGACAGAGGAGGGAGATGATGTTTCACTGGGCCAAATGATGTGTTACTGACCACCATGAGACTTTTGGAACTATACTCAGATTTCTCCAAGTGAACTCTCCATCCATCTTTATGTGAAAATCCAACGGTCATCATCTCTCGGACCTCCTCTGCGAGTCCCTGGTCCTTAATCACGAGCTTCTTATCAGCATAGTATACTTGATCATTGGAACAGTGTTTCGTCGTCTTAAGGAGGTGGTCAATCAACACGTACGGGTATGTCGACTTAGATGATGAGAACATCCGAACGTTCTTGTTGTGAGATCTCTGCATGCCATATTCAAGTAATCATACGATAAGTAAGAACCAAAATGAAACCCTATTTATTACATAACAAATAGTAAGAACTTACGATGACATTTTTGCAGACAGATGGCTTCAAGAGTCGGTTAATGAGCTGAGACATCGTCGAAAACCCTAATCTTTGTTGGTGACTGGTCGTATCCCCCTTCCATCTTCAAAGTAATAAAGAGAGAAGGCCTTGGCCATCAAGTTCACAATTAATATGGAAGAATCTTTATGGAGATAAAAACTCTTTTTGAAGGAAATAAACAATAACCCACTTCATTTATAATGGAATGACTATATTATACATCGTATTTAAGAAGACTCTTAAAAAAGAGAAGTTGTCTAGTAGAACATTTGCTTATTTTAAAAGGTCACAAGTTGTTGTGTTTTTTTTTTTTTTCTTTTTAAATCAATGAATAACAAATAGTATATCATGAATTTGACTTAAATACAAAAAAAAAAAAAAAAAAAAAAAAAACTTAAATAGATGATCATCTGGTTATAGCGAAGTAAAGACACCACAATCAGTAGTGAACCAATACCATATTCAAATTATGTTTACAAACGTATTCTAAACTTTTAAAGAATTAAGCTTTATTTAGTAAGCTAAGTAGAAAAGAGATTCAAGAGTCAAAAAGTGTTAATTATACACGTTTTTAAATCAGATTTCTGTACATGTGTTTTAGAAGAAAATATATAGTTAGGATATTGTTGGTGTCGGATCCCGCACCAGAAGTACGAGACCAACCAAAGATTGCCACGTGATCAAGATAATGGCCCATAAAGGATGAAGCCCATTGGACCCGTGAGCCGAAGGGACGGTCGAAGTGGTTGTCACCATTTCGAGAATCCGAAGTGACTACACTGTGACACGAGTTCGGTGTAGAAGACACGAGTAAGTCGGTTCACGGACACTTGGGCCGAAAGAGGCGAGGCCCATGAAGATCAGAGTCAACTCAAATTCAAACGTTGAGCATTAAAGCCGAAGAATCAAAACGGACACATTTAAGAAGAAATAATTGTGCTTAATTACTCATTTTAATGTCGTTTATCGGTGTATAAATATAGATGCCGATGGCCATGTAAGGGGGATCTTCCTCTCGAGAGAGAAATAATATAGCAATTTTTGTATCAATTTACAAGTTTTTATATACTCATTTTTGTCCCTCAAGAATAATCTTTCCCACTTAATAAAAATACTTGAGTGTGTAAATCCGACATCCACATTTTGGCGCCGTCTGTGGGGACATCAGGATTCTTGAGTGGTCAGATTTTTTCTTTTCTACATTTCCGAGATAAGCGACAATGTCCGGAGGAGACGCCGTTGAGACATCATTGGCCGAAACCCTCAAAGCTATGCAGCAAACCATGTCGGACATATCACAAAAGTTCTCGGATGTGGAGAAGGCCGTCGATACGTTGCAAACATCCCAGGTATCTCTTAGTCAAAATGTCAATAATATACAAACTCGTGTTCGCTCTTTAAGTGCAGGAAACCCGGTGGGAACCCGAAGAGGGATATTCAACTCGCCAAGTTCCGCTGCACGAAATGAAACCAGCGGACAAACAACTCCCGGTGCTACTAATAATGTAGCTCAGACGTCGGAAGAAGAGACGCAGCTCGGGGATGAAGAACAACTTGCAGCGCAGTACGAGCAGGAGAACCTCGACCAGTTCGAGACCATGAGGAAAGTTAGCCAGGAATTAAAAGAAATGAAATCAAAATTTCATCAGGCTACAAGTTCGGAGCCAGACATCAATCGAGTCATTGAAGAAGCTAGGCGAACCCCTTTTATCCCGCGAATTGCAAGTTTGAGGATCAAAGATTCCCGGAAGCTCAAGTTGGACCCTTACAGCGGATTGGAGGATCCAAAAAGCTATCTTGCAGCCTTTCTGATCGCTGCAGGAAGAGTCGAGTTGGATGAAGCTGATGAGGACGCAGGCTATTGCAAGCTGTTTTCGGAAAATCTATGTGGCCAAGCTCTAATGTGGTTCACCCAATTAGAGCCGGGTTCGATCAGCAATTTCGACGAACTATCAGCCGTATTCTTAAAGCAATACTCTATCCTTATGGATAAAAGCGTCTCGGATGCCGATCTTTGGAACTTAACGCAAGGATCTAATGAGTCACTTCGAGTTTTCATCACCAAATTCAAAGGAGTGCTGTCAAAACTCCCAAGAATCTCCCAGCAATCGGCTTTATCCGCCCTACGAAAAGGATTGCGACATGATTCAAGGTTTAAAGAAGACTTAATACTTCATAAACCAGACACAATTCAGGATGCACTCTTCCGCGCAAACAATTGGATGGAGGTAGAAGACGAAAAAGAAAGTTTTGCCAAACGGAATAAACAAGAAAAGCCGGCAATCACCGTCCCTACCAAGAAGTCCGAGCCTAAAGAGAGCAAAGGACCAAGGAAGTTTGGGTCGCAACCCTTCAACAATTCCGTCGGGAAGCAATTTCAAGGGAAAGGAAGATCAAACACTTGGGTCCGTGATGAAAGTCTATATTGCGACATTCATAAAGTAACCGGACATTTAACCAAGGATTGCAGCGTTCTTAAAAAGCACCTCGCGGAGCTTTGGGCTAGTGGCAATCTTTCTAAATTCGATATAACAGATTTTGTGAAGGAATACCACGAAGCAAAGGAAAACTCCAAAGATCAAGATTCCAAAAGACCAAGGTTATCCAACGAGGAAGAACCAAGGAGTTCGAAGGGGAAGATCAATGTGATTCTAGGAGGTTCCAGATTTTGCGGAAATTCAATAAGTTCCATCAAAAAACATAGACGAAATGTCTTACTCAAAGCAAGCTTGAGCGAAGAAGTTGATTTTCAAGGTGCTTCAATATCATTTAACGAAGAAGAAACGCGGCATCTCGAAAGACCGCATGACGATGCTCTAGTCATTACTCTTGATGTCGCAAACTTCGAAGTATCAAGGATCCTTATAGATACAGGCAGCTCGGTCGACTTGATCTTTTTAAGTACTCTAGAAAAAATGGGAATCAGCCGAGGAGACATAGTAGGACCTCCGTCTCCATTAGTTGCATTCACTAGCGAGTCAGCCATGTCTCTCGGGACAATCAAGCTACCGGTCCTTGCCAAAAAAGTATCGAAAATTGTGGACTTCGTCGTCTTCGATAAGCCCGCAGCTTACAACATCATCCTTGGGACTCCCTGGATTTATCGAATGAAAGCAGTTCCCTCTACATACCATCAATGTATCAAATTTCCAACATCAAATGGGGTGGAAACAATTCGGGGAGATCAAGAAGCTTCGCGAACATGCTACTTAGCTAGCCACCGTATGAAGATTCAATAGCAATTAACAAAGCCCGCGAAAGAAGGACTAAAAACAAAATTTCCTAGTGGGCAGAAGAAAGAAGATGTAGTAGTTGACGTGGAACTGGAAGAAGACAAGCCGGACCGGAAAATTAGAATTGGAGCAACTTTGACTGGCCAAATAAAAGAAGCTTTGATCGAACTCTTAAGGAAAAACAAAGCATCATTTGCATGGTCAGCAGCGGACATGCCGGGCATAAATCCGAGTATAATCTGTCATAAACTGAACGTAGATCCAAGCTTCAAACCGGTGAGACAAAAAAGAAGGAAGCTTGGAGTGAAGCGGGCAAAAATAGTAAACGACGAAGTGGATAAACTTTTAAAGATAGGGTCCATAAGAGAAGTGCAATATCCGGAGTGGGTAGCAAACACTGTCGTTGTCAAGAAAAAGAATGGGAAAGATAGGGTTTGCATCGACTTTACAGACCTAAATAAAGCATGTCCCAAAGATAGTTTCCCGCTCCCGCATATAGATCGACTTGTAGAGTTCACCGCTGGAAATGAGCTGTTAACATTTATGGACGCCTTCTCGGGTTATAATCAGATAATGATGGACCCCGACGATCAAGAAAAGACGTCATTTATCACAGATAGAGGTATCTACTGTTACAAGGTAATGCCTTTTGGTTTGAAAAATGCAGGAGCGACTTACCAACGGTTGGTGAACAAAATGTTTCACAATCAACTCGGGAAGACTATGGAAGTTTACATAGATGATATGTTGGTTAAATCGTTGAAGAAAGAAGATCATGTTAAACATTTGGAAGAATGTTTTGATATTCTCAATAAATATCAAATGAAGCTGAACCCGGCGAAGTGCACGTTTGGAGTCCCATCCGGAGAATTCCTTGGCTACATCGTGACAGAAAGAGGGATTGAAGCCAATCCAAATCAAATTAATGCCTTTCTAAACATGCCGTCTCCGAGAAACTTCAAAGAAGTACAACGATTGACTGGGCGGATTGCGGCCTTGAATCGTTTTATCTCGAGATCAACAGATAAGTCGTTGCCTTTCTACCAAATTCTAAAAGGGAACAAAAGATTTCTTTGGGATGAGAAGTGTGAAGAAGCTTTTGGGCAGCTTAAGGCATACTTAACCACTCCACCTATATTGTCCAAACCGGAAGTGGATGAAAAACTCTACTTGTACGTTTTAGTTTCAAACCACGCGGTTAGTGGAGTCTTGGTTCGGGAAGACCGTGGGGAGCAGAGACCAATTTACTACGTGAGCAAGTCAATGACGGATCCGGAAACCAGATACACAATGATGGAAAAACTTGCACTCGCGGTGGTAACTTCGGCCCGGAAGTTGCGTCCATATTTTCAATCTCATCCAGTTGAAGTATTAACTAACCAACCACTCAGAACAATACTTCATAGTCCAAGTCAATCCGGACGTTTGGCGAAATGGGCGGTGGAATTAAGCGAGTACGACATAGAGTTCAAAAGCCGGAGCAGTATGAAGGCTCAGGTCTTAGCAGATTTCCTGACCGAACTTCCAATACCTGGAACGATGGGTCAACCGGAGAACCAAACTTGGAAGTTACACGTAGATGGGTCTTCAACAAAGCAAGGATCCGGAGTGGGAATTAGGTTGGAATCTCCGACATCAGAAATTCTAGAACAATCATTCCGACTGTTATTCAATGCCTCCAACAACGAGGCAGAATACGAAGCCCTTATTGCCGGACTTCGACTAGCACAAGGAGTTGGAGCTAAGGAAATATTAGCTTATTGTGATTCGCAATTAGTAGTTAACCAATTTAATGGAGACTATGAGGCCAAAGATTCAAGAATGGAAGCATACCTCGAAGTGGTGAAGGATCTATCTAAAAATTTCTCGAAATTTGAATTAATCCGTATACCTCGGGGAGAGAATACAACTGCAGATGCACTTGCCGCATTGGCATCAACATCAGACCCTGAGTTGAAGAGAGTTATCCCAGTAGAATGTATCTCGGAGCGAAGCATTCAGGACAGCAAGGAAACCCTCGTTGTTACA